TTTTTCACGTGTGAGAAAAGAAGCGCTGCTTCGGATTGTGTTTGTAATACAGCGTCTGGAGATGTTCTCTGCCTTCGAGTCTTTGGTGTGTGCGCAAATTGACTTGGGATTTGATTAAATCGAATTAAATAAAAATGCAGTTAATTCAGATCGCGACAATCTTCCAAACACACGCAAACACACAACAACACAAGGCACGGACACACTTCTGGAAGATTCCCAAGACCAGAGAGAGCGAGATGAACAGCGACAAATGTCCAGAGTTGAATGGGATGCGCGAACTGGAAGATTTCCACAATAGGAAGTGTGTTGTTGAGGAATTAATTTGCTAATGTGACAGATTTGAGACGATTTCTCAATCGCAACTCTTTCTGGAATTTCATATATAGAATTCCCACCGCGAGATGAAGAGCAAAAATATATTGACTAATTAATAAAGCTGTAAATTGACTATAAAATCTCCCCACATTTTAGCGCCAAGGCGTCTCTTTTCCCTGCGAATCACATGGAAAGAAAAAAAAAGTCCAATGCTAATGAAATATTCATTTGATCGGATCCTCAACTCCATTCAGTGGAGATCTTGTGACAAACAGACCTTACAAAAACCATGTAAATCCACCTAATCTTGTTATTCAAACGACTGACTTTGTCACTGGGAAAATCTTCTTGGCAATTGGGCTGAAATCTGCGGGATTTCCAGCTCTGACTCACGCACGCTCCGGACGTCGTCCCAAGAAGCCGCCATCCTGGCCGCAGGACGCGCAGAGTGTTGACCCTGCGAGTGCCCTCGGGAGAGGACAAAAGCACGGCAGATGAGCCTGTGTGTCCTAGCCATCTGTCGCCTCTCTGTGCGCGCCACTCTTGGCCACAACTCTTTGGTGGAGGTGCGCGCTGCGATTGTGGTGAGAGAGACACGCTCGCGATCCCCCACCAGCCATGTGATTGCCACTGAGGTGGGTATAAAAGGCGGCTGGAGAATTAGAATCTCGTTCACATTGCTTCCACCGACCGACAATAATACAAAAGGCTCACAAGTAGCTAAGTTAAGTCTCTCCATCCAACACTAATCCACTCTGTGTGCAGTTCTTGGATCAATTTGTGGTGCAGTTGCGAGTTTTATCAGTTGATTTTTTGTGTCTCAGGTGAGTTTACCAGTGTTGAATTACAGTGAAAATTTTATTAATAATTTCAAGAAAAAAATCCGTGCAAATTGAAAAAAATTTCTCCACTTAATCCAGCGCATTCTTAACATTTACCTCACGTGTGCAAAAGACACCTTTTTTCACTCTCTCCCCCACCAACAATGTCACAGATTAAATGTGGCTCATATTTTTTCGTTAAAGAGTTTTTTGAATTAAAAAAATATTTCATAATCATGCGCTCGCACGTCTTAAATGACAAATTGTCGATCGAGAGGAGAAATTTTTTCTCATTCACACACAGTAAATGCACTTTTTTCTTCATCATCACCGATAAATCGATAATTTATTCATGCTAAAACCTGTTCGCGCCCATACGAAATCATATCAATTTCTGCGTGTAACAAATCACACGGAGATGGTGGATTAATTAAATAATTTCCGTTATAAATCAAAATGTTGCATCATTTATTAGTGCCTTTGATATCGTGCACAATTCACTCTCCCTTTTTCCAACTGTCTTCTCTTGAGTAATTTTCCACATCAACCCATATATTATTTATTTTGACCATTTCTCCACGACGTTTTTTTTCACTTCTGGAATTGCCAAACACAATCAACTTCCTTTCCGGGCTTTGGCTTTTTAGGAGATGATCCGAGGCGAAAATTGGGTCAGTGTTCATTTGAATAGAGAAACACATTTTTATTCATTGCGCCGTGTGCGCAACTTTCTTAAATCGCTTTTCCTCTCCCAATTCCTCCAGCCGCCGCGCACACTGCTCGCCTCCTTCCGCTTCCCACTGGGCGACAAAATCTCCTCTTGAATCACAAGATGTGTGCGCCTTCTTATGTGCGCCTTCACGCCTCATATCAGTGATTGTGTCTCATTGAAATCATTCACCATCGAGCGGATGTGTAAGAAAATGCTCTCTCAGATGGTTTTTGATTGAATTAAAAAGACGATGGCTGAGTTTGCTGAAATAGGAGGAAGAACTTGTAGAGAATGGAGGAGCTCACGAGAATTCCTCTTAGCATTTTGCCTCTCTTCTTTTATTTTTTGCAATTCAACATCCTCCGCATGCCGACAATTTCTCACCACCGCGCTATGCGTATTTGAATAAATCAGATAAAATTGCGCTTTAAATCACTGAACTTGTACTTGAATTGGGTGTACTTAAGCTCCTCTCTCTCACTCTGAATCTACACAGAGAGGCGCACAAATAGCTCGCGAGAGACCATTTTATTGAACTTCCGTTCGCCACACGCGAAAAACAGTGGCGGCAAGAAAATAGTCATGCACAGAGAGACAAAGAAGAGTACTCACATTCCTTATCACAAATCCACCAAACATCTTCTGTGTGACTCGCAAGAATTTCTGCCAGCGCCAAAACTTTCCCATGCCAATAAAGATAAAAAATGCAGACACACCAGAACAAGATAGAACAACAGATTGTACAAATCTGTAATTATGGGATTTTTATGCACAACGAAAATTCACACAAAATGCACACAGTTTTCTATAATGATGCAATGTGCAATTGTCCATATTCTCTGCCCATGATAATTGCATGATATTCGTGTCTAAGCCATTCTCAATTCAATTTCTCTCTCTCTCTCTCCAATTTGCAGTCAGAAAGGAATCATGCAGCGAAAAGTCTTCCTCCTCGTGGCTCTGTTCGCCCTCGCGTACGCGCGGCCCACTGAGAACGACGTCTCAGTGGCCAAAGAGGCGCCCGCCGAGACAAAAGCCACCCCCGTTGTCGACGACTCCTCCAAGTCTGTGTCCGACGAGACCGTTGAGGTCGCCAAGGCGCTTCCGGTAGCCGAGAAGCCGCAATCTCCGGCGGCAGAGGCGGCCGCCTCAAGTGTCGACGCCTCTAAGAGCTCAGAGGAGCAGCGAAAGCTGCCGGAATCCGCCGAGTCCAAGGAAAACTCTCGATCTGAGGAGGATCAGCCCAAGCCCGAGGAGCCAAAAGCTCTCCCCGCCGCCGGAGAGTCCGCCAAGCCCGCCGCAGCGCCCGAGGAGAAGAAAGCCGAAGCTGGACTGAAGGAGATTCACGCTGGCGCCGCTCCAGAGCCCGCCAAGGCCGAACCCGTGGCCGATGACGCTGTCAGGCAGGTGAGGGACACTGTGGAACCCAAGGAGGAGGCCAAGAAGGAGGAGAAACCCGCTGAGGAGAAGAAGGAAGAGAAGAAGGAGGAGAAGAAGGAGGAGAAGCCCGCTGAGGAGAAAAAGCCTGCCGAGGAGAAGAAGGAGGCCGAGAAGTCCGCCGCCCCTGAGCTGAAGAAGAACGTCCAAGCGGACGAGGCCAAGGAAGGCCAGCGAAATCTCGACGAGAAGTCCTCCGCCAAGCCTGAGGAGAAGAAACCCGAGGCTCCAGCTCCACCAGCCATTCCTAACGCTCCATCTCCACCAGCTGTTCCAGCCGTTCCCAATCCCCCGCCAACCTCCAGCCAAGAGTCCCAGGAGGCGCCCGACTCCCACGAGAGCCACGAGTCCAACGAGTCCGACTAGAGGACGCGAGAGACTCTCTCCAACAGAAAAACACCCGCCACAGAACCCAATAAATCCCACACAAACACTCTGAATTCCCCGCACAGACGAGTAGCAGTGTCCCCGCCCCCTTCCCAGCCGCCTCCCCCTCGACTTTACTATAATTATAATAATTTGTAATTGTAATGCAATTAATGATTATGAGTCATTTTTTACGTCGATCAAATTATTTTGAGTGACACGAGATGAAATAAAAGAAAACCACAAAAAGGAAAAACGCGCAATAATTTTTGACTGTCGCAAGACATGTCCCATAGAAAAATGACAGTACATGTGGTACGCTTCCGCAGACATCTTGACAGAAGCCTGCGAAGTGTCCGTAAAACTTGTATTTCTTTCTCTTTAGTGCATCATATATAGTTTTATAAACTCCAATAAAGAATAGAATTTACAGAAGTGGGAGCGCCTTTTCAACTCTCCAGGCAATTTCTGTGTCTCAACTCAGGCACAGCTGACAAATAAATTAATATGAATTGATAACATCCTACACACAATTTCCACGCGCATTGCAAAAGCCCCAAAGGTGGGGAGGGAAATATCTCATGCTTGACCTTCCTGACCACTCTCTAGACTGTGACTAAGTGCAATTCTGCGGCATTTTCACGAGGCGCACTGAGTGCTCACGAAGGTCTAGGTCGCTGAACGAGATAGGGGAGTTTTCGATGCCAGAGATTATTCAATTTCCCAGGTATTATAATTTCTATTGGGGAATTCTTCACATTAGCAAATGTAATTAAATCCATTTTTGCAACACCAGGGATAGACCAAATAAAAGCTCTCTTCGCGTGGATTGTCAATGTCATTGAAAAGTAATTAAATGTCGCATGGGAATTATACAATATCTTGCAATTTAATTCTGAGTAATTTTCATTGCTTTCATGTCAAATCAATTCACATTACTGAGAGCGATAACCCGGTTTTCCCCTATCTTTTGAGAGTGCATGAATTTTTCACGCACCCAGAGTTGAATTATTATCACGATTTCACTGACTAAAGATCACAATTCACACGGTTAGCAATTAATTGTGCTAATGTGGAGAATCTTAAGGGGATTTTGAGTTATTTCCTTCACTGAAAAGAATCAATTTGGAGCTTTAAGAAGTTTCTTGTCGAATGATTTTAGGCTGATCGGGTCGAAGTAAATATTCAAAAAAGGATTTTTTTGCAGAAAAATATCAACTTACGATCAAATTTATGAGCTTTAAAAGGCCCTCCTAAATGATTAAGTGAAAAATACTGTACAGATTTCAGTCACATCACTTCCCCCTGTGAACAGCGAACTTGTCGTAGGACAATTGCAGACTCACCTTATCAGTCAACATGAGGCAGGCAACGACTCCCAGCGACCACCAATCGACAGAGTGACCGTAAGGCTGAGCGCAGAGAATTTCGGGTGCTGTAACAGAGATAGAAAAGAATCTCAGTGCATTTTTCTACTACTTACCTTCACATTAACACAAAATAGAGAGCAAAACAAAAGGATACAGTGTGACAACAATTAAGAACAAGAAGTGGTGAACAGAAAGGAGAAACATTGGTGGAGATAGAGAGAGTATAATAATAATTGTGAAAGAGAGTGTCTTCATTTGCATACAGAACTTTGATCACTGTTTTCTCCTTTTATTAATTCATCTTTAAATCGTCCTAAAATCCGCTTTCTTTCTCTCACTTAATTGGTAATAATTCTTTTTCACTTGCAATCTTATAAAATAGCATTCATTTAACATAATCGTCACTCTATTCACTACTTAATTTGTGGTTGGATCTTAAGTTTCATTGTCTTAACATCTATTTTAAGCTAAATAAGATGAATTCTCTCAATGTGTAATTCTCAACTCATCTTACTCGCTTTTTTTTTACATTTACACCTCCTCAAGATTTGTGTTTAAAAATCTAATTATCAGTTATTAACACAAAGTGGTTGTTTGAAATCACAACTTTTCAACCCGATTCTCCATTTATGTTTCCTTCTCTTTCTCTCTATGCCTCATGTTTATTCGCCTTCTTCCCCTTTTATTCAATCACACAACACTCTTTTGTGGCATTTTTTCTCTCCTCCAGTTGTATCATTCAAAATTTGAAGACATTTTGGTCATATTTGACGCGCGATACTTTCATTTAACTGCTAAATTTATCTGTTTTTTTGATTTATTTTCCTCTTCGTTCTTTTTCTTCTTCTTCTTTTTTTGCTCTCTATTTCTCACAAATGAAATACTTTCAGATACTTTTTTTCTCATAGTAATATAAAAAGATATCAAAATACAAAGAAAAATCTAAACATAAAACCACTTTTCACTTAATCCAAAAACATTTATGCCAAAAATATGTCCTAATCATTAATGCCTCTCCTCGTCTTCAAAATATTATGCCTCATTTCTTATCCACCTGCTTTGTTTCCATTGGACTTCGGTGCAAAAAAATCAATTTTTCGAAGTCATTACGTTATCATTGCAAATTTCACATCACAATATTCAATGCCATTAAACATCAAAATTAATTAAATCTACATGTTAGCGCGCTGCTTGAATCGCTTCATTTATGTACATCATATTTAAATTAAAATGGGGAAATAAAAACAAATAAAAAAAAACACAGGAATATTTGGACAGTGATTTTACATTATTATTATTTCTTCTTATTTGTAAGATTTGTAAGCTTTGAATTCTCCAAGATTAAATTAAATAATAAAGAAAAAGAGAAACTTTACGTGTTTTTCCTCCATTTGAAGCGCGCGTAATTCATCAATTTCTCACACTTTAACCACGTTCATTCGGGGTAAAATTACTACATTTCCTTAACTTCTTGTTTTGTATTTACAGAGAAGAAATATTTGTTTACTCTCAAAGATTAACTTCTAATTTAATATTTTTACACCAAATTTGAACATTTTTTTTTACCACCACGGATTTTTTCCTTCTCTATAATTCTCTCCTCAAAAAGAGTCTCTCAATCTAAATTACCCATCAATTAGGAGAAGGAAAAAAGACATCGAGACTACGACACAATTGCAACATTCTTCTTCCTCATTTACGCGCAAATGACGAGACTAATTTCTCACACACGACCAGGAAATAAAACTCAAGAGATGAGGATGTAAAGATGAAGATGAAAAAAAGCCCTTTTAAGATTGAGAAGAATTGATTTTCCAGAAAATCGAAATTAAACTATCTAGAAACGATCTAAAAGAAACTAAGACAACCCATCAAAAGACATTGATTAGTTGATATTGAAGTATGATAAAGTAAGAAGTAAATTGAGAAAGATTGGCAGAAGCGCGCATCCTCAATCCAGACCGAGGAATTGCAGCCAATAGACAATGTGGAAATTAAGTCACAACGAGAGAGTCTCCTTGATCAGCTTCTTCACTGTGTTGCCCACGGAGCCACCACTGGGTGCCGCTGTGCTGAATTTGAACTTAAACAGATACGGCTGCACATCGGGAAAGGTGGTGTCGAAGATCAAATCCATCTCCGACTGACTCGGCATCCTCGGCACATAATCATGCCTATTCATCACCTCGGAAATGTAGAGAATCTTCTCCGTGAGCATATCGCCCACCTGCTCACGGCACAGCTGCCGCTCGTCCTCCGTGTACAGATTGATGAGATCCAGTCGCACCGTCCACACCTCCCACGGAATGCACTCGGGCGCAAATGGCCAGCGGTTCTTCTTCTTCTGAAAGAACTCCAGACTGATCTGCCCCGAGCCACAGCCCTCATTGCTGCGCAGTTGCTCACTGAAGTTACTGATCTCACTGCGCAGCCTGCGATCCAGACTGTCCGACGTGCAGCACACGTACGTGTAGTCAATGAAGTCGCAATCGACATCGGTTGTGCCAATTGTACCCACAGAGTACACCGCCTCCTGATTGTACTCGAACTTCCCCAGCGATCTGTAGAACAGCACCGTGTGGAAGATGCTGGCCACGGCCTCGTCCACCTGCCTGCCCTCCACACGCATCTCAAACACCTGCGACCGCGCATTCATGATCACCACCGGCTAGCAGACCTCTGCGTCGCCACACTCCACCGTCGCCGCCGCCGCCGCCGCCGCAGATATCAGAGTGACACGGGACAAAGGAGCAAATTGAAGCATAGGAAACAGAGTGTGGTGAAGAGACAAACAGCTCTGCGACACAATCACACACTCTATCAATCCTCTCTGGCGCGATTCTCTCACTCTCTCTTCTCTCTCTCTCTCTCTCTAGATTTTGGATTAATTGGATGTGTAGTTACCCATGTACTTCGCCGTGCCACACATCGTGCGCGTCCTGTCGCCAATCTTCAGCCACGCACTCAATCCGAAGTCCGTCAATTTGATGTGATAGTCAGCATCCACTAGTATGTTGTCCGGCTTGAGGTCACGATAGATGACACCGGCATTGTGTAGAAAATCTGCCACGGACAATATAATCATTCACGTGATCAGACAGTGATTGTGGCACGATGATGCAAGACACACTTACCCAGCGCTAAGCCAATCTCTGCAACATAAATCTGCACCAATTTGTAGCAGAATGTCGTCACAGCGTCAAATAACTCGCCACGCGGGACAAATTCGCACACTGCAAGATAAAAAAGGGAGGAAAGAAGTCACTAATTGGGCAGAAACAGTGATCATTTTCATATCAACCGATAACAGAATCGATAAATTGTGAAATTCTTCCAGAAAATGTCGCTTTAGATTAAAAACAGACTCTGAATTCCTTTCTGGAATTGAATTTTCTTGCACTATTTGCAATCTCCCAATCAAAATCTGTCATCAAATAGAAGCTTAAGCTTTCAGATTGATTTTCAGCCTAGAGAAACCACAAAAGCGATTGAGTGTTAATTTGTCAAGGCTCTCAGATTCCCAGCATCATCAATTTCAGGCACTTTCGTGCCTCTGCCGGACTGTTATTTAGGGGGGAAAGCATCGATTGTGATATGCACAATTGCAAATGACGCGGAGAATCTAAAAATAGCGCGACAAAGAGCGACAAATATCCTGGCGGGAAGTGCGCGCTCTTTGACGCTTCCTCAAGCGTGAGCAATGGCGCAGGTTCAACCCCCGCCCCCCCCCGTGAAAGCCACCCTCACTCACGGATGTAGATGTTCTTGCGGTTCTGCCAGTAGGACAGGCACTGCACGATGAAGGGATGGTGTCCGCAGCGCGACTGGATGTCCACCTCGTCGCGCAGCTGCTTCAGTTCATTGTCCTTGATGATCTGCGACTTGCTGAGCACCTTGAGAGCGTACTCCTTGCATGTGTCCTTCTCCACCACACTGTACACCTTCCCGTAGCCGCCGGAGGCGAGGTAGCGTGATGTGATGTACTTCTGATCCTCCGGGCCGCGGTGGATCTTGAACTGGGGCAGGAAGAGATGCTCGCGCTGCGCCACCGGCCAGTTGCTCTTGGACAGAATCAAGTCTTGGGTGTGTGACTTGGTGGAGTCACTGCGGAGAAAGCCAAACGGGCGTGATTAGGCAATTACCTGCCGCTGCAAAAGGGCCGCCGTCGACTCACCTTCTCGGAAATGTCGACAGGAGGTTGTTGCAAGACCTCGAGCTGAGACGATTGCGGAACGCCAGCGAGGGGGAAGAGCAGAATCTGTAGAGTCCGTTCTGCTCGTCATCAGTGTGCGATGAGATCAGTGCGTTTTTTGTGCGTGAGAGACGCAAGAAGAGCGAATGGTGAAAAAAACATATCTGACAGCTGAGCACAAAGAAAATGCCTTTTTACCTGGGAGAGAGAAGTGGACCTCTTGGCGTAGTTGATGCAATTATCAGTCTCGCCCACACCGTTGCGCGATGCACTGTATACTACTGGTGAATTTCCATGGATTCTACAGCCTAAATTGCCCATCAAATATGTACAAAACTGCGCTTTATTTCAGCAAACTTACACTCTCACGGCAGACATTTTTTACGCCGTCCCGAACTCACTTTATCCAACTTCCCTCGCCATATGATTCGCTTTATCCAGGGATAGAAGAGGTGCGTCTCTGGTCGTGTAGAAAATTCAGCTTTTGAGCATTTCACAATTATACACCATTCATCGGGACTGTGATTAATGAAATCATGCAAAAAGGCAGAATAATTATTTAAATTCCAGTCAATTGGTTTCTTAGGGCTATTCACGAGGTTGCTACCATTACACACCCCTGAAAAGTGACGCGTAATTATTTCACCATTTAGTGGTGGCCATTTTTGTGCTGTCAGTCCGAAACGTAAACAAGGAGGATATTTTCTTGTGCAAAACACTCAATTTTCTCCACTAAAAACCAGTGAAATTGTGCGCAATGGCAGGTGGCACTCCTCGTGTGCCCATCTCGCAGCTCTTGGCGGACAAGACAGGCGATGAGGAGCCCAAGAAGAAGTCCCGCGAGGACTGGCGCAAGGCGAAGGAGCTGGAAGAGGCCAGAAAGGCAGGAACAGCTCCGGCAGCCGTGGATGAGGAAGGCAAGGACATCAATCCGCACATTCCGCAGTACATCTCTTCCGCGCCCTGGTATTACGGCGCCGCGGGGCCCACGCTCAAGCATCAGCGGCCGCAGGAGGAGAAGAAGAAGCAGTACTCCTCGATTGATGAGTGGTACAAGAAGGGCGTGGACACCACCAGGATAGCCACGAAGTACAGAAAGGGCGCCTGTGAGAACTGCGGGGCGCTCACGCACAAGAAAAAGGACTGCATGGAGCGGCCACGGAAAGTGGGCGCCAAGTTCAGCGGCGCGCAGATTGCGCACGACGAGTTCATCCAGCCCAACATCGTGTCTGACTACGACGGGAAGCGCGACCGGTGGAGTGGCTACGATCCGGCGCAGCACCGGGAGATTGTGGAGGAGTACCAGAAGGTGGAGGAGGCCAAGAGGGCCCTCAAGGCAGCCAAACTCAAGGACAATCCGGACGCCGAGCTGTCGGCTGACGAGGAGGAGGACGAGGACAAGTATGTGGACGAGGTGGACATGCCGGGCACAAAGGTGGACTCCAAGCAGAGAATCACGGTGCGGAATCTGCGCATTCGCGAGGACACAGCCAAATACCTGAGGAATCTCGATCCCAATTCGGCCTATTATGATCCCAAGACGCGATCCATGCGAGACAATCCGGAGCCCAACAAGAAGCCGGAGGACTCGGAGTTCGCCGGGGAGAACTTTGTGCGCTTCACGGGAGACACGCAGAAGCACTCGAAGGCGCAGCTGTTCGCCTGGGAGGCGTATGGGAAGGGCGTGGATGTGCACATCCTGGCGGAGCCGACGAAGCTTGAGCTGCTGAAGAATGAGTATGAGAAGAAGAAGGAGCAGTTCAAGTCGCAGGTGAAGGACACGATTCTTGAGCGCTACGGCGGAGAGGAACATCTGCAGGTGCCGCCGAAGGCACTCCTTCTCGCCCAGACAGAGGAATATGTGGAGTACTCGCGCACGGGGAAGGTGATCAAGGGCCAAGAGAAACAGATCGTGCGCAGTCGCTACGAGGAGGATGTCTTCATCAACAACCACACCACAGTCTGGGGCTCTCACTGGAACGTTGGCCAGTGGGGCTACAAGTGTTGTCACTCCTTCATCAAGAACTCCTATTGCTTGGGCGAGAGTGGCAAGACAGCCCAGATGGCTGTTCCTCCGACTAAATCCCTTGTCAAAGTGGAGGACAGCGAGAAGGAGAAGCCCGTGGAGGATGAGGTGGCTGAGAAGAGCAAGAGCAGCAGCAGCAGCAGTAGCAGCAGCGAAAGTGAATCTGAGGACGAGGAGGACGCGAAGAAGCGCCAGAAGGCCAAGAAGAAGAGCAAGAAGAGGCGCCAGAAGGAGAAGAAGAAGCTGAAGAAGCAGGAGAAAGACAAGCTGAAGGAAGCCCTGCAGGCGGAGGACAAGAGAAACAAGGAAGTGGACGAGATGATGAAGCTGGACGAGAGGAAGCGGCCATACAACAGCATGTACGAAGTGAAGAAGCCCTCGGAGGAGGAAATGGAGGCGTTCATGATGAAGAGGCGTCGCGAGGAGGATCCCATGCTGCAATTCCTGGATCCCTGAACCCCGAAAATCCCCCCAGAAATCTGTAGAGAAGAAATGTTCGATGAATAAAAATGTTAATGAGATTCAATTTCGTAGGTTCTTTGGCTACAGCATATGCTGTGCAGCATAAACAGTGTGGGAATTGATTTGAAAATCAAAACACAAAATCTTCCAGACGATGATTCACGTGAAAATCCCGAGGAAATGCAAAAAGAAGTGATAAATCCCAGAAAAGTGGGACACCTTGAGCACTTTGCAATCATCAGACTGGGTTTCTTGAACTGCATTCGCGCAGTGGTGATGATTTATCATCCGACAAGAGTCGTTATAGCCATTTTTCTTTGCACCACAAACACACCAATCGAGCTCGCGAGGTGGATTTGTTTGATGAAAAATCCAGTAAGATTAATTATATATTCACGCAAAGAATATTGCAAAATTGGAATTACAAATTGTAAGTCATCAAATGGATGTTGTGAATTGTTCCCAGTCAATGTAAAGTTATGCATTTTATTCCATCTCATTTCGTATTCCAACTTTTCTGTATGATGCGACATTTTTGGTTATTGCGTCAGCCGACTTTTTATTATTTTGTGTACACACACATATTTTTCCTTTTCGTTTTCTAATTTATTCTTTGCGCGGTGGGAAATGCGCCATCGTCATTTTATGGGTTTTTTTCTGTCTTATTCTTGGGTGATCTTTTCATCTCTAAATTCTAGGGATCGTCTCGGTAATAATCATGTCCATTAACTTGTGTGCGGCTCTGTTGCGATCTCACCTCGCGACGGGGTCAAATTCACACCGCGAGCAAAGTGATAAGTGGAGACAATAGCGATCTACTTTGATTATCATAGGCACGAGTGCCCGGAGAAATTACGACTGTTTGCCTATCGCAGGAGTGAGATTGATCATATATATTCGCTCATGGCGCAAATTGTGCGATATGCCTTCAATCCACAATCAACGGGGCCAGAGATACGATATGGAAACCTGTTTATCAGTCGCGATGGGTACTCAACATTGGAGCAATGATTAAAATTTCTTACACTTTTGCCTCTGTGCCTCAAAGAATTTCCCCACCGCGCGCTGCACTCAATGTACAGGTTCCCTCAGAGTGATCGGAGTTATAAAGGCAGTCTGGCTCTTTTCACGCCGCATTCGGCTCTTTGGCTTCACTCGCGGTAAAAGTGCTTCCCGAGGAATTTCTCTCTCTCTCACTCACAGTCAAATCTTCAGAGGAAAACATTGCGATCGCACGCAACGATCACCTCAAAATCGCACAACTCCCGAGAAGATCATCTTAATTGGTCCCAACAAATTATAACTCAACAAGAGAAAAGTGTAGTTTTTGTGTCAATGTTTTTGAGTGCTGACGACGTGCTGTTAAAGTTTCTACCAACTGTGAGGTAATGAGGATCACATGAGCAATCTTTCTTTTTTCTGTGCTTTTGAGCATTGAAGTAAATTGTGGATTTTCCCCTTTTCTTTTTCTTCACCACCACGAAACGCACGCAGATTCAGTAGGAACCTGTGTATCGGGAAAGGCAGTCGCAGAGGAAACTCAGGCAATCGTCTGGAATTCCAAGTTCTCACGCTCATCGAGTACGTGCCTTGAAGATCCATCAGCCGTGATAATCAGCGGATCAGCACATAAGAAATCCAACTAAAAAATGGTGCAAGGATACAAAAGCCAGACGGCCAAAGTCACCACGCACAGTGACAACAGCGCGTCCAAGAGGACTCAGCAGCAGGTCAAGGACAAGCCCAAAGATGTCCAGCAGAGCAACGCGTCCAAGTACGGCGCCTGGGGACCGACATTCAAGAATCGCGAGCACTTCAACAGTCTGCACTTCTCCTAAATCTGCACTCAAACTCCTACCGATTAGTCACCAATTCCAAGACTTGTAGAGATTTTTAAGAGAAAAACTTTACATTTAACACACAGCAAATCATGTGATCAGTTCAATAACCTCTGTTCCAATTTTTTCTGCGTCTCCAGCGGACATAAGAAATTTACATGAGGTGCGAAATTGCCTGATCTCCATATGATATTTCCAAAGTATCGTCAGCGCGATCGTCGATCGTCAGACGGAGGTTTTTTTCGGTGGATCACCAGCTTTTTCCCGCGCGATCATCAGACTAGTTCATGACCTAAGCCACGGGTTAATCCCAGTATGTAAATCCAAATATCACACGCTTTTCCTCCTCATGATCGCCAATGACGCCAACTTTGTAGAGACGCGTGAGAAATTATTGATTAAAAGTTTCGAAGGAAATAGTCAAAGTTTCCTTCTTCTAAAAATAGCAAAATCTGTGATTTAGACAAAGAATAATTCAAACATTTCGTGTATTCTTCTCATTTGCAATGCAATAAATACCTTAAAATAAAACCAATAAAACCATTAACACGAGGTCACTTATTCGCGCGCTTTTCCTCAATGATCGCCGAAGACAAGGGGGAGATATTGTGATCGGAAACTCTATGCAGCTCAGCGGAAGTCTTAACCAAGCAAATGGATCAACTCCCAGTCAAACATAGTCATGTTAAACTTCAAATCTGTTAAAGTTTAACGTTTGAAATGAATAAGGAAAAACAGCCCTTGCTATTCTCGCTAAAACAGTGTTTTAGAGTGTGTTTTAATTGGTGCAAATTTAGAAAAATGCTCTTCTTGGGACAACATTAGATTGCACTGAGTTGGAAGCGAATGAATGAGTTGCAAGAGCCTCTGAACGTGTGGCAATTAATCATCACAGAATATCTCCCTCTTTAGCTGGAAGATCAGCCAGCGCTCTCGTGCCAGGAAGACTGATCGCACATTGTGAACCAGTTCTCGCCGGATCGTCTGCAAAATCCCCGTCAAAATGCACCGCGAATGCGTAGTTGGATGACCGCGCTTGTCCGGATGGAAACTTACTTAAATTGGATCGTAAAAGACGACAGCGAGTCGTCAATATAGGGAGGATTTCGTGAAAATTTTGCATATTACCTGTTGTTGAGCGCGATATGGATTTTTTCAACCAGTCTAACGAGTTCCTAAGCGACACATCAAGCATCTCTTCTACGTGGTGGCGAACACGGTGCCGAAGCGCGTATAAAAGAGCCCAGAGCTTCTGCGACAGTAATCAAACAGAATCAAATCGTTCTAGCGTCGCTATCGATATTGGCGGAAAGTGTGTTGAGAAGTTATATTTCGTTCATGAGAATCTAAGTGAAAATTTTGTGTCAATGATACCCTGCATTTACCAGAGGAGGTACAAGAATCTACCGTTTGTTACGTGAGTATCAATTGCTGTTGATTGTGCTTGAATCATGGCGTGATTCTATATAAATCCATTTTGCTCTCAATCCGCAGTTTGAACAAAAATCTGGGCGTCCGCAAAGGCAGTCGTACAGGAAACTCAGGAAACCACCTGGAATTTCAAGTGCTCACGCTCATCGAATACGTGCCTTGACTCAATCGCCCAAATCGTGACAATTGCAAGTGAATTGCGATAGATCTGAACTCCAATAATCTTCTGCCTTAACTGTCACTGTGCTTTTGGTGCTTTCGCTAAACTTTAACTTCGCGGTTGAAAATGGTGCAAGGAGAGCGCACAGGATTCACCAGTGTGGAGGCTGTCTACCAGCGCAGCCAGGACGCCAAGCGCTCCGGCTTCGAGAACATGCAGAAGCGCAGCAAGGAGAGCCAATCCTCGTCCTCCAAGGCGGCGTCGGCCTCTTCGTGGGGCCAATTCAAGAATCGCGACCACTTCCTCAGCCTCCATCACTGCTGAGCGGCGGCGGCGCCCGGCTCTGCGGCCTCCACTCCAACTGCGGCTTGTGGGACTTTTAGCCATAACTTCTCCTCCAATTGGCAACAGCTTCTACTCATTAATATTCCCCGATTTATGCAAATAATCACCATTTATATGAAAATACACAAATGAGCAAAACAGCCTCTTTTCATCCTTGATCAATGTTGAAAACTCGTTTTGTCTCTTTGCATTGAAAAACACCACAATTTTCATAGGATTGACTGCTTCTGTGTGAGTCACTTTTATTCCATCATACATTTTTATTATATTTCTCTTTTTCTCAAGTTCAACGGCGAAAGAACAAAATTTGTGTGTGTGGCAAAAATTTTGGAATATATGGAAAAAGACACACTAATGCGGATTGAAACGCGCGATAAGTTTACAAACTCTGCGATGTAGAAAATCATTTCTCCCTGATGTCCGATTTGAATAAACGGTTTTTAAATACATATTTAGATCATTCTCTCGCACAATTTCACCTCCAATCGCAAATAGTCAACACTGATATATAAATTAATGCAATTCTATGTGGAACAGTATTTATAGTCCTAAATTGTTTCTTTTTCTTTCTTTCAAAATTCCGGTAAATTGACTAATTTTTCAACTGTCTTTTCTCCAAATATCAAATATTATTCAACGTGTCAAAGTCTCTCAAATGCATTTCTTCTCCTCTCTCATCTCATATCAATTGAATGGCATTAGAGATAATCTATATCAGCAATTCCAATTCACTATTATAATTCATATAATGTCATATCACTCGGCTATTTTACCTACACTTCTTTTCTTCTCATCTTGGGAATGGCAACAGAAACCAAAAACAATCACAAGTAATCTCTCTCATAAATAAATTCATTTGATATATATCTCTTAAATATGTTTCTGACTAATGAATATCAAGTTTGTCTTCAGAAGTTAATTGCTACTCTACTTCAATCATGCTCGCTCTCCATCACACGAAAGGTTGATTTTTATTTGAAGTTTCGCACACTCAAAGGTCCTTCATAGTGACTGAGAGGACGAGGAATTGTTGATCGCTCTGTCTCACTGCAAGAAAAGGTGAGAAAAGCATTTATATTAAAGGCATAAATATTAAATAAATCATCAGTAATATTACTATTGAAATTATTAATGTGTAAAACTAATTAAATATACAAATTTCTAACGTGTCTACTGAGGAATTCCGGCCTCAAATCTTTAAAATGTCCTTTAGAAAGAAGAATTGATATTTAAGCTCCGCCTCTTAAACTTTCTCTCTCAATTCTTCTGTTTCTCCTAATTTTTTTCAAAAGTCCCAACAAAATGAGCTTTCTTCTGGACAAATACTTAAGATAGGACAAACCACAGTCCTTACCAATGATGAGCACTGTGTGGACGAGGAAGCGCAGTTCCGCCGTGTTCTTTAAGTAGCACGCAGTTTCTGCTCTTGCTCAATCCGTTTTTTGGCGCCGGAGAAATCTCAGCCGTGGTCACCTGAATCTGTCGATTCGGTGAGAAAATCTCATTCAGTCGGGATCTTGTGTTCGGCGAGTCCTCCTGCGAAGGAAAGCAAAAGTTAATCACTGCTGCAGAGCAAATCCACCGAAGGAAAACTCACTTCGCTGCTCTGCGAGCTCACGGTGAGAACATTTTCCTGGGAGAAATTGAATATGCTGAAGTGTGGCGATCGCGGCCACGTGGTGGGCGGCGGAGATCTGATCATGTGCTCCTGCACTTCGGGCAGTGTGAAAGGATCAGATTCCAGCTCTGGATTGAATTCCTGCGACATGAGAATGGCGTCATCCGACACGGTGTCCTCCAGCGTGTCCACGAGACTCTCACGACTTGCCAGGATCTTCTGCACGAAGGGATTGTCCTGCCGCGACAGCCGCAGCGCCTGCATGTCCTGATCAATATCCCGACAGCGGCCCGGCGTGAGTGTGAGCGTGGAAATTGACGGCGACGCCGCTTTCGTGGCGGCATTCATTTGCGTGCAGCTGTAGCTTATCACTGGGAAAAGGTAGGGAAATTAAATAAAATCACCCACTCTTGCTTTCCATGTCACACTAAATTATCTCAATCGATCATCTATTGGCGCTGTTCTCTCAATTTCACCCCGAAGAAACGATAGAGTGAAATTGTGCACGCGCTATTTCTTATCGCAACTTCTTCTACAGGTGCGTATTTTGTCTCTCCCTCTTTGAACTCATTCAATCAAGCCTTATTTTTGCCTAACTAAGCATTGATAATAGGAGCAACGAAAATGGGAACAATTTTATCAGTGTGTGTTTTCTAAAATGTACAAAAGAAAAAGTGTAAGACAACAGAAGAGATAGTCATGAAGATTTCAACATATTTAGTCAGTACATAGCGAACATATACACACACTTTTTCCTTATCAGTAAATCCCATTAGTTAGATTTCCCTTCAATCAGGCGATGGGCAATTACACTATAGCTTTTCTCGACATTCGGTAAACAAACGCGTGTCACGTTTCTCACCTGTGCAAATTCACATATTTTCCTTTCTTTAATGGGATTTTTTTTTTGAAAAAAAAACAAACTTTTGTGCCATAAAAGCGTTTTAATGGGACTCAAAACATTTGCAAATGGTGAGCTTTTTACTGGCACAATTCCTCACACACAAACTCGCATTCATCTATTTAGCTGCACTCCTTTTGTGAAGAATTTATTTGCATGCATAAAATGCTCACGTGAGGCAAATAATTTGAAAAGTTTCACTGACAAAACAAGCATAAAACTCAAGTTTCTTTCATTTTATTCTATGCAATTTCCCGCAACATTTTCTACAGCAAGTTCTCTAAATAAAAAACTGGAATGGAAACTGTGTCAAAATCTTGGGCCAAAATTGCCAGTCATTTCGATTTTCTCCTCATGTTGAAAGAAAAACCCCCAATTTCCACCCCAGAGCGAGAGAGTAAATCAATTTTATGACCCTGTGCAGTAAAGAGCTTTTATGTGGGAGCTTCCAAATGGCCTCAACAGGGGTGAATTTACAAAGCCCAACACTTTAATTCACGTCCACCCTCCGGTTTTTCAGCCCCGCACAACTTGAATTTTCCTCAAATATTGATTTTCTCCAAACACGTAAATTCACCATCAGACTCTCAAAGCCTTCTTATGCATATACATATAGCATGTTATGTATGAATATGACATTTTGTCCAGCAATTTCACCTGGCGCACAATTTTATCTGCCATCTTCAGCCGCCTAAAAAAGACACTGTTTTTCGTCTATCTTTTGTGTGTGAAATTAAATGAACTCAAGCGTAATTACGGCTTTTCTTCGCTGCGAAATCAACGCGGCACAATCAAGCGGACGGCGCGAAGGGAAACTGAGAGATGATGATGATGATTTTGGGGGTGAAAGCTGAGACTCACCTGACGGTTCTGAGCGCGCCCTTTGGTTCATCTCGCGACTTCCCCGCTCGAACATCATGTCATCGATCTCGAGCACCTTCCGGCGACGCAGCAGATTGGACAGGAACACAAACGGCCTCCGCCTAATGCTGATACTGGTGGTACTCTTACCGAACGTTGATGCACTTGACGATGGCATATGCGATATTTGGGTCACACACACACACACACAGCGAGAAAAGACACACAGGAATTTCCCTTCTGCACCCCACCAGAGAGACACTTGGCTGGCTTTTCCGCCGATCGATTGTTCCTCCCTTTTCTACCCTCACTGATAAGTCACACCACACATTCACTTGAGTATTTGTCGTCAACGCGCTGCTTCTCACTCTGGCGCACGCATTTTCACACCGCGCGCCCAGCACCGGGTCGAGTGGGCGAAGGAGATGTGTTCACTCACCCCCCTTTGAGTGTGCTGTGGGGGCGCAGAAAGTGCAGCGGCAGAGCCTTCGGCGCACTGGGAAATGTGCTCTCTAGGCCCACCCTATTGATTGCTGCCCAACGACAATCACGCGGTCGCTGCGGGAGAAAATCCAATAAAGACCGCCCTTCCACAATTCGCAAAAGTGCTTTGTCAACACCACGGATTTCACCAGCCAGAGACTTAGTCACTCCTCAACTCCTGAGCCACGCAATCTCACTGCTCTCCGGATGACTGTGGTCAGTCACACACTCGCTCACGTACTGCCTTCAGCTCATTAACAATATATTATTCTCACTGTCGATGGCACAGAGACTTTCCTTGCGCCCGTCCCGAATTCACCACACCAAATCCTCGATGGGAAGACAGAGCTCAACTGCGGGAGAGAGAGACGGGAATGATTAAACTCTCGGTGTTCCTCGTGTGCGCAGTTGCGCTGATAAGGCAGATAAAACAACTTTTTTCACTCTCACACTCGCTCTCACTCACTCTAATGTCTCACTCACCCAGAGAGACCATATTGAAGGCATTTTTCCTCCCCGACAAAAAAGAGACATCTCTCTTCTCATCCATTTCCACACCAGAGGCGATCAGCAGAAGAAGGCGGCAAAAAAAAGGAAGAGCGAACAACTTGTGGGAAAATTGAATCTGACGGCGAGAGAGGCAAAATTCACGATGGACCCTTCATCATTTGTTTGCCAAGTCTTTTCACCCCCGCGCGCGCCCCTTTTCCCACATCCGCAGCGACCAGGGGTGCGTAATTCAATATTTGCACATTTAAGCCACTCAGGAAAGCCCTTTTCTTCCCTCCCGCAGCACGGCAAAAAATAAATCCATTCGGTTCACTGACTTTCGCCATCCACCCAATTTTCCTTCAGCGCGCATAAATTGATTTCTCTCAGCCACTTTTCATTGCGAAACCCCCAAAGTTTCTTCTTTTTTCATTCAATTAACACTGATTGCCACAGTCACTCCTCGCATGCCAGGCGCTGAGAGTGAGACACACTGTGAATCCAGCGAAATCTCCTTGATCCGAATTTTGCCTTATCTTTCCTACTCACATTACATTTTACTGCCGCAATGTTTCGACACATCAATGCAACAAATGCAGAATAGAGTCATTATTAATTGTATTTACCTGTAATTATTCAGAATTTAACCATTTATAAGAAGATAAATGGTTCAAAAGAGTAACTTTGATCTACTTTTATCGCATTTTCGCTGTTTTAGAACGATTTCTGTGTGATTACTGTTCATTTTAGCCACTTTTTATGATGTTTTCGATGAAAATTCGCTGTTTTCCTCATTCACGATTGACTGCGACAAACACTTATTTACTTCCTGTGCAGAATCTTGAGCGTAGAAGCGGGAAGAAACAACACAAATTGATCAATGTCTCTTGAATGTTTGATAATGTTGGAGAGGAAGTCAGAAGGTTATCCAGAAATACTCTCACTCTAGAATAGCGACAATCTGTTCAATCATTCATCATCCCTTTTTCAAATCCTCCAAGACTGTCTCGGCATTTTTGTTGGAGGGAAATCAATAAATGCCGAGCGGTCGGAGGCATTATTTATAGAATCAATTTTATGTGACACCTAATGTTGATATCCAATCTGCAAATATTGGATCTCATATACAAAAGGATCTTCGGTAAATACACGATGCCAATGATTAGATATTGACCATTCACGGCATATTGAATGCTTCTTCCTCTCTACCCAAATAAAAGCCAACACTAAAGACACAATTATATGAAATATTCATTAATCCTCGAGACTATCACAAAGTATACATTCAATAGGAGGTAAAAGAAAAGCATGTAGAGCTGTAAAGTTTCAATAAAAGTCCTCAATAACGCATGAAGTTGGCTCTATTGGCCGGCGAAGAGATATCCCAGCGCTGTGCTGGCCTTGATCTTCACACCCACACTTTCGTCCTTCAGCAAGGCGCTTATCTTCTGCGTGATGAGCTCAATATTGGGCTGATTAGTTGTGTTGTATTGATGCAGAAGTCCCACGAGAATCGCAGCGTTTCCTCTCACTTCTGGCCATTGGCTCTTGAAGTGCGGCAGACAGGATTCAATGAAGTCCGCCATGTTGTCAGCCAACTCCTCGCCAATCACCTTCACAAAGTCCTCAATGAACACTTCGTAGTTCAGCTGTCCGTGCTCCAGCAGATGACTCTGTGCCATTGAGTTGATCTTGGGCGCTGCCTTCAGCAGAGCACACATCTTCTTCAGAGTCACCTTCGACGTCCTGGCAATTGACGGCTCACTCTCGCATAGATGCAGCAAAAGTGGGCAGAAATTGTAGTACAACTGCTCTCTGAACGGCTCAATGGACATCTGTTCATCCACACTCGCGCCCTTGCCCTCGATGGCATTCAATTTCGACTGGCAAACATCACCAAATAGGCCAATTGCACTATTTCTCAACTCCAGCGTGCTATTCTCAAAGAACGGCCTTATCCTGATGGCCAGAGATATCTGAAACATCTCAATCTTCTTGCACGGCATCGCCACCATTATTCGCGACAGTCCCTGAATGCTCTCCAATGGAATGTTCATCAATTCACTGCTATTCGCATCGTCCAAGCCCTTCATTAGAGCCGTGAGTGTCATTTCCGAGTACTTTTCCGCATCGAAAGTCGCCAGAGACGCCACAAATCCCAATCCGCGCAGACAGCAACCCCTCACGAGTGGATTGGGATCATTGAGTGATGAATTGAGATGCAGAATAATCACCGAGACTATCTCACCGCTCGGCTTGTGCGGCACCAGCTGCGAATACAGTGCGATGGCGGCAATTCTCTGCGGATCATACGGACTGGGAATATATTTGCTCAGCACCGTCACGACTTGGCGCATTGCCGTCGACGAAATGCCCAGTTCATTCACCAGGGCATTGGCAATTGGCGGCACGACGTCAATAAAGTGTCCGAGATCCTCACTGGATGCCAAATGTGGACACACATCGAACACTACAGACACTTGCTCCATGCCCAGATTCCTCAGAAACTCCTTGAAGGTCAGGAGCACGATTTCACACGGATTGCTCTTGATGGAGTCCTTATTTGGAATGAAGCCGAACTTTGAGGCTTTGCTGTTTGTGTTGTTTTTGCCCGCCGGACTGGAATTGGGCGCATTCGGAGCCAAAACTCCCGTGTAAGTGGCCAAAGTGGTCAACAACATGCCGAAAAGTTCGGGAAAACGCTTCTTCAGGTCCTGCAAAACCACCATCAATCAATAATTATTACAATGTGTGCAAGAAAACATTGAATGATTAACTCACATTCTGTATCTCTACACAAGGAAGGATTTCTTTCAGGGCACAAATGATGGCGAAAGGCTGAACAGTGGCTATTTTGTTCCTATCGTCCTTCTTCGACTGATCAACAGGCTCATAGAGACACGATGACGAGAGTGTTGCCAGGAAGTTGTCTATCACCGTTCCGGCGAGCTCCTGATCAGTGCACAAAGTCCTCCAGAATTGTGCCACATTGGCGTCAAAGGGCAAGGATTGAGCGAGCATTTCTGCACACACCAGCTTTGGATGGTGTTTTGCCAGAGCGACAATGGCTTTAAGGACGCCAATCTTCACTCCATCGACTTCACACTGCCAAATTGCCTGGAAGATGAAGAGAAATTAATGTGAAAAGATTATAGAAAATCCCTGAGAAGTCCTTTTTTACCTGAAGACACTCATTAATGAGCGTCGTGATTGCGTGAAACATCTCTGATCCCTTCAATTGCATGAAGAACTTCAACACCACGGAGGCTCCAATTGCCGAACTCTTCTCCGGATCTGAGAGACTCATCAGGAGACTCCTGCTGAGCGCCATGTGCTGAAAACTGGGCAGCCGATCAGCCACAATCCTGGCCATTTCACTGGCCAACTTGTAGATCTCATTGGGATCATCCGTGATGATCTCCGAGCGCACCTTAATCAAGTCCTTCACCCACTGAATATCCACATCGGGCAGCGTCAGTGTCTCATAGATGTGCGAAATCTCCAGAATCTTCCTCAGCACATCCACAGAAATCTGTCTCACTGTGGCATTGGAATCTATGCATCGTGGCACAGTCTTGCCAATCATGTGTCCCGTTTGATTGAACTTCGATGGCGCCTCGCAGCCCATCTTCATGGTCTTCATGTACACTTCCAGCACGCCATTCGTCACGTGTCCAGCGCAAATTCTCACCTCACAATTCTTATCGCGTGACCAGCGCTCCAGAATCGACACAACATCGTCCAGACACGCTGGCGAAGGATTCTGCTCCAGAATCGCCCGGACAAACTCATTCAATTCCGGCAGGGATTCATTGAGATACTTGGCCAAGTAGCTGTTCCGGTCATCCTCCTCTGGTGACTCAAATTTACTCTTCAGCTTCTGCGCGCACGTGAAGAAGTTCTCACAAATTGTCTCCAGAAAGTGAATTTCCTCACTCTCCTCAACTTCAACCTCCGACTGGATGCGAATCAGAGCTGTGCCCAGGCGCAGAATCTTCGGCAGGAAGGGCAAATTGTCCGCTCCGTCGATGGGAATCTTCAGGATTTGCTGAACAAGTTCATTTCTCAGCTTCAACTTGTGATTTGCATCATTGTTCAGCACATGCTGACAAATACTGAGCAGTGTGTCCAGAATGCGATTCTTCAAGTAAGCATCCTTCGCGTCCTGCAATTCCACATACAAACATGACACAATGGTCTTCTCCACATCCTGCAGGAAGCACTCAGGCGGACAATTTGTCACAATGTAGCCATAACTCTCCACCACGAGCAATTTCACCTTGAAGATGTCGCTCTCTTTCTGCGACTCCTTCATGAAGTTCAGCGTGGAGAAGAATCCCGATGTTTGTCTCTTCCTTCCCTCTTCCTGGATCAGCGTGTCGAGTTTCTTCAGCACCTGCTGCAGATAAGTCCTCGAGATGATTCCGAGAGCCTTCGCTGCTGACGTGAGAGCATTCATCTCGCCCTCTTGCAGACTCTTGTCCAGCTTCTCCTGCTTCGCAGCGTTCACAATCAAATCCACAATCCCCTCAGCAACAGGCTCATCCAGAATGTGACACAGACAAGTGGCCAGAACCCGAAGGATCGTCCCCCTTTCGCTCTGCAGACTGGGAATCTTGAACTCCAACACTTGACTGGGATTCACAGTGTAGAGTGGCAATTGCTCCTTCAGCTCATCAATCAGCATCACCGGGAAGTTCACATCGTCCACATCCTTGATTGTCGCAGCGACAAATTGCAGCACAGACTCGCCAAAGTCCTGGAATTTCCCATTTCGCTGCAACACTGCCTGGAGTTCCGGGATTTTCTCATTCCACAGCATTGGCAAGTGTTTGTTGACAATTGTGGCGTAGGATTTAAGGAACAGCAGGATATTCTGAGCCCTCTTGACGTCCTCACCCTCACCAATTAGCGCCAGGCATCTCACAAACACACTTTCCGCCTTCGGAATGGATGTCTTCAGGCTCAGATCCTCAGTGTTGATGTCAGCAATTTCCTCTTCCTTCTGCAACTGTGGATCCTTGCTGAACAAGCTGGCCAGGGATTTCGCCAGCGTGCCACACGCTGACGTGTAGTCCTGCAGCATGAAGTAACTGAGCAACTCTCGCTTCAGCACATCGTCAATCGTGCCAATGGTAGTTGACAGGATGAACAGTGAATTGTTGCAAATCTGCACGAATTCTGCGAACTCCTCAGCGGATCCTTGCTCAGATGGGAATTTACTGTAAGGACAGCAATGCCGCACGATGAATCTGATGAAGATCTTCTCCTTGGTGAAGGATTTCTGTATGAAGGCAATGATTGTCTTCAGCAGCACGAGTTTCATCCTCACAGTCTTCTCATTGGCAATCATCTGCTTCAGGATGTCACAGAATTCGCGGTTCTTCGTCGACACGAGAGCATCTTTGGTGTTTGTCAAGTGTGTCAGCACCAGCAGCGCCTTGATTCTCTCCCTCTCGTTGTTGCTCTGCAGCTGAATCAGGAGCATATCGAGAATGTGATGACTGTAGTTCTGCGCCAGGAGATCAAAGCATCGCAGCACTTCATTGTGTCCCTTCACCGTTTGGGGCTTCTCGTAGTTCGGATTCACACATATCAGGTCAAAGAGACTCACACACAGCGAATATGCCACGGGATTCAGCAGATCTGACGACTGACTCGTGCTGGCCTTCAGGATCGCCGCCAGAAACTGCGTGATTGATATTCTGTCCAGTGATCTTCTGTACAGATTCACCACGGCCGGAATGACTTTCTGCAGCTGCTCCACAATCTTGTCCTGCGCCATGAGCGGAAACATGTGCGACAGCGCCACGAGGATGTCGGCGCACACCTTGGGCTCCCTGGTCATCAGCCAGTTGTTCAGCAACACCTCATAGGCAATCCCAATCTCCACGGCAAACTCATCCTTCATGTCCGCCGGCTCTGACGGCAGCGACTCGTCAATGTGACTCTCCGCGATGGCCTCACAGAAGCGTCCGATGGCGAACGCGTGCGCCTGCTTCACGTGATCCTGCTTCACGGTGTCCAATGTGGGCAGCAAGATGCGAAAGATGTGCTTGAGGAAGTTTACAATGCCCATGGGATTCGCCGTGGCCAGCTGACCCATGCTGTGCAGCACCATGAAGTGCGTCACCTGACCGTGCTGCATCTGCCGCATCAGATTCTCCATCACCACGTCGCAGTTCCGCCTGCCCAGCGCCACCAGAGACTCCAGCGCCGGTTTCTGCACGGCCGGACACATGTCCGGCATCTTCACCAGCTCCACAATGCACATCTCCGATATCCGCTGCACCGTGACCTCCGTGAGGCACTGCTGAGCCCGCTTCGTGCACGTCACGTGCTCCACAATCCGCAGGATCGTCGCCACATTCGCCTCGCTCAGCTTCGCCTGCTTCTGCCGGAAGTCATGGATTGACTGCAGCACTTCGTTCGGACTGTAATCAGCAATGCGAATGATGGAGCTCTCTATGGCATTCCGGACTGATTCATCCTTATCGAGGCTCTCCAGCAGATTGTTTATCGAACCTGCGAGAGAGAGAGACAAAGAAAAGTTCCCACCCATCATTTCGCTGAGTTGCTCTCGCCAAACTCACCAACCAAACTCGTGTATCCCTTTATCCTGTTCCTTCCCTCACTGTTGGCCTCCATTCTGGCGCCTTTGTCCTCCGACTCAGCACAATTACTAGACACTTTTTAACACACCAAATATATTTGCGTTCTAAAACACTCTCGCTTTGCTTCCTCACGAACCAGCTGATTTTGACTGAACTCAACGTCAGAAGAACGCCTCAGGAGAGTAAACTTTCAACGTGTCATGAAATTTTGCGAGCTGTGAAAGATTCACTTCCATAAATTGAGGGAAAATAATGAGTTTTTCTGTGAAAATAGGTGATAATTAAGATCCCTATCACACATATTTAATCTATTTACTTCATCCTTCAATTATCGATGAACTTTTCAATACTTTCAACACTTGTAGCTTATCCAGAAACCTAATCTGAATTGCCATTTCTCTTTCCTGCACAAAACACACGTTTGCTTTGCAATCTCATGCAAACACAAGACTTCTCCACTGTTTGCAGACTCAGCAGATAATGCTGGTGGACTACAGCTCATCGGAGGAGGAGCCAGAAGATGACACAGATCAGAAGAATGCAATTTCACCCTCCACGAAAGTGTAAGTAAACTTTACCTGCGTCTTTTTGCACAGAATCCAAACAGAATCAAACATTTTTGCTTCTTGACTGGGCAGGAAAAATGCCAAGAAACTCCCATCGGCTGTTGAACTACTTGGAAGCATCACCAAGAGTGCGCACGAGGATGTTCCGGAGGATCACGAGGGGAGGATAAGAAGTTTTGCGCATGAGAGAGGAAATTGGGCGACTTTTTGCTTCATTCCGTGTGAGTTTCTCAAGATACTTTGATAAGAAATCAACATTCTATTGACTTAATTTGATCGGCAGTTCCTCTCAGCGAAGGCATCAAGAATCTCCAGGCACACATCAGAGTCCTGGCGAAGGAGAATCTCTCGCTGGATCTCACTGAGGCGAAGGAACTTCACGTGAGCCTCACGAAGACTGTTGTTTTGCGTCATCACTGGATAGAATCCTTCATTGCTTCCCTGCAGCACAGATTGCAGCACTGCAGGAAGTTTCCTCTGCATCTCAACGCCCTGCAGATCTACTGCAACGAGGAGAAGACCAGAACATTCATTGGCCTGAGAACTTCAGAGGAGTTCTTTGAGCATCTCAAGATTTTGGTGCAGAAGTGCGATGAGAGTCTGAAAGAATTCAACTTGGAGTGCTTTTACAGCGACTTATCCTTCCACGCCAGCATCCTCTGGATCCTTGGCGACCATCGTGAGGATCTTCGAGGGCTGGAAAGTGCAGTTCAAAAGCATTTTCTTGAATTACTGGGTGAAAAATTCCCCGATTTTGCGACTCGAGTGGAGAAAATCGTCTGCAAATGTGGAAATAAAATGCATTACTTCCACATTAGTTGAAAAATATCAAAGGATTAAAGGATTATAGATATTTTTGCACTGTGCTAAGACACTAAATCCGCTTATCCATTGATAGACTACCGATGTCTGTACAAAATTGAAATCTGTGCGCGGCGAAATTGTCGAAAGGCAGTGACAAGAAGCGTCCATTTGAGAGTGTGCGTGAATGGAAGTTAATCTTTGGTGAGGAAAATCGCGAAAAATGTTCATATCCAGCCACTTTCCGTGCAAGATCTGCCCAGAGGGATTCATAGGAGGTCTCAGTGTCTGCACAGGGAGTGAATTTGGGCAGCAAAAGGTGTGCATTTGCTGAGTGTGGAGCGCGGAGTGTGATTTCCCTTTTGGCCAGAGAGGCTTGTTTTGAATTCTGGTGCAGAGAAAAGAAGCACACAGGAATAATCTCACGTTCTGCCACGCGATTCCGCGGCGGCAGTCTGTGTGTGGCGAACCGTTAGAGGTTGGACGAGCAGCCGGTGGAGTAACAGTGGTGGAACGCGAGTGCGTCTAGGCAATCGCCTTCTCCGGAGGCAAGTGAGTTTGCGGGGCAGTTGCATACGGCATGCAGAGCGATTCGGGCGCGAGAGAATTGGCACATCTGCAAGAGTCCGCGCAGAACGTGAACAGCATTGCAAACGAGAACCTGTGAAAATCTCGCTGTGGCTTGGAATTAACGGTACTGTCCGGGTGAATCCCACCTAATTGGATGCCTTAATTGATACGCTCTCCCCTCGCATATCACTCACAAGTGCGCTGGCAGATCTCGCGAGATTGCGCGCAGAGCGACTCCTATTTTTGGCTCCAGTGATGCAATTTCTCAAGTGACTTCCCGCGCGCGCGAGAGGCCTTCTGGTCATCACAAGTTAATATACCTCAGCGCGATATCGCTCTCAATGTTGACCAATTGATCAGCGAGACATGCCAGTATCGGCTCACGTCAGTCCATCACGCGTCTTCTGATCACACGGATCGCGCGCGTAAGTGAGCCGCACAAGAGAAGAGCCCGCGAAAAAGCAACAGTGAAAACGTGATTGGCGATTATCAGCCCAGAAAATGTCTCTCAAGGTAAGAAAGAGTTCCTTCAAGCGCTTGAAATGTGTTATTATTATATTCAGAAAAAATATGTGAAACTTTCGCCGTTTTAATTACACTTCAAGCCCAAGAATATTGCCTCCAAACTCTCCCACCCAGAGAGGGTCGTAAAATAGCTCAATAGCTTCCAGTGTTTGTTCAATTAAATTCACACACACAATGGGCAGGCAAAAATAGAAATCCGCGAGAATCCTTGAACTTCCAATCCTTCCCGTCGGCGTGGCAAAAACACGCCCGCAGTGGGAAAAATCAATTATTTTCGCCATGCCTTGTCAGCACGAGTGTCAGCGTTTTATCAAAATTATCAATGAAATTTCGTAGTGCAGGAGAAAATCAGCTGATAAGCGTAACCAACTCATGGTAATGCGAGATTCGCGTGCCAACCAGCCAGTGAATGCGTGCCAAAACTATTAAAAACAGTCATAAACGGCGTGAGAGGCGGAATTGCTAAATTCTCTCTCTCTCTCACTAAATTATACACCTGATAAATCGAGCAGTTGGAAGATGAGGTTAGAAGTTCTAGAGCTAAATTAACAATCAAAGGGGGAGATATTCCCTTCAGATCAGCAGCTATATTTACAATATCTTGGTTCTAAAGTGTTTAATTTGAAACAAATTCACACAGTAATTCCCTTTTTTGGGTGATTTTACTTAGAAAACCCAATTAAAATGTTTTTCTAGATTTAACTGACTAAGTTGAGACAGATTTTAATACTGAATGACTTCCAAAACGTTCATTCTAGTCAATTTCACTAAGTCAATGGGATCTTAAGAGCTTCATTACCAAATTCTAACCATTTCCTAACCAAAAAATACTGTCTAGCTTTGCTCTTAAAATGTGCTAAGCAAGGCTGATATATTTCTGTCAATGTTATTAAAGTTTGAGAGTCGAAAAGATAACAAAATAAGATAAATTTTCACAATTATCTGATGAAAAGGTTGAAAACTTCATGGATAAAGTTATTTATTTGTCGTCAGTTGATTTTCACTAGCTTTTTAGGCAGATTTTGACCAACATTTTATCTAAAAAACTTCTGAAATAAAGTTCTTGGCGGTCTTGAGCTCAGTTAAGCGTTCAGCTTGACTTAGATTGTATTTTATTTTATCATTTCCCCCTTGGTGAATGCGGTCAACTTGCATGTGCCCATAAATTTTAATGGCCTAATGTGGAATCTTCCGCATTATTTCAGAGAAACGTCGAAGTTATCTTGAAATATAGTTTCAGCTCGAAGCATGACTTAAAGTCAAACCTCCTCTAATTATTTCAAGAATCTTCTCTCCACTTTTCCCCACTGAAAATATCGCGGGAAAAAGATTCAACTCCCATCTTTTATGCTTCTTTCGCGCCCATTTCACGCCTTATATTTTTAATTAGGTCCGCGGATCTGAAGCAAAAAGCAGTAAATTAGAGACAATTTATCAAGAATAAAATTAGGCTGATGCTTTTCTGTTGTCAAACAATCATGAGTGGGAAATTAATTTCCGACTCAAACTGAAACTCTAAACCTTTGGCGTCTGTGTGTGTTGTTCAGAAGTCTATTCATCGCCACTATCTTATCAAACCTTTATTTTTTCAACAGAAGAGCAACGCACGAAAGTTTTGGGCGGTGCGATAAAATCCACACCATCAGACAAGTGTCTAAAAGTGGGAAAATTATTTTTTAATTAATTGCAATCAACGCACAATGTACTCAAAATTACAAGCAATTTCACAACGCATTAGATCATCTTTTTCCTTTACGATAACATTACACATTGTTCTTCCACCTCATGTTTTGTGCGGTGTTTTATTCGTCTTCCGTCTTATTTGCAGAAAGAATCACCATCGGACGTCCAACTCCATTTGGCGGCACTTCGCGGTGACGAAGTGACACTGAGACGCGTTCTGGACAGTGGAAAAGTCCATGTCGATTCCAAAGATGAGGTAAACAGTGAAGATCTTTCATGATCTTGGTAGGGCGAAGAGAGTGTTTATGAACGACGATCTCTCAGTAAAAATTTACAAGATAAATATTTACTCCGCATGGCGGATTATTTGCATAATTTATTCAGGTGATCGTTTAGAGATGGAATAAAACTCACGACCACGCATGATCGTGCAAAAAAAATCGCTCGCGATCTGCTTTCGATTGAAGAAAGCACAAAATAATCCATCCAATGCGAGTAAAAGTACCACCAGATAAATCTCGAAGGGAGGCAACAAAACCACAAGAAAAAAAGATCTCTCGAGAAAAGTTTTGTGTCTATTTTGAGAGATCAGCGAATTCCTTCTCTTTTACGACTTCCCCTTCCATCTTCACGATGCAAATGATCTTCAAATTTCGCCACTCAAGCGTAATTTCCTAATTTTTCCCAGGAAAAGACACAGTTTTTTTCCTGGCTTGTGATTTAATACAAAACACGAGGCACGAAGGGGAAGAACAGCGATCACAACACTGTGATTGTTACGTTGAGAGACAATTTTAATTGCTAAAGATGCGACGATGTCACTGTTTTTCCCTTTTGATAAATGGCAGTGTTGAGTGAATTGTCTACGCTTTTCACCATTCAATGCGGCGCTCTTGGATTACGCACGGTGCATAATTTGTGTGTTTTCTAGGTTTTGCTCATTCGTGCCATTTTTGTTCCTTTTCCTAATTTGCTATCGGAATTATTGCGCAATTGTTGATTTTAATCTATATCATCGGGAGGCCTTTTTTATATGCTCTCGAACAAAGTAAATATCCAAGGGGAAGACAATGCAGCTAAACGGTGTACTCACTTCCACAATTTGGTAAACAACGTCACAACTTAAAATTCAGGAATCTTTGTCCCTAAAACAGACGCAATTTTTACTTTTATTACCCTGAAAACTTACAGAGAAATAATATTTTAGAAATATTTGTAGCTTCCAGTGGACATTTAGGAACATAACCTAAAAATTATCTTGAGATATCTAAAATAATCCTTCAAAGAAACTAAGTTGGGACTTTTTAAATGCAAATCTAAATCAATAATAAGCTGAAATGTGCTATTTCAACGTAAAAAATCAATGAAACAGCTCTTAAAAGAGACAATTTTACATCCTAAAACAATATTTTGGAGGTTATGATTAATCTTAGCACAATTACCTAATACATTTTAAAATTGAAAGTTTATCAAAAATCACTTTTGAAAGTGATATTTGAACGCAACACAATAAAGATGTTTGAAACACTTCCATTTCCAAATACTTTAACTGAATTGTACATCACTTCTGACCATAATATCTTCCCCTTGGTAATATCAAACGAAAGGTGCGCACATTTCACTCAATTTGATTCAATTCACGCGTGAGAAGCGTTAATATTTTCATTACTTATTTCAAGTCTCCGGAGAAATGTTGTTATTTAGAGTTTTATTTCCTTCACAAAAATCCAATATTATTTGTATAATTCTTCAATCAATATTGCTTGTTTCTTCTCTCTCTTTCTCTCTTTCATTAACTCAATAATCACCAGTTCACATATCATCAACTCTACTTTTTATTCTGCGAATTGAATTAAAGAATCAACAAGTAATGTTAGTTGTAAAAGAGATCATAAACTCAGAGTGTTATGCATAATTAAAATCACTCTTTGAATTTTCCATTTTATGAATTCACAGTCGCTGTGAAAAGTATTCAGACACATTCTGCTAATTGCAATATGATTTATGGAAGCTTATTTGCAATTCTATTGGCTCAAGAAAAGTCAAAGAAGCCTTGTTGGCAGATATCAGTTTAATAACCTGCAATTAATTAAAAGCACAGAGATATCCGAGAGATTAACGGAAAAGTGAAAGATGTCTTCTCTTATATCTCTTTAACATTTCTCAGACGACATTTGATATCTCAATTAACAGCAATATTTGAAATGCTTCAAACGATCGTATTTATTTATTAAATTCAACTGATGACAAAACATTGTTAATACACATATTTTTGTGGATTTCGCTTTCCTTCAAAGGCATTTTCATTGAGAAATAATAATAATTGCGGAAAAAACAGTTAAGAAAAGTGCACGTGAAGCATATTTCTGTCGATAAATTGATCGGTTCTTGTGTGTGTCTCAAGAAAGAGATGAAATAAAAGCGCACCGTGAAATGAAAACACAAGTCACTGGCTTGAGAATGTGTCATTAAGATCACTTCATTTCTCATTAATTACACTCTCGGTTAAGACGATAATTGCAAGGAGAATTTGATAAAAGAGTGAGAAATCGAGCCAGTTCACTTTCCATTCAACAGTTTTGCTTGCCTTTGGCGCATGGAAAATTGAAAATAACATCAGAAAAGTGCATAATTTAAAGACTCTTGCTTTGAATCTCGACAGCAAAGCGACACTTTTTGCTGTCTCTTTTCTCTCCTTTGCCTTCAGTGTTGAATGAATTGTGGTTTCAATTAGTATTCCATCGGTCGTTCTGGCCAACTTTTCATCAACTCTTTCTCTCTCTCGCGCGCGCGCGTCGCAGAAATTTGAACTGTATTGAATTCCGTTGACCCAAAAGCCGAAGCGAACGGCTCTGCTATGCTAATTCTCATGTGATATTGGCTGGTTGATGATGAAAAGAAGTGTGTAATTAGATAGTTTTGTACATAAAAATTGCCTTGCGATCTCCAGTCAATTTTTCCCAGTGGATTAAATGGCCAGTGATTAATTCGTCCGTATTGATTTCTTCTTGCCGCTTCAGGACGGAACGACGCCACTCATTCTGGCAGCCGCCGGCGGTCATGTGGCGTGTGTGAAGGAACTGCTGGAGCAGGGAGCAGAAGTCGATGCCAAGAGAACAGTGAGTGACTTTCCACAATTTCCCATCACAATTCACACAGTTTTATGCGTATTTTATCGGCGAAATCCAGTTGAGAAATGCCGCACAGGAAATCCACTTTTATCTCGCAAATATGTTAATTTCAAATTAACTTTGTGTGCACCAAAAGTCAGTTTTGCTATCGCGAAAAAGAAAATATTCTTTCATTGCAATCAAGATAATTTCATTCATTGGCGATGAAACGATGTTGTTTTTCTTCATGATATTTCATTTCATTAAACATGGTTAATTGCATCTCTTTGGCTAATTACACGAGTTTTCTACTTAATGGGTGATAAAATTGTCTTGCTTTTAGGGAAGAGTGAGGAAAATTTAAACGCAAATCTGGGGCAATTTAGAAAAAAAAATTTAAAGCTGAAAAGAAAATACAAAGAAAGAGGTAATTTAAAGGACATTTAAGGATTTTAGCCTCATTTTGTCTTTCTTTCAAAGTCTAGAATGAAGTCTTTGATTGCTTAACTCCTGCGTAATTGGCCAAATATGCCCCACAATCCGCTAAGGATCCAACTTGATGGTTAATTCACATTTGTCGCATCTTCCAGACCGGCACTTCGGCGCTCTTCTTCGCCGCCCAGGGTGGACACGTGGATGTGGCGCGAGTGCTTCTCGACGCCGGATCGGACGTGAATTCCGCCTCGCTGGACGGCGCCACGGCGCTGTTCGTGGCGTGCCAGGGCGGCCATCAGGCCATGGTGAAGGAGTTGCTGCATCGCGGCGCTTGCGTGCACGCCAGCCTCAAAGATCGCGCCACGCCGACCTTCGTGGCAGCGCAGAATGGCCATCGAGCAGTTCTGCTGCAGCTCCTCGCCGCCGGCGCCACGCCGGACGCTGCGCGTGGCGATGGCGCCACTCCGCTGTGGATAGCGTCGCAGATGGGCCACGATCACGTGGCCAAGATCCTGCTGCAGCACGGCGCCAGCGTGGACGCCGTGCGCTGCGACGGCGCCACGGCGCTGTTCAAGGCGGCGCACAAGGGCCACAGCGCCGTGGTGCACGAGTTGATCAAGTGGCGGCCCAATCTCAGCGTGCTGCCCAACGGCGAGACGGCACTGCACGCGGCGGCGCTGTTCGGCCACTTGCCTGTGGTGAAGCAGCTCGTGGCCGCCGGCGCGGACGTGCGCGTGCGGAATCACAAAGGCTACACGGCGCTGCGCGTGGCGCGCCAGGAGGGCTTCCTGGGCGTGGCGGAGTACCTCGAGGAACGCGAGTGTCGCCTGTCGCAGAGCGGAAGCGCCGCGAGCAGTTGTGGCCAGCTCAGCTCTTCCTGAGCCTCCGTCCTCGCCGCCGGCGGTGTTGAAAGGCGTTCAAAAACAAGATGACATTTTCCTGGGAAAACCCGCTGAAGTTGAGGCGAAGAATAGAATGAATAGAATTCATAATCACAGAGGAGAATTATCGTTTGGCAATGAAGTGACATTGAAAATTACCATCAAATGGACAGTTTTTTACAATATTTAATTTGCAAAATCTCAAGAGACAATCTCGAGTGTGACTTCAAGATAACACTTTCACTGGGATTTCATGCCAAAGCAGAAGAAAAAAAAAACACCTGAAATGTGGCAATCAAGGGGAGAATATGTGAAATTCTCACCTCATTTAGGTAATGCTAGAGAATTCAAAGCATTTATCTTATCTTAACTAATTCTTGTGACTTTTCATCCAGTGAAAATCTCATGTTAGGAAATCGTACGCATTCTGAAACGCACTCTTCAACATGTCGTTGATCCAAAGACCAAATGTGTGAAGTGTGCTTCAGCGCACACTTCCTTCTTCGATTCAACACGCGCACCCATAAAAGGGCGCTTTTGGAAATCCAATGTGTTCGAAATAAATAAAATAAAAAATGTTAGCAATTCCTCTTCTTTTGTACATAAACACAAACCGCGCAAGGCGTTTGAAAGTCAGTGCAATTTCTTTTTTTTTTACCTTTTTCGTCATCATTAGCAATTAATGTGAATGTTGTGGAGCAGTTTTATTATTATTGATTAAGGTCAGGAGTGCAATAATCGATGTTAAGTGAAAGAAGATGTAAATCAACATTGCGGAAATAAAAAGTAATTCTAATTGCGAAATAATTTATTTAAAACTACATTTTCAAGTCGTTTCCTTCTTCGTTTGTGAAATCTTTTCACCGCTGTTGAGCAATTTGGCGATCCTGGCGAAAGGATACAGCTTGTCAATGGAATTGAGGGTGTTTTTCATGCGACACCACAATTCGTCGCCATCCTGAGGACACTTTTCTCTCCCATTGAAGGCTTTGATTGACACTTTTACTAAGTCACTGAGATCTTTCATTCTCTCTTTATCAGTCTCTGCAGAGAGAAAAATCATCAATCTTCCACCGATTTACCACCAAAATTATGAGACTCACTTGAATTTTGAAGGGATCTGAAGAAGCCCTCGTCGAAGGAACCACCAGGATAATGTGGAATCTTCTCGAATCCATTGGGAAGATTCGACGAAATGACAGGCAAAACCAGCAAGAGCGCCAAAATACCAATGAATTTGAGCATCTTCTTGAAGAAGAGAATCTTCAGGAGGATTTTTCCCAGCGCAAACAGCCCAATCTTGATGGGGAAGAGCTTCGCCAGGTAGAGACTCTCTCCGGGACGCGCAGGCACGGGCGGATAGGGAGGATAATGTCCAGGATTCCGTCCGGGGAATCTTCCTGCCGCCGGATAATTGTGATAACCATCGAAGCCCTGATTGTAGCCCTCATTGTAGCCATAATCCTGCCCTGGTGCTGCGAAATCAGATGGATTGTGCGGATTTCCATACTCATTGGGCGCCATTGGTGCAAATCCTTGCGCTCCTGGCGCAGAACTGTAGGCGATTGTGTTGTAATCCTGCTTATAAGAGTCCGAATATCCATACTGATCAGGCTGATTGAAGGGTTGATTGTATCCGCTGCCGCTCGGGAAGTAATCACTTCCTGGACTCCCTGAATAACCATTCGAGTCACTGTTCTTCGCGAGGGCCAACAAAATCATCACAACACTCTTGGACAGCATCTTCAACACCACTGAGCAAACGCCGCTCTCGCGTATCCTCTAAATATAAAGACTGTCTTTGGCGTAGAAATCAAGTGCAGAGGGAGAAAATCCATCGATGAACTTTATGATCCTCGTCATTGTTTCGCTTCATATTTGCCATTCCACTAATTTCACGATGCCTGAGAGTGCATAAAAGGCATAAAATCAGTGAAATTGACAGAATTACTGTCGCAAGAAGAGCTTCCTAATCTCTCTTTTTTGCTGTCGCGCAGTTGACTAGGTCAAGAGTAGCAATGTTATCACATCAATTGCGCAATGCTCAAGTGCAGAAATGTTAAATCTTGGTCGTTTTTTTCCATATGTAACCCTTTATTATATATTTTTACTTGAAATCCAGACAAGAATCAAGGTGTACACAAATTTATTACACAATGTCAGTTGCAATGTAGCCAAGAATTAAAATTGCACCAATTGTGCAAAGCACTAAACAAATAAGAATTGGTATACAAAAGAATCTTATATTCCATCTCTCTCTTTTTCTTTCTCTTTCTGTGCAAGAGAGTTCTTAAACAAATATATTCAATTTATGCTATTTTTCTGAATCAGTGGAGAATAATTTTTTTCAATCGTGTCACTTTTTCTCATTTTCTTTGCTTCTTAGAGGTTTAACAGAAAAATGCAATTTCGGTGTAAGTTTTTCTTTTTGCTCCCCTCATTTTGACCATCAATTTGTCTAATCCTCAAAAGACACCTTAAGAAAAACTTCAGTTGATTTAACGTCACAAGCAAAATAAATGTCTTTGGGAGAGAAATTGATGCATCTTCAGAGGTAAAATTTACAAAGGGAATTGAAGGGAATACAAGGACAATTTCTACAATATAAAAAGAAAAGTTAGTGTCCTCAAGAAGACAACGAAGAACTACAAACTCATTTTACACCTTTTTTCTTTCTCCAATAGTAAAGAAGTATTTTCTGACATTATTTTGCTACAAATAAACTAATAAAATGCGATGAACGCAAATTTCTATTCATAATGTGATTTCTACAAAGTATTTTAATGCTATATTTATCCTTAATTTGTATATGTGTAAACATTAATTTCCTCTCAACTTCATCTTCTCTCATCTGACTTAACACTTAAACGCCCAACTACTCACTAGAGAATTATTAGTTATCCTTAGTATTTAAACAGTAGTGCAAAATAAAAATCATATTACTAAAAAAAAAGAACATAAAGTAGAAAAGTTACTTTTGCAAAGTAATTCAAAGAAAAAAGTTAGAACATTAAAGATAAATTGGGGCTCAACTTTAGACCCGATTCGCGCCTTTCTCGCTCTCGCTCTCTTTCTAGTCCAGCAGACCCTTCGCCTTGTACACCTCGCGCATGAGACCTTTCAGGTACTTAATTTCACGCTTCAAGTCCGCCGCCTCGACTCTCAGCTTCTCATGCTCCTGCTGCAGACCGCGCTCCTCCTCCAGCACCTCCTCGATCTCCTGCTTCTTCTTCTTCCTGTACCGCGTGGCCGCATTCTTGTTCTGCTCCTTCTTCCTCGACTTCTTGTCCTCCGAGCCGCGCGCATACGGTCGTGTGCGCTTCTTCGTCACGCCGCCACCACCCAAGATCGCACCACCGCCCAATCCTGCCACCTTGGATGCCTTCACACGCGTCTCCGGCACCCAATCCTCGTCGTGCGAGTAGCTGGAAGCACTGAAGGACGCTTCGCTGCGCGGTGAGAGACTCGCCGGTGTCGACATAAACTCCGAACTGTTGTCATCATCATCCGTCCAATCCGGCAAGTCTTGCGCTCTGCTGCGCACCAGCTCATCCACCAGCTTCATCTCATGGTCAATGTCCTCGGGCATCGGCGACTGCACGATCTCAATCAAGTCCCCATCCACAACTGCCTGCTGTTCCTGGCCAGCAGCAGCAAACGGCGACAGCGTGTACTGCAGCGCATTCTCGCACTTGTCCCACTTCTGCGACTGCTGCTCAGGCAATGTGTAGAAGGATTGCGCGCTGGAGGAAGTCTCATACAGCACTGGCTCTTGATAGATGAAAGTCTGCAAGAAAACATCAACAGAGAAATGGTTACTAAAGAAACTAATGAAAAGTTTATTTTAAATATGAAAAGTTGATCTTTTAGAACTTATTTGAATAAAATGTACTTGAAGACTATTAAAAATCGACTTCGTAAACTTATATTTTCAATTTTTCAATTAACTTTGCCATTTTTCAGTCAATAATTCCAATAAATACTAATAAAATCGAACCAAATACAAGGTTTTTAAGGATTTTAAAGTAAATTTGACAAATTTTGCAGTTTGATTTGATCAAATGACGACTTTTTACCTTAAATTGAGACCCTCATCAAATGTACAAAAAATATACCTTCTTTCTCAACAACAAATCAACACTCAAATCATACTGGTTTGCCGAACATAAATTCTCTTTCAATTGTGAAATTACATTTATCTTTCTGCTTCACTTCTCTATCAGTTTCTGTTTCAATTTTAAAATAAAATAACTCATTTGTCCCATATTTTAAGGGGAAATTTTTCTCTATCATAAAAATTTTATTATGTCTTGTCTTGTGGACAAGTTTGCATCAATTTCTCATAATCATTTTAATGTGTGTCTCGATATAAAAGCTTCAAATTAATATAACAAATTTTACTAATTGATCTCTCTATAGTCGGTCAGTGAAAGATGGAGAGGAAAAGCCAAGAAACTCACCTGATCAATGCATTGTGCAGCCTCGGCGATCGTCAATCTCTGCGGCGACGTCTGCGGCGGCGTTTGCGGTGGCGTCAAGTGCGTCAATTCCACGGCATCGTAGACAATTTCAAACTCCTGAAGAAGCTCTTGCGTGTCCTGCTTCTTCACGGCGATCGGCTCGAGCGGCGGCGGCGGATATTCATCTATGCTCGGCATCACCATCTTCTCGTTGAGCCATTGTTCTAAGCGCACAAAAGAATAGAGAGCAAAAAAAGGCATTCAATCATAGAATTCTCTTCTTCTTTTTTCTCCACCTCATTAGCGCGCTTCTCTCTCTTGCGCGCGCAGTTCAACAGCGATAGCAACAAGTGAAGTTGTACAAAAAATGTGCGCGGCACAAATTGAGTTTACCCGGAACTGGAAATTTTGCTCTCAATCTCTCGTATAATTGTGATCTATCTCTCCTTCTTCTTATGTTCTAAGCTCAACCAGACATTCTTAACACAGCATTTTCGCCATTTTTCAACCATATTCACACACAAGGAATTCATCTTTTTCAATGTGGTGATCATTGAACTCAACTAATGAGCGCTCTAAATGATTTATAAATGCAAAAAAGAACTGTAGCAAAAATCCCTCTTACAAACTTCCTCATCTCTTTTCTCTCTTTCTCACTCTCAAGTCTTCATACCAAACGCGACAGCCTCGTAAAATATATTTACTAAACACTGGAGTTTCCGATTACGAGGCCTTCAATTTCAATAAATCAATCAATATTGATAATATACTGTGTCTCATTAATTCCCTACATTGCATCCACACATGATTAGAAGCACTCTTGTGACAAGTGACGCACTGATAAAATATCACTTGCACATATTCAATTTTTCCTCCCCTTGTTTGGTGGGGAAGAAGAAATTGACAAAAATCCAACAAACGCACTTTACTTGAGCGATGAGAGAGAGAGAGATTTAACCAAATAACCTTTGACCATTTACACTCGTACACTCGCTTGTCATCTGACCTAGATTTCAAGCTGAAAATACTAATCAATGTGTGGAAAAACTAATTGGCGATTGAGGCATATTTTAATTGAAAAGTCAACTTCTTTTCCAACAGCACAATATTGAATTAATTCGGTAGTTTGATATATATTTGAAGGTGATCTACTCAATAAAGATTAATCTGTGTAATTTTTCCTTTTTTCATCAAGGATTTTTCCAACACATAAAGTGGAAAAAATATCATTCACAAAACATTCATAGAAGAAAAGGCAGTGAAGATGTCACTTTCACCTCTTTCAACTGGAAATTTCTCTAATTTCTCAAGTGACCAAAAAGCAAATCAACAAATACAAAAAATCTCTCACACTTTTGGCCACACTTCTTCTTCTTCACAGCGAACATTCTTCTTCTCCTCTCTTCTCTTCCAGTCGCAACACTCATCCCAGAAGAGAAGAGATACTGCGCTCGACCAAGGTTATCATACGAAATGCAGAACGTATGCAAAATTAATACTGTTCGAGACAAAAATGTCCCATAGTTGAACGATCGGATCATGGACCGATTGATTGTGTTCCACACTCCTATCATCGCCTTCTCTCCTCCTCCTTCTCTGATGCGCCCGTTTTCCCTCATCTCATCTCGCTACACAACACTTTTATCACCACTCTCACGTGTGATCTTCTTTCTTTTGCCTCCTTTTCGTGACATATCGCAGATTTTTTTTACTGTCTCGCGCGCGCGTTTCTCTCTCTCTCTATATATATATTTTTAACAATTTACACTGTATTTTATAGACCCATGAATATTCAGATGAATTTTTCCATCAAATAATCTGTCTGTGCTAATCAAAAGAGGCAAAAATCAAATTTTGCGATGATGCAAGCATTTGCCAAAATTAAGGAATACAATTTTAAAGTTGATAATAATTCAGTTATTCAGTATTTATCAAGGAGACATGAATATTTCAGTGATCTTTACTTGATATATTTGTTAAAGATTACTGGGAAATGTTGATAAATTCATATTTTTGTCCTAAATACAACTTCAATCAAATAACACAAAGACGCAACTTCAATTTCTGCTTCTGATGCATATTCTGTACTTTTCTGTACAAGAATTGAATATCATACGACTTTTTGTGTTTGAAAATCACGCCAAAGTGTGCCAACAAATTCTTAACTTCTTTCTATTAACTTTAGTCATCATTCTATCGAGCTATTTGTCATCACATTTCCACTATTAGCGACCGTCTCTCCAAATCTCAAGCTCATTATGCGCTATTCAGTGAGCTTTCACAATACAATTTTAGTCTGTTTCTCTTGAGGCGTGTTATCATCACTCTCGAGAGACATTTAGCAGCGGCAATCGAGTGTGTGGTGCCACATTTTCAATGATAATCACACACGCTTCTCTTGTGGTCGTCGTGAGATGTTGTTGCTGAAGATAAACAACACGTAAGCTCCTCTCTGCTCTCTGTTAGGGACATTATATTCCACACCTCTACAGCAGAGGCTTTTCTCATATGTACATATTTTGAATCAAAAAATTTCCATAAAAACTTGTTGGCAATTCTATATCTCTCTCTCTCCTATTCCACACAACACCACAGAGCAAATGACCATGTCTTGTGCGCGCGCCTCTCTTGTGTTCCTCAGCAACAACAACCATCAACACAGATCGAGAAATCGGTGTGCCAGAGAGCAGAGAAGAGCATCCAGAAAGGGGTCAGCGAAGGACAGAGTGGCAAAGCAGAGATATTCAATTCCCACACTTCAACACACTGTGCTTTGCTAACGTGAAAAAAATGAGAACACAACGAAATTAGAAGAAGGTTGAGGAGTGAAAACGCCCTGAGATACACATTCACGCCCCAAAAAGGTCATACAATCAATTTTCATTCAATCAAACAACTCTAACGTCCTTCACATCGAAGAGAATATCATAGAGAAAAAAAAATACTAACCATACGTTGATATCATGTAGGTACTCATGAGTGTAGCTTTTTCGCCTACAAACACCTCTTATTTATCCCTAAGATTTCCCGCGCAATTTCTCGTTACACCTCCTCAAAGGTGTGTTTTTCCTTTTGCAATTTGCACGTGTGTATGTGTGTATTTGTCACTCGCTCACACACACCCACAGCCGAGAGAGTGAATTATTTATCGTTACTTATCTCTTCTTCTTTTTCTATTTTTACCTTGGAAACCGTGCTTTTCTTATTGATCAACAATTACAACAAAAATTCATATATTTTACTTGTACATTAAATTATGGCAATGAACGTTCATTTATCAAAACTAAAGAAAAAAATCACTTGAGATTTATGCTTTAACACAGATATTTTTCAGAAAAAAATATATTATTATTTTTCAAATTTTTATCAAATCAACAGACACAGAATTATTGGAATTGTTTTTTTTATTGGTATTTTATTCCCTCTTTAACTATTTCTTCCTTACTTTTAAATCCCTTTGAGTGGAACGTTGTTTTATGGCAAATAATAGTTATTTCCTTATTTACTGCTTTTCTCTTTTACTAATATTCTTTAGAGTTAGTTTTCTTTCGTATTTATTTCCTTAAGTAAGTGTATGTTATTGGGATTTTCCTTTGTTATTATTCTTCCTTCTGCAACTGTTGCGGTTTTTTAGATGTTTTTTCTTTCTTTATTATTATTTAGTAGATATTATTATATATGTTTTTTACTCCTCTTAGACAATAAAAAAAAGTTCAACAGTATCGTTTTTTCTTACTGTTTTGGTCGTCTTTTCACCAATTTTTGTGAATTGAAGACAATTTCACGGTTCCAAGTGTAACGATAAGCGCATGTATAGATCATGCTCACGGATTGAGCCAGTGTCCAGTCCTTATAATTTACATATAGAAACAATTCAAGAAACACTCCTTATTTTTTCACTCTCTCTCTCATTTCTGCTGCGACTCTCTCAGTTGCCGACGGTGAGATCCAATGCTGATCCTCACAGCTTCACAGCTTTGATCCTTGATTGATCAAACTTTCTCTCTCTCTCTCTCTTCAGGATTTTGTCCACTAATCCAAACTGTGGCACGAGAAAATCCACTAAATATTCCACCAAAAAAAAACGTTCTCACGTCAATACTTAATGATCAAAATAAGATAGTAAATCACAAAACTTCCCGTGAGAATTTGTATCTCATCAACTTGTGTTGCTATGCGGCTTTCGAATTTTTTTTCTGCCAAGGAGACAACTTTTCTTGTTTGGCACTTCTTGTCAGGGAATGTGAGACAAGAGAGAAGAAAATCATCCGCGATCGATCGAGTTCTCAATTCAACTGATCACACAGAAATTCCGTCCTCTCGTACGATCGCCAGTAATCTCTCACAACACAAACTACAACACAACACATTAACAAATATTCACACACTTTCTGCACACACGCGCGCATGCAATTTATGTTTATTGGACTAACAAGATGTGTTGGAAACACTGAGAAATATTTATATTATTAACTACATGTTTACGATCGCAAAACTTCTCTCTTGTGCCTTCGAATCTCCTTTAACAAAATACATAAACAGGCCATCGTGAGCTATATAGCAATATTCAGCAGCAGATACAATATTTTAAATATACACAACTTGTTATATTGATATTTTTTCTTGTCATCATTTTAAGGCTGGAGAGAGACAAATAGGACAAGTTTCTCAGATTTTTTTCCTCCAGACAATCTCCCTTTTATACAACACAACATTGCACTAAACTATCCATATCACAAGTCGAGAGAACAAATATAGATTAACACTTATTTTTACAATTTAAATGTGTGTATTTTCAAAAGCTCAACACTCAGAGTTGTTGTAGTTCAGCGAAGATCAACCTTGAGCTCTTTTGCTCCATACTTTTTTGCATTTTCTCAAAGACTACAACAACATCAAAACACTTTGACGTCCATTTAATGCACAAATCAATTAAAATTACTAAAGTGGACAAATCAACATGATAGAGAATTTATGATCTGGAATATTCTTGCTCTCATTCCACACTCAAATATTATTATTCTTTTGCCGATTGGACAAATCGTGTGTTCCATAATGAGATCAGCATTTAATTTATTATGCAAGAAAAAACCTTTCCTGCAACATTTTCATAAATTTGCCATAAAGGAAGTTAAACAAAAAAACTACCGAAAAAAGATCAATTTTTCAAACAGGAAGAACTCCAATGATAGTCCTTGAGAAGCATTCCAAATGTATCTCAGAGAATAATCTTTCTGATGTCGCAAATACATGGAAAATGCGGAAGAAAAGAATCTTAAAATTTCCCCACTCAATCACAGCATTAAAAGCGCTCGCGCGTTATCATTAGAGAATTTTGCAAAGATGGGAAGAAAAAAGGAAAAACTTTGAGAGGATCACACCAGTGACTTTTAGCCTCAATTAAAAGTAGAGGAAAAAATGCCAGGGAGAAAAAAGGCATTATCACAAGTGACCTCAAAATTCTGCTGTGTACAAAGTGTTAATTTTTCTGTCTTGCAGACTATTTTCAATTAAATTAACCCCAATTTTCAATTAATCTCTTCCCCAAGAGAGTTAATAGAAAACTTTTATAAATATAATGCATTCAAATATAGACACTTATTTGATAATTTATCATTTTTTTTCCTCAATAAATAAATATTGAATATTGCGCAGAAGAAAAAAAAAACTCACCAATGTAATGACAATTTACAGTCGTGTGCAAGAAATACGATCACGAATAACACTTTATTGGCGCAAATTGGAAGCATTTTCGTGCCATTTGAACATGACTTATTTAGTTGGAATATAACTAAAGCCAATAAAGTAAGGTATTTAATTCTTCTCCTTGTGCTCAAACAGAACAAACTAAAATTTAGTTCAAGAATAAGGGTTTATCCTCCAATCATTGCCATTAAATTGAATATCAACTTGCGTAAATATCATTGACGATCATCTGAAGATTGCCTTGAATGAATTTTATGCAGCATTTTTCATCTTCATTTTTCTTCTTTCTTTTTTTTAATGTTCATAAAATACAAATTCATGATGTTGCAACATGTTTTGCATACACCTGTACATAAGTATCGCACAATGCGAGAAAACTCGTTCTTCCACTTCCATTAAATTCCATCTTGTAACACACCAAACACTCGAGCCACAATACATTCAATCGCACGCCAAATCAACTGATATCAAAAGCAGACTCTGAGGAATTTCCCAAGCGTGACTCCAACGCTATTCCCCAGAGTCTCTCCTGATATCGCGCGCGCAATCGTCTCTGTGAGGAATTCAAATCAATTGTGCCTCTCAATATATATATTAAACTCTCATCCATTAACGTCACACACCAGCAAAATCATCGCAATCACATCTCACACAAATGATCGCCAGCAATCGCGAGTCGCAGCGTTATCACGCTCTCACGCCAAAGACGTGTGGAAAAAATGCCAAGCATGAGGCATTATCAGTCTGCTATTTTCATTCCCCTCACAGCACAGGTCATGGAGAGGCGCTCTTTTGGGCATCAAATGGAATGGCGCACCATGAACTGCTTCACCCGAAGGAGTATGTAAATAACTCTGCGTCAATCTCACATAACAAGGAAAATTCAACAAATCGCGAAGGCTTCACCACAAATTGATAATAATAATGTGGAAAACTTTCTCTTTCCCCCGAGATGATGTTAAGAATCGTGGAAATTGACTAAAATACTCACCATCTTTAATGTCCTCACTGAGTTCTGTGAGCAGTTGTTCGGCGACATGTTTTTTCTCTGGTGTTAAATCAAATTTAAAAAGTTCATCGATGGTCAGTTCTGCAAGAGGCAAAAACACATTATATTTCTCGCTATTGAAGAGCAACTCCTTTTGCCAACTACCATTTGTAGCAAAATAGTCCTCGCTGAGCCACGGATCATCGTTACTCTGCTCCAGAGCAACGTGGGTGGGCGACAGAGGTTCCATCTTGCCCACCCACTGAGCATTCTCTGAGAATAGCTCCATTGCGTTGTCCAGAAACTCCATCTCTGCTTGTTATTCCAACTTCTTCCGCTTCCAATACTACTGACGGCCGTAAGGATGTAGAAAGTTCTTGTAATTCCTTGACTTCTTGTGTGGAAAACACACTCAGCTCCGTGAAAAACGCCATTGTGGCACTGAAAAGAATCCAGAGAAGAAGAAAAGATCCTGATTGAGAAATTTTTCACCTCCAAAATTGTCACTCTTTTCTCGCCAATCAATTATTTCGCATTGCGCCCAGGTGAAAGGCTTCAGTGCGAAGTCATTCATCAAGATAGAGAGACTTTTCGCCACGCAGACGTTTATTTTTAGCAGCACTTTTGCTTGCACAGTTTGCCCAATATTCTCTTGCAAAAACTCTTGACACGTGTTAAATTCATAGACAAGGAGAAGATAATAAAGCCTTAAAGAATCCCTTCTATTGTAATCAGATTAAAGGATTTTCAATAAATGTTTGGAGTTAATGATAATCTTGCCAAATTCTTATTCTTATCAACCCTCAAAAGTCAAGTATGAATTTTCTTGTGTTTCTTGTCAATATTCTTGACAAGATTCTGTTTAAAATAACTTTAGATTTTCTGCTCATGTTCGCAAAATGCCAAGATTTTCCCCAGCAACAAAGTAAAAGCAAGGAATCTTGGGTCAAAGCAACAATTGATAACATTTGCAGACCTACAACTAAACAAAGTCGCAAAGTCAGCGAACAGTAAGATTTGGGAATAGGCGAACCTGCTTCCAATATGTTTCAAGTTAGCCCAATTCCTACTCTTTCCCTCTCGCCACTTTACTCAGCGCTAAACCGCTAAGAGCCGAAGAAAAAAAAACCACGAAATAATCCGATAAAAGCCAACCAACATATTGAGTAAGTGCGACTCGCGGTTGCCAAGTTATTCGTCTGAGAGAGTGAAAGGAATGTTTAAATGTTCAACAAACCCATAAATATCTCTTTAATATTAATTTTAGCCAGACGCACAATAAAAATATCGCATTGTTTTTATTTTGAGGAAACACTGGCGGAACTTTTCCTCTTCTATCATGTTCTTGGGGTGTAAAAAAAGTTGTTTTTGTCCAAAAATTCAAAACATTCTTTTCCATTATCAAGTCAGTCTTCTTCTTTGTTCAGAGATTTACGAACTTCAAACTGCGAGGAAGAGTTCAGCAGCGTCTGGAGATTTTCTTCGCGGTGCATGGAGGATGTTGATAAGCGAGTTTGCAGGTGAAATTGACCCACTTTGCCGCGCCTCCAAATTGCTCATCGCGTCTTCGGCCACTCTTCAAGGCGATTGCATCATCCTTGAAAGCACCCTCAACACTCGCCATTCCTGCCTCCGGGTCATTGACTCTGTCCGCTTCCTGGTAGAATCCCACCCCCTGCACTGTCCCGTGCACCTCTTCAACCGCTCGGCGGTGACATAATGCAAACAATACGACACGAAAGTGCATGGCGACCTCATTAGTCATCGTGAGGGGCAAAATGGCGGCGTGGCCAATATTTCCCACAATATTTTCATCCCCATTTCTCACCCAAATCAACCCAATTATTCAATGGTACTTACATCATTATATTACTGTTCTGTTGCAAGGCACACCTGCGTGTGCAGGACACTTAATGCACGGCTAGAAACCCATTTTCACCTCGATATGAGCGGGAGTAAAATTTGCGACACTTTCTTAGACTTCATGGGAAAAACGAATGGCGGCGCTGCTGAGGAACTGCGAGAAGCGCGCATGCTTCAACCCGGCTGACTGAAATCAAATTTTATTCAGTTTCTTCAATCATTTTAAACTCAATCAAAATATTAGTTATTCTATTTTTTTCTCTTAGAATTACCAGTGTTTTGTGAATTAATTCGTTAAATTAACCATCAGCTGACGATTTCTCTCCTCTCATTTCCTCCAGTACCACTTACGCTAAGCATGACAAATTGGTGTTCGCGGGAAAGTGCTCGAATACATCGACGGTGCTGCCACCACTGCGAGAACACTTCCTTTTCCACCAAACGTGCTGATTCGTGGAGCATCAGGTTAGATTTTGTGCTGAAAAAAGGGAAAATTCCCCGTGAAAATGCACTCAAAGTGGTCTTTTGGTGTTTTGCAGAAATGCCTGCGGCCGCTAAGAAGCCTGCTGAGGGGAAGAAACTCCCCGCGGTGCCAGAATCGAAGCTGAAAGTGGCGAAAACTCTGACGTCGCACAAGGACCGTGCATTGAAGATTAAGTTGCTGAAGAGGACCAAGGTGCTCCTCAGGAAGCGCGAGAACTTCCGTCGTGCCGAGCAGTACGCCCGGGAGTACAAGAAGAAGGAGCGCGATGTCATCGAGCTGAAGAGGCAGGCGAAGAAGGATGGCACATACTATATTCCGGCTGAACCCACGCTGGCGTTTGTTGTCCGCATCCGCGGGTGAGTTTTTTGCCCATTTCACTGTGTTTCCCTGCGATTGGTCGCATTGGGGGTGGCGAGAGGGCGCCTGGGCGTCCATCCGCTCTGTATTTACTGGTCAAAACACCCCCAAATTGTTGGCAAACACAGTGCGAAGAGGCGTGAAGAGACGGTGAAATTGAGGTTATGTCGCACTTGTTTTCCAGTATCAACAAAGTCGCCCCGAAGGTCCGGAAGGTCCTGCAGCTGTTCCGCCTGCGGCAGATCAACAACGGCGTGTTCGTGAAGCTCAACAAGGCCACCATCAACATGCTGCGGATCTGCGAGCCCTACATCGCCTGGGGCTATCCCAACCTCAAGTCCATCCGCGACCTGATCTACAAGCGCGGCTTCCTGAAGATCAAGGGCCAGCGCATTCCGATCACCGACAACCTGCTGATCGAGCGCAAGCTCAAGAAGCGCAACATGCAGTGCGTGGAGGATGTCGTGCACGAGATCTACACCGTCGGGCCGCACTTCAAGCACGCCACCAACTTCCTGTGGCCCTTCAAGCTCAACACGCCCAACGGCGGCTGGCGCAAGAAGAATAACCACTACGTGGAGGGCGGCGACTTCGGCAACCGCGAGGACAAGATCAACGCTCTGCTCAAGAGGATGATCTAAGCCAGAGACAGTTTTCGCGAATAAAGAGTCTGAGACGAAAATACCAGGAAAATTCATTTATTAATTTGGTTTCTCTTGTCGAAAACACTCTTTTCTTCAGATCTCTCCTTTTTCTCCTAAAAATTGGTTTTGTCGCTGAGACATCAATTAAAATAAAAGAGGAATTGAATCCTTAAATCAAGTATTAAATAATAACATCAACACTAATAATCGGAATCGGAGTCATCAGACTCGGCATAAGTTGCCTTCTTACGGCCTCGCGCTGGCTTCTTGACGGGCGAGAAGTCCTCATCGCTGCTCCCCGCCTTCTTCCGGGACTGCAAGAGAGAGAAGAAATGTAAGAATCTGCGAAGAGGAAGATTGGAAGAGCAATCTCACCTTCTTCACCTGCACATCATCATCGCTGTCGTCCATCTTCGCGCGCTTTGTGACCTTTGACGGCGCCGCCGCCGCGGGTTTGTTCAGCAGCTTTCGCTGCGTTGGCGCCGCCTTGGGCTGCGGTTGTGGAGGACTCGAGTCCTTGTCCTCCTTGAGAGAGTCAAACATATCCTCACTGGACATATTCTGATTGGCAGGCTTCATCTCCATGTCACTGTCCGAATCGCCGAAGCCCTCGGAAGCCGCACCATCATCCTCCTCCTCGTCATCATCGAAATTGTACACAATCTTCTTGGACGCCGCCCGAGTTGGCGCCTTTTCGCGTGACGGCGGACTGATGACCTCCATCTCGTCCTCATCAGACACAAACTCACCTGTGGCCTTTTTGGGCTGCAAGAGAGAGAGAAATTGCCAGAGATCTTCACACAACAAAATGTCTCTTAATTAAGCAACTCACCGACTTCTTAGTTGCCTTCGGGAAGTTCAATTTCGGCTGCTTCATTCCATCAGACGCTTTCTTGGTCTTCTTGGCCGGCTTCTTACCATCAACGAGATCAATACTGCTATTTCCGGCATTCACCAGCGCATCCAGATCATCCATCTCCTCAGTCTCCTCCTTCACCTTCTTCTCCTTCTTCGGCGCCTTCTCCTTCTTCACACCCTGCGACGCGGCGACCGCCTTCTCGAACTTCTTCACCAACTCCGCCGTGATCCGGAACTCCACCTTGTCCCCATTCACCGCCGGATAAATCTCACTCTTCTCACCCTTGATCAGCCTCAATCCTCGCGCGCCAGTCTCCTTCTTGCCCTTCCCCTTCAGCGGAGTCACCATCGACGACGCCATCTCGTCACGCTCCTTCTTCTCCACCTCATCCAGCTTCGCCTCCAGATTGTCCAGATCCGCCTTCCACAGATCCTCAGGCGTCTTCTGCTTCAGTATATTCAATTCATTCAACTTTGTGTCCTTCTTGTTCAGCAGCTCACGCTTCTTCTCCTCCGTCAGCATCCACATCTTCATGCCCACGAGATAGTCAAACTGCTTCACATCCTGCAGACTGTTGAACGCCTTCTCCGGATCCACTGGCTTCTTACCCTTCTTCACATCCACCACAGCAGTCTCTTCCTCCTCCTCGCCACCCTCATTCTCCGCATCCTCAGAGGCCTCTTGCTCAGCAAACTTCGGATTGATCTTCCTCTTCCACTCACGCACCGGATCCGGCTTGTAGCCACGCTTCAGCAACTCCTCAATCACCACCTTGCGCTTCTTGTTCTCCACCCGAATCGTCCCGTCGCACTTCTCCACAATGAAGCGCGCCTGATTGCCCAGGAAATCCGCCTCAGCCGTCAACATTCCCACCAAATACTCCTTGCGCTTCACATAGTATTCCAGACGCAGCGTGAAGAACTCCTTCAGAATCATCGACACATTGTCAAAGCGACGCAGACACAGATTGTCATCGAAGGCGTGCATCTGATTTGTGTTAATTGACGACTGCAGCTTAAACACCCGATGAAATCCACCGTCTTCACTTCGAATCCGATCAAATTCACCCGCCGCGAAGCTGATGACAAAGCGAACTGTCGCATCAGTGTGATATTCCTTGTAGTCATTGATGATGGCCTTCACCTGAAAGCAAAAAGAAGACACAAACAGAAGAGTTAAATCTGCCTGAGAAACTGAAAGTCTTCTCTGATCATCTAGAGCTCACACACACAGTTTTGATGAGAAAAACTGCCCCGGAAGGACATTCCAACTTACTTTACTCTGTGCCTTTCCGGAGGATGAAATCACAAAGCAAAATGCACAAATGGGATTAAGAGTGATAATAAAAGCCAATTTATCAATTGCTTCATCAACACTCACCTTCTCTGATCCGTGCAGCAGCGGCTCCAGGACATTCTCCTTGTACGTCTGCGTCCACACGCCAATTGGCAATTCAGTGATCTCAATGCGATTTCCCGGCAGAATGGCCACATTGCCCGTGGAGACGTAGCGATGCTCAGCCATGTACTCCAGATCACCGGTGAAGTTCTTGTAGTAAGGCTTCATCGGCTGTGGCTCCTCACTCTGAATCATCAGCCTCAAGTTGCTGATGAGCTCACGCGGATTGTAGTTCGGGATCTTCGTCGACCAACCCGTGCCGATGCCCTCGGCGCCATTCACCAGCACCATCGGGATGATTGGCAAATACCAAACGGGCTCAATGTCCTGATTGTCCTCCTTCTGATACTGCAGCAGTGGATCGTCGTTGGGATGGAAGATCAAACGCGCCAGTGGCGAGAGCATCGTGAAGATATAACGTGGCGATGCACTGTCCTTCCCACCTGCCAATCTTGTGCCAAACTGTCCCTTCGGCTGCAGCAAATTGATATTATTGCTGCCGACAAAGTTCTGTGCCAAATTCACAATTGTGCTGCACAAACTCTGCTCACCATGATGATAAGCCGATTTCTCCGCCACCGAACCAGCAAGTTGAGCCACTTTCACCTCCTTCTTGTCATTCCTCTTGAAGCACGTGAAGATCACCTTCCGCTGGCCAGGCTTGAAACCATCCACCAAGCTGGGAATTGAGCGCTCATTGTCCGCATTGGAAAACAACACGAGCTCGAGATTGACAAACTCAGCGTAGGAAACACTCGTGGTGTCCTTCGTGTACAGATATCTCTCCTGCAATCCCAGCTGCTTGCGCCTCTTCGTCTCCGCCATGTGCGCCGTGAGCCACTCTTTGCGCTGATCCACGCACTTCTTCGAGAACGCCATCACGATGGCGTCATCGTCCACACTGCCGTCGTACTTGAACGAGATCTTGTGGCGTCGCATGTTCTTGAAGTACTCCTTCGCCTCATTGGACGTGGACGTACCCAAACCTTTGTAGTACTTGATGGAGTACGTGTGCGCATTGTGCGTGTTGGACTTCCACTCCTCGAACTCTGGCAGGGAGTAGAATGAGAACACTTCGTTCTTCTTCGTCGCCTTCACAATGGGCGTGATGAACTCCTCCAGGAATGGCAGTCGCAGCAATTCCGGCCAATTTGTGTGGATGAAATTAATCACCAGACCCTTGATATGCGATCCATCCTGATCCTGATCTGTCATGATCATCACCTTGCCATAGCGCAGACTCTTGAGATCATCCAGTGAGTTGTACTTCTTCTTGTACTGCAGCCCAAGGATCTTGATCAGATTGTTGATCTCTGCATTCTCCAGAATCTGCTTGTGAGTCGCCTCACGGACATTCAGCAGCTTACCCCTCAGCGGAAACACGCCAAAGTGATCTCGGCCAACAACTCCCAATCCCGACACTGCCAGCGTCTTGGCTGAGTCTCCCTCAGTCAAGATCAGCGTGCAGAGATGAGAATTCTTCGTGCCCGCATCGTTGGCATCCTCAAGCTTCGGAATGCCCTTAATCTTGGACTTCTTGCTGCCACTGGTCTTGCCCAATTCCGTTTGTGCCTTGAATTTTGCCCACTGCAGCACAGATTCCACAACGCCACACTTTGTCACATTCGTGATGAACTTCTCCGACAGGCCACACTTCGAGCCGAAACTCTTCGACTGCAATGTCATGTTCTCCTTGGTTTGCGAGTCGAAAGTGGGATTGACGATGAGACAATTGATGAAGATCCACAAGTGATTCTTCACCTGGAATGGCTTGATGTTCGTGCCGCCCTTGTTCTTCTTCTTCAGCACCTCAATCAGCTGCTTCACGATGGCATCCGTCACGTGATCCACGTGCCGTCCACCCTTCGTGGTGGCGATGGAATTGACGAAGGACATCTGCTGGAAACCCCTGTCAGACATCGTGAGCGCCACTTCCCAGCGCTCATTCACATTCTCATACACAACCTTGGGCGGTGCGCCGCCACTCTCGTCCAGATTGTCCTTCAGATACAGGTCCACGTAGTCCTTGAAGTTCTTCACGGGAATCTTCTCGCCGTTGAGGAACACCGCCACGCCTCGCGTGGACGCGGCCACGTCGAAGGCGCGACGATTCATCAGACTCACAATGTCATCGTCCAACTTTTCCATCTTGAACTTCGACAAGTCCGGCGAGAATGTCACCTTGGTGAAGTCCTCACCGCTGAACGACTCCACGCGCGGATCGCTGGTGCGCTTCATGTTCTCGCCCCATTGCTGCTTGAACTTGGCCTTGTACTCGCGGCACGCCGTCTCAACCTTGAACTTTGTGCTGAAGATGTTGCAGAGCTTGGCGCCATATCCATTCCTGCCGCCCGTCACCTTCTCCTCCTCGTCGTTGTAATTGGAGGACGTGAGCAAGTGGCCGAAGATCATCGTGGGCACGTACATCTTCTCATCCTTGTGCATCACCACCGGAATACCCTTGCCATTGTTGTAGATGCTGATCGTATTCTCCTCCTGATTGATGTCAATCTTGATCCTGGTCATGTTCTTATCGCGCTGCTTATTGTCCGCCGCATTCACGAGGATCTCGTCGAAGATTTTGTACAATCCGGGCACATACGAGATCTCCTTCTGGATCATCTTCTTATTCTCTTTGTCATACACCCACATCTGCTCCTTCACCATCTCCACGGAGCCAATATAAGTGTCCGGACGCAGAAGGATGTGCTCCAGTGGAGTCTTCTTCTGGTACACCTTCTCGATTGCGTCCTTCCCATTCTGATGACTGCCAGATGCCTGCAAAGAGCAACACTGTGTCACATTCCACTCTCAACCACCCTCCCGCGGAGGCCCCAAACTCACCATGATGGCTGCAATTTTCCACCCTTGTCTCACTCTGAGTAACTTTCCAGTCAATTGAAGCGGCGTCGTGTGAAACCTGAGGAGAAACAATGGAAATGCTCAATGTTTCGCTCAATCTTCACTGGAAATCAACTCAAGCACATTCCCCCCACTGCCCACACATCGCAGAACTCGCGGCAATACAGCAATCACTTCAATACTTACGTGAGAATGCACAAAGCGTCCTTCCTTCACTCCAACAACTAAACTTCCAATCCGCCAAAGAAAGCGTCAGTCTGTGGAGAAAAAACACATTTCACTCATTTACCACATACACAGCCGTCTTCCTCCATCAGAGACAGTTTACCCACGTCCTGAAGGTGAAAATTCCCAACCCCTTGCGATAAATAGCTCACTACTTACATGAAAAATTCACGAAGCGTCCTTTCTTCTCAGCAAATCCCCAGAATCTGACCGCCATTGCTTTCGCCGCAACTGCCAGCGACACTTTTGACAGTTGAATTTCGCCGCGCGACGCCAGTGCACTCTGCCATCATTCGCCGTAAGCACAGCTGACACCTCAAAACATAAACAAAGTGTGTTTTTGTGCGAAATATTGTGAAAACTTGAATAAAACCTCTGAAAAATGTCCGATGACGAGTACTCTCACGTGTCCAAGGGAAAGCTGAAGCTAAAGAGCGATGGGGAGGTGAGGAAGAAGAAGAAAAAGAAGAAGGACAAGGAGAAAATGAAGGAGAAGGTCCAGACGGCAATTGCTGAAGGCAGCACGGGCAGTACGGGCAGCGCTTCCGGAGGCAGCAAGAGAGTGTTGACCAAGGCTGAGATGTCATTCAAGAAGATGCAGGAGAAGACGGTGAGAATAATGCGATGGTTTTACTGGTGCAGAAGTTTAATTGATTATTATTGTGTTTGAATTTGCAGCAAAACAAGCGGATTCTGGAGAAGGCTTCAATGACGCACAAGGAGCGCGTGGAGAAGTTCAATCAGCATCTGGACAGCCTCACGGAGCACTTCGACATTCCCAAGGTGTCGTGGACAAAGTAGACGTGTTCGCCTGCAAATCTATTTATTTCTTCAAGTTTTCTTCAGTGTATAAATTACAAATAGTTTTTATCCTCGGAACCACTAATCTTTCTACGTCCCCTAACATCTTCTGATATGTTGCTGAAGTGCCGCCACTTCCGAAGGTAATTCTCATATTTCTTGCTACAGAGTATCGTTTGGGTGTAAATTACAAGGATTATCTCGCATATTCGCTAGAGTTATCAGTACAGTTTCTCTATTGTTGGCATAATTTCTACAAAGAGTGCAAAACGTAAAGCGTGAAGGGAGTAAAAATCGCCTAGGATTCTAGCTAGAATATTTATCCTACAAATGGAACAGAAGATTCTCTGGAACTTGGCAAAACTTCTCCTCATCTAAAGAACGCCCACAATAGACAGTAATATTCTTATGCATAGGAAAACTTCTTAATCATGAGCATGAGAGACAGTAAAACCTGTCCATCATTCACTTCCTCCGCCTCAATAAATCATCCTCAATCGTTTCTCGCGGAAGCGCGTGTCCGCCTTGAGAGTATACTTGAGTACAATATTACAATTATTGATTCTAGTATCACGACTAAATTGTCTTCTTATGCCATCCTCCGGTTCTTCGCCACGAGGATTCTCTCTCTGTGTGTGAGTGTGTAAATTCATCGAAAAGACGTGCTTCAGGGTCTCTCTTACGTATGTCCTGGGAGGTGAAATTGGCATTGTGGAGGACTCACGGCCAGCCAAAGTTGATGCCCGTGATCTGGTAGAACTTCACGTTGAACGGACGATAGAACTCACGAAGGCGCGTGATGGCGTTCTGCTCGATCACCGGGTGATTTCTGCCCTTGGTCTTGCCCAGACAGTGCGGACTGGAGCTGGACTCGGACTTGAGGAGGCACGGGAAGCCCTTGGTGGCATTGAAGTAAAAGTGCTTCTCAGTGACGACGCGCTTGAGGCCCAGGAAGTCCTGCACGCGGCCAATCTCCGCCGCTGGATCCTCAATCAGGCGCTCGCCGCTGACGAAGAGGAACTGCGAGAGTGGGAAATATTGCAGCCAGCGCTCCAGGTGCTTGGCGTACACGCCGATCTTCACGGGCGCCCACTTGGTGTCCACCACGCCCAGGGAGCCGTTGACGAAGGCCAGCTCCTCGAAGCGCTTCATGCCCTTCTTCTTGCTGGCCGCCTGCGTGTAGTCGCTGATGGCGCGCGTCACGGGATCGCGCACCACGATGAGCAGGCGCATGTTGGGATTCATGTGGTGGACGCGCTGAGGCACTTCCTTGGTGATGAAGTAGCTGGGCGTCTTCTCCATCGTCAGCTGGCCCTCGATGGTCGGCGGCATGTGGTGGCGATACCAGTGCAGGCCCTTGCTGTAGTGCCTGTCGAAGAAGTGCACCTCGCAGCCGGCCGCGCGCACGTCCGGATGGAGGCGCACGAACTCCAGCAACGCTCTGGTGCCGCTCTTCTTCACGCCAATGATGAGTGTGTCGGGCAGCTGGCGCGTGGGCACGACGCCCTGCGTCTGCAGCAGGCGATACTTGGGAAACGACTCGGATTCATTGCACTCCGAGCCTGGAATCAGAGGCACCACACGCACAATTGACCCCAAGATGCGCATCTCGGGCGCCTCTGTCGTGGACGTCGTAGTGAGATCGGCCTCTCTGGGCGCTGGAGGTGCGGATTGGCGACGGAAGGCTCTGTTGATGCTGGACACGAGGCAGGAGTTGAAGGTGTAGGAGAAGTACACGATGCACACGATGAGCAGGCAGATGATTGTGCGATTGATTGTGCTGCTCCACCACGGACTTGTGGGCAGCAATTCCTCCCTCTTCCACTGAAATGGGCGGAAAAAAAGAGAGAGAAAGAGGATAAAGTGCGTCAATACTAAAGTTTTACTGGGAAATTTATTTAATTTGATTTATCGATCAACTTTGACGATAATTTTCCACTTTATCAACGCCATAAACAAGCAATAAAGTTTGAGTTTGAGCTTTTAAACACTCAAGTCCTTAAGCTAAGGCATGTTGAACACCGATTTGTATGATTTTTATCACTTTTCTTCCGATGAATGACAATATTTTTGCAGTTTGAATGCAGCGATGAGAAGAGATAATCTTTGAGGATCTCAGAAGAATTTGCAAGTAAGTTTATATACAGTGATTTCCTATGAAATGAAGTCCTTTTTACGTTTTATTTTACTCGATATTGTGAATTGATGCTAAAATCTTACGTTTTAGTGAATAGTTAATCAGAAAAGCTAAAATTGTCGTTGGAAATTATAAAGACATGCTAAATAATTAATGCTGAGAATATAAAAAGAACACTAAAAAAAATCACGTGTTTCATTTCATTGGCGACAACTGTAGTTAAAATTCCTATTTTCTTTTCAGAGCATTTTCCAAAGTTCTTCCAAAAATAGACGTTTTATTGCGTTTTAAAGTGCTCTAGTATTGACTTGAGAGCTTTAGCGAAACTTTGTACTTAAAACCATCTAAAAATACAACATTCTTGTTGTTATGAAATGGGTCAGAAGGGAATTTAAAGTTTGATTTTTAATCCTTGTCATTTCCTTGTGTCATAACAGGATTTCTTGCGCCTAATGGGGCATTAAAGGAAAAACAGTGGTGGCGCGACCCAAAAGCAATTTTGGGGCGACAAATTATTTTTATTTGCACCATCAAATCTCACATAAATCATGAGAAATACTTCTCTCTTCTCTCCACCCCAAAAAGGCGAAAGAGATGAAATTCGCGAGCGTGTATTTGCGATGGGAGGAAATTCTGCACCGTAAATCATCCCCAACTTTCGTCCAACTACTGCTGATTTTTCCTGTCGAGCAGGAAGCGTTTTCTCCCCCCCCCCCGCCCCACCATCGAGTAATCTCTCGCTTTCCCCGCCCGAGACGAGATATGAATTTTTAATCAAATTGTAGATCAATCAATATTAGCTTATCGGAAAATCTCCCCACTCGACAGCCTTCGAGTACTTATCACAGAATTCACCTTCTTGTACATCGCGCGAGCCGCACGGATTGCGATTTAATAAGTCCTTTTCGCGTCGGTGGGCGACCGAAAATGCTCTGATGGGAGTCTCAGTGCATCGATTTCTTTCGCCACATTGCCAAGAACTGCCGCGGAGGCGATTTCACTGCCACACCGGACGCACTTTTCACTCAAGAGCACTTTTGGGCGGCCGAAGGGATGCACACTGACCACTGCAGCTATCCTCCATGGCCCGCGAGAGGGAGAGAGTGAGAGTGCGAATTGTGCGGAGACTTTCCGTCCTGCCACTCGTCTGACACTTGACTGACTCCGTGTGCGACGGAGGAGGACGATGGAGACTCCCGGAGAGGACAGACGGCAGAGCGCATGTCCCCAGATTGCCTCCATGAATTGAAAGTCTCCAGTGGATATTTTGTTGGGAAGATTTATTGTCATCTCTCTGACATGCTCGAATATCAATCTGAAAAGGGACTTTCGCTTTAAATCTATTCGTCACACAGCCTTGCAAGATGATTGTCCTATGACGGCATGGAAATCTCTGTGGTAATCGGGGCGATTGGCTTCGTCGGCACCAGTGGTTTGTCCTCCTGATCGTACAGCACAATGTTCTGGATGGTAATGAGTCCTTTCCGGTGTGTGGAGGGGAAGTACACAATGTACAGGATGAGGATGATGAGAAACAGGCCGGCAAATGTGCCGCCGCTCGCCCAGCCGTAAGCCGTGATTCCGCCCTCCATGTCGAAGAGCATGTAAGGATGGCGCAGGAAAATGAACTGCACCGTGCTGACCACGGTGTTCTCCACGATGTATCCTTTGGCGAGGAAGAGCTCAGTCGCGCGGATGTTGGACACCTCCATGATGTGAATGTCGGGACAGAACAGTCCGACGCCGAGGGAGAAGTTCATCAGCCAGAAAGAAATGCCCGCCATACCGTAGTGTCCGGTCGTGAGGAGGGAAGTGGCGATGATGACGGCCAGGAAGGTGGCGCCCAGGGACTTCATGAAGATCAGCTTCATGCTGAGGAACGTGGACGCAATCAGGCCGACAATGATGCCCAACAGGGCGAAGTAGTACGTGATGTAGTGATAGTTGTACAGCCAAATGAAGTCGGGAGTGTCAGAGATTTGGCTATCGTGTAGGAGGTAGAAGATCGTGGCGATGGTGAAGTAGATGAAGATCTTGTAGTTCAGCGTGATGTTGGTGAGCTTCAGGCACAGCGAGAAGAGAGTGAGAAGCGTCTGGCGGCCAGTGTCGGGTTGTCTAGTGACGGAAGTGGGATCGTTGAAGCCCAGCGTGGATTTGAAGTGATCACTCCTGTCGTTGGCATCCTCGAGGAACGTGTCGCGGCACTTCTTGTAGTTGTACATGCCCATGAAGCTGAGTATCTCATTGAGAAGCAAGCCAGCAATGGCCAAAATAGATCCTGTCAGGATGATCCAACCGGCTCTGTAGACGACATCTCCGGCGCGCTGAGGATGGTAGATGAATTGCGACGTGAGGTGGACGAACAGAGTCATTCCGCCGAGGTGAACCAGATGGCAGAATCCCGTTCTGGTCACGCGGAAGCCGTCATCCTTGGATCGGAAGTGGATGTAGGAGAGTCCTGTGACATACACCAGACCGTGTCCAAGACCGCCGAAGAAGAGTCCCACTGTGGGATCTGCGGGGGAGAGAAAGAGAGAGAAAGGTCACCATAAATCTCCGACTCTACAAGCTTTTCGCGGATCTTGCAGCGACAAATTCCTCCAAAGTCCACGCGAGATTGCGAATACCCCACCTGACACTATCTCCAGTATCGCTGACGTCTGAGATAGTGAGATCAGTTATCGTGCTGCCCAGGACAGCCACACTCACCTTGGTAGTCCACGATGAAGGCTATTCCGCTGCCGAGGAGGCACAGAGATCCCGCCCCAATCAGGAGCATGTGGTAGAATCGCACGCGGCCGTACATATGCTTCGTCAAGGTCAGGATAATGCCCGCCAAGCCCGCTGTGACCATGGCACAGATCTGCGGCCCGACGAGGACGTAATTATAGTGCACAGGACTCAGATAGAGCATGAAGCCCAGCCATGCTCCGCATTGCATAAAGCACACGCTCACTGGAAAACAGGGAAAGTTGTAATGCTAAGTCCTTCGCAGGCTTACTTTTGAGTCCGAAATTCCCATATTTATGTCCTTTTTAGTATCCTTTTCAAAGCGAAGAAGACCGCTTTTCCAAAGAAATGAATTTAATGATCTTTCACCAATCATGCGTCTTTTAAGATCTATTTGAGCAATATCTGAGCAGAAGAACGATCGATTACCAGACATTTGGGCTCCGCGGGTGATTTGTCATTATTATTTAAAATGTGATATGATTTTAATCACGATCATAAATTTCTACGAAAAATATCTAATCGAGAAGTGCTCTGGGAAATTTCTAATTGCGCGCCTGAATGAAGGTCTCAATTAGACCTGGAATTAATATTCTGGAAGTCTGATAAAGCCTAAAAAAAACTTGTGAATTAATCCGGATTAGAGGTGTGCGGATTAGAGATTGTGAAAATCTCTTCAACACCGCAAAAGTGAGTCAGTTATTAAAAAAGAGGAAAAAGTTAGATGAATTTCCTCAGCCACGTGTTTCATAATGGCGAAAATCCTCTTCTTTCCCATTTTGGTGGAACTAATCTATAAACAAGTATTTCCACCATCAGTCTTCACGGGACATTAATTTTCACACCACCGCCAGATATAATTTGCCGGCGCGCAGGATATTTACCAAAAAATTCCGGGAGCAAACCCATTTTTCACCCATTCACACTTGCTTCCACTCTGATGGCTCAAGACTGACTGCACAGGTGAAATTGTGCGGTGGAAAGACGCTAATTAGCGCAGTGTTCGGCGGCGATAAAGAAGCTGGTGGGGCGAAGTAGTCAATCCTGGAGGATTAGGCTTATCGGATGGAAAAATCACCGGTCGGTGCACAGGTGTGGACAAGTGGAGAGTATAAAAGTACAAGTATTTATTAGGCAATGTAGAAAAATAATCACTTGGCGGAAGTTTCAGGCGGTGGAATCAATGCGCAGCGGCTCGGGATCGGGTCCGAAGAGGACCAGTCGCTGAATTTCCAGGATGGACTTCTTCGTGGTGGCTGGAAACTTGAGGAGGCGCATGGAGATGAGCAGGGCGAGACAAGCCGTCCCGAAGACGGCGAAGTTCGTCCAGTAAGAAGCGACCAGGTTGTCGAAGAGCATGGCGTGAGGGTGCTGATGGAGGAGGAAGAGTGTAATGGTGGTCATCATGGCCTCTACACAGTATCCGAGACTGAGCATGGTCTCGGAGTAGCGAATGTCCGTGAGCTCGAGGATGGAGACGTCCGGGCAGAAGGCGGATTGTCCCAAGTGCATGAAGAAGAACCAGAATCCCACGGCGGCGAAGGAGAACTTGCCGGCGGTCATGAGCGAGAAGCCAATGATCATGGGCGGGATGAGTGATATTTGTTGGTTCATGTAGATGAAGCGCGTGCTGAACTTGAGGCACAGCAGCATGGACAGAATCACGCCCAGGACAGCGAAGTAGAACATCATGAACTCCAGGTATTTGTCCCTATTCAGCAAATTCGCCACGGCGAGGTTTGTGAAGATGATAAAAGGAATGTGTGTGAGCATTGCGTTGCTTATCTTCATGCTGACACTCAGCACGGTGAGCTTGAGCTGATAACCCGTGTTGGGCGCTTCATGGGGAGTCTCTGCATCCACTCCGATGGACGACTGGAAGTTATCTCGCCGCATATTTGCCTCCTTCACACTCCCGTCCAGACACTCGCGATAGTTGTACACATCCTTGAGATTGAACAATTCATTGGCCAGCAAGACAGTGATTGCCACACTGGACATGATCAGGATTATCCATCCTCCGGCCCTCTTGATGTCCTCCTTGAAAACATCGGCGCCTAAGTGAGCCATTATCGTCATGCCCAGGATGTTGAACAAGTGACATCCTCCCATCCGAATCACTCTCTTCCCGTCCGCGGAGGACCGGAAATGGATGTACGACAGTCCTGAGATGTACACCACGCCATGTCCCAGACCGCCAAAGTATATTCCTGGGAAGTAATCTGCCGGGAAAAAGAGAGAGAAAATGCGCTCTAATGGGTTAATTTGTTAAACTCTCGTTGGATTGTGTACACATGCACAGATTAATACGCTTTTCCCACTCACTGATAAATTTTTCGCTCAATAACTGTGGCCAGAAAATTGCCATTAAATTGTACATGAATTTAACATTGAATTATTGTGGGAGATTAGGTGCTTTTTGCCTCTGAGCCCAGAGATAAACAAAAACGTGAGTAATATTTTGGTGTTTTTGTTTGATACCCAGGTACATATACATATATAAGTATTCGTGGCCATAAAAAAAACTCACCTAATGGTCGAATTATGAGAATCAGAGAGCAAATGGTGAAAAGCGCCGTTCCAATTCCCAGCAGGAAGAAGTGCACGAACTTTACACTTCTGTACTTGTAGCGAAGATGTGTGAGGAAGAGTCCAGTGAGTCCTGCACTGGCCATTCCGCAGATCTGTGGCCCCACGAGGAGGTGCTGGTAATCCTTGGTCGGCAAACTGAGCATGAACATGAGCCAAGTGCCGCACTGCAAGTAGCACAAACTGGCTGGAAAACAGATGCATTTTCAACATTATTAGAGCCCATTTGAAATAATTCACATTCGCCTTTCCCTCCAATTTTTTTCTGTACCAAAGAGTTCTGGAAGAATTTCCACAAGAGCCATTTTCGCTGTTCAAACAAACTTTTTCCACTCTGCAGAGAGATTTCAACACTGTTTCCCACTTCAGCGCCAAATGAACTGCTCATAAACTCAGCTCTGTTCCCGTGACCGATATAGTCTCATCGCTGGAATCTCGTCACCACGCTTCGGCCTTTTATCATTGGCACAATACTCCATGGGATTCACCAATTCCCTGTGTTGCTTTTGTGATGCTAATCAGTGGCAATGCGTGAATCAGATGCCAAGGTTTCACCCAGGAAGCGTCTGTGAATTTTGGGAAGATGGCTTGGTGCCCTTCTCTGGGTGAAACATGAGTCATCTTCCTACTGTTTTCTTGCACTCTAAAAGACACCGCAACAAGCGGAGACTCGGACACGATTTATCACTTGTGATAGCCTGATAAGGCGTATTGTTATTTAATCAGCGTCAATGTTTGACGATGGCTCCCTATCAACCACTGTGGCATGTAATCTTGGAGATACGGATGTGTTAAATGAGTATTCAAATAAGAAGAACCATTTAAGAAGCATCGAGAGACTCTGCATAATGCTTGGCGCAACAGTTCAAGCGGAAATCAATTGCTGGAAAAGAGTAGATAATCAGAGCCACAAAGTAATGTTTAACAGTTCTTTAATTTCTCATTAGTCTTGGGGTAGAAATGAATTACTGCCCAACTAAATTATTGACTCTGGGCACTATTTGGCGCGTCTTCACGCTCCCATAATCGAAGCCTGGGTTGTCGTGTCCGTTGGCGCCATTTCGAGTCGGCACAGGATCATTGCTTGACTGCTGCGGATACCAAGGATGATGGAAGAGCGGCAAGTCCGTTCCCTGCGAGATGCGCCTTGGTTGACTTACCGGGACTTGAAGTCCTGGGGTTTGAGGCTGCGACTGAGCTCTCATGAAGGCCGGTCGCTCGTCAGACACTTGAGACGGCGTTGTGCTGATGATCTGAGGAACAGACTGAGGAGCAGCCTGAGGAAGTGGAGAGGCAAGAATCTCGTGATTCTTCGCCTTCCATCGATCCTCATTGTACATGATGGCGTACTGAATGTCCAGCAGTGATAGGTTGAGGGTTTTTGGGTGCAGCACTGCTATGATGATGAGGAGCAGCAGAGAAACGCCCACAAATGATCCTGAGTAGGACCACAGCAAGGTATTTGCGTCGATGGGAGTGTAAGGATCTGTCCAGTGGCCGAACTTCGTGAGAGCAATGAGGAAGTACTGGATGAAGTATCCTCCGGCCAGTGCGACTTCGGAGAACTTGAGATCAGTGACATCGAGGATGCCAATGTCGGGCAGGAAGTAACCGAATCCAAGGAAGAAGTAAAAGAGCCAGAAGAACACGGCGGATTGATCGAAGAGTTCGACGGAGAAGAGAATCGCGGCGGTCAGGAGGCAGATGGAGAATGCCAGGGTGAAGACAGTGTAGAGATGCTTGCCGTTAACTGTTAGCGAGATCACGCAGCCGAAGAGAACACCACCGAGAAGGAAGTAGAGATAGACGAACTCCAGACCGTTTCCCAGGTATGCAGTTGTGAGAATTGTGAATAGCATGAAGGCCCAGATGAAGACGAGGGCGTTCTTTATCTTGCTCAGGATCAGTCCCAGCGTGAGGATGTTCTGCTGTGGTATTCTTGCCTTGAGACGCGCTGTGAACACAATCGGTTGGACGTTAAGTCTGTTTGCCCAGTAATTGCTGTCCTGAGGCGCATGAGCTTCCAGTGTGAGAGCACTCTGGAATCCATCCTTCTTCTCATTGGCAAGGTGCAATTCGCTGTCCAGGCACTTCTTGTAGTCATAGAGGCCCAAGCCATGAGCCAGTTCGTTGATGAGGAAGAGTGCAACAGCCGAAACTGCGCTGTAGAGGATGAAGTTTCCGACGGTGTAGACCAAATTGACCAGGCCGTAGATGAAGATCCCGTGCACGGCCGTCGTGTAGCCGATGATATAGACCAGATGGCAGAGAGCCAGTCTAAAGGCTCGTCTTCCGGACGCTCTGAAGTGAATGTAAGTGAGTCCAGCGATATAAATCACACCATGACCTATCGCGCCCAGGTAGAGTGCGGTAATTGGCTCTGCAAGAGACATTCAATTACTTGAGATAATGCTCCTTATCACCACTTAACCAGGAACATACGTGCTTCTCTGATAATACACAAAACCCCGCTAATGACGAGAAGAAGTGCTCCGCAGCCGAGGAAGTAGAAGTGGACGAAAACCACCTTCTTCCAAATGTATCTGGTGGTGAAGAGACATGCCGCCACTAAGCACGCACCGAGGATTCCCACGAACTCCGGCCACAAGATCACACTGTCATACAGAGGTCCGTCGGCGAAAGTGTTCAATGCCATCCATGCTCCGCAAGTGTAGAACATGAGGCTCACTAGGGGAGGAGATAAGTTATCGCATTCCTGGTGGCAATGTTGAATTGATCCTCACCGAACAATTCCGGGATGATATCCATCTTTTATTATCCTTTCACTCTGCACAAATCCACCTTAAAGCGATTGAACACTCGGAATTAGAAGGCGCAGCATCGCAGAATACCACTGAAATGAGAGTTTAACACCTAAACTTGGAGTGGATTCAATTCCAATTCGATTTATCTAATCGAAAAGCCACTTCAGCGTTTCTCTGATAACACCGCACAGGGTGAATCACTGAGGCCTTTTTTCTATCCTCTCTTCTTTTCCCGACATTGGGTCATTAATAAAAGTTGGTCATAAATTTAATCTATGCGTATTTTACGAGTGGCAATTCGGTAAATGAAAGGAAAATCCGAAAAATCTATGAATAACATTTATTAACTCTAGAGTCAGTACAACTTTTTCACTGGCTTTTTTTTATCAATTGGCGTGTGTCACCGTGTTTCTGCTGGGACAATTTTCGATCATTGCACAATTCCTCGAGATGACAAATGATGCGAGCAAGACGATTAGATATCGCACGAACTGAGAAATAATCCAACATCGCAAAATAATTCACATTAACTCATCAAGTACAGCACGAAACACATCAATTTGCTTGAATTTGGTTTATGGCCACTGGGGGATCGGGCGAAGGCACTCTTGACGTGTGGCGGATCAAGGGAAGATGTTGGGGAAAATGGGTGAGGTGATAAAAGACATTGGGAAAATGCGCGCGTGGAAATTCCGATGGACTGCGATAATGAAAAACATGTTGTTCTCACGATGCGCGCGATCTGCGCAAAAGTCTTCGGGCCACAGAGAAGAGAGTGAGAGAGAATCTTGCCCAATACATGAAGAGGCATTTTCAATTTTCAAACTTGGAGATATATTTAGATTGCGCGTTGAGTTCATCCCATTTTGAAATGGTGTGTTGGCGTGTGTGTGAGAGGAAATTGAGGAGAAATTAAACCATTTCATCTTGAGAATTTTCCAAGATCAGTCATTCGCGGTTCTTTGTGCACTTTTTCCACCCAAAATCTTGAGCGCTTTTCCCCACTGAAATCGCCTATCGTGATTGTGTAATCTTGTGTGATCTTCTTGCGCTAAAGAGATAGTTTTTCCTCTCGTCGTCTTTGGCAAATTGCTGATCTAGTTAAACTCTAATTACCATGTGATTTTTCTCATCTTGCTACAACTTCATTTCATCTTCTCTGACTCAATGAATCTATTCGACAGTGCGCGGAAAAGTGTTCAGTCGCGAATTGTGTGATCGTAGAGGTGAAGAATGAAAAATTCAGTGAAGATCATTTGATTGATTCTGCATGAAAAACACTGCAAATTTGCCATTGATTCAATTAAGCGAGTGGATAAAGTGCAGAAAATTTGGGAAAAATCTCGGATGAAAACCATACATCGTGAAAAAGTGAAAAGTGATCCAACATTCTTCGCACTGCATCTTGAGAAACAACCAGAAAGCATTTCTTCCATTCGGCCGAACATAATAAACATTTCGCAGAGGGAAAATTAATGAAGACATTTTCACCGTCAATTCAACTTGATAAATTCCAAAAGTATCGAGCGAGAAGCACTCGAATAATATATTTATTGAGAGTGTAATTCTTATTTTTTGCCCATGTGTATATGAAAATATGTTTATAGATTTGTGATTCATATACAAGATATGGTGTAGTATTCGTTATGATGTAAATGCTGTATTTTAAGTGTGTGTTAAAAACAGGAAAATCCATTCCAAGTGGAAAATATGCTACAATCTTCATCAGCCCACTTCTCTTTCCTCCTCAGTTTTCACATTTTCTTGTGCGGCATCTTCTGCCGGGAAAGACAAATCGCAGATCATTGATCTACTTTTTTTCACTCACACCCTTTACTGTTGTTTTGCCAAGAAAGGTACGCACTTCCTTTGAAATTACGCGGTGTCCACTACAACATTCGCGTTGCATTATAAATATCCATGCCAGACAGGAGATTTCTTTCTCAATAAAATTCCAATGGCCAGTCTAATTTTGTATGCCGCCCATAATCAAAAATAGTTTGGGTCTTTGGAGACGCCGAGAGAATATATCATCACGCATTTTTTTCACAACATCGCGTCCTCATCTCTTATTTATTTGCATTCATAAATCGTTTTGGCTGAAATGTGTCTGTCGAGGAAATTGCTGGGGAGATTTTCCGAAAACATAATTTCACATCCTTTTCGGTCATCTTTCCACATCTGCACAAAGACAGCAACTTCACGTTTTTCTGTTTTGTTCTTCAACAGAGCACATCAAAAATCAACAAAATTCCTAACACTCAGACTCTATGATAAAGAATAAAGTAGAGCAGGGAAATTTATGTGGTGGCAAAACAAAGAAGAGTGCCGAATTGTACACTTCATCACATGACTTTCCGATCAATTCTCTCAAGCGGAGTGAACCAAGGGGCAGATATTATTATCGGAAGAAAGATTGAACGGAAAAATCGATTTTATCGCTTTTCTAGGTTATGTTATTAATTTAAAACAGATTCTGGTGATTAAAACACTCTCAAAATCATCAAATTTGTGTTAAAACTGGAAATATTTTTCTTGTTCTTGGCATATTTCAGCATTTGTGTTCTAAATAACCTCATACTGGTTGAAAAAAGCTTAAAAATCAATCATAACCTCAAAAATATCACCATCAGCCAATAAGAACATTTCTTTGTGTAGGTTTTTTTCCGGTTCGTGCTTAAAATTGGCAAATTCAACCTCACTTTTTTGTATAAACATTGAGAATTTCGCCATTATTACAAATTTCTCGGTTTGAAAGAGTTTAATTTTATCCAAGATGGCGTTTTTACAATCTGAAATTTAAGCATTTGCAGAGCTTAAACTGAAAGGGGATGAAAAATGGCTTGATTTTGCACAGTACAGATTTAAGGCATATTATCTCCCCCTTGGAGCAAACAAAGCAAGGAAGAAAGCCAGCAGTTCCGCATGATCCTGATTTTCTGCCACAGACTGTTAACTTTATTTTCACAACATTATTTGGCGGAAATCCTAGATGAGATGTTCACCTGGTAAATTACAAACTGAGCGCAAACTCTGGATGAACTCACATTGATACTCATTCATCCGGGAGAATTCCCACGCAAGAATTGAAAATTTATTTACGATTGGAGAGATTATTTGCGGGGGAAATGATTCAATTTTGACGCTCATCGGGAGAGAATACAGGTGCTAATAACGCATGAAAGTATTCGAAGGCACGTGTCTGGGTATTCATAAACAAATTACAAGCCTACACTTTGTCCAGTGCTTTCCTCCCCCCGCAATTTCCACCTGCGTGTCAAAGGAAGGGTTAAAAATAAACCTGAGAGTTGCCGGGAAGAATGTGAAGAAAAAAAATTCCGCATTTATTGAATAAAAAAGTGCCTTTAATATCGTCAAAAACTGATGCGAAACGGTGAATGGAGAGTCACGTATGAAGGAGAGGCGGTATAAACAAATGTTGGGGGAGATGTTTACATTATGAAATGCCTTGTTATATTGTAAATATGTGTGTAAAATTGTAATTAACAGCTGGGACGGTTGAGATAAAATTTTTTCACTACATCTTTCTTCAATTTCCCTCGCACCAGAAGATATGCTCATAATACAGCGAAGATGTATACATTTTCAGTGGAATTCTTTCTGTGGTCTACCATTTAAACAGTGTAATATTTTTTCTACACATCTTCCTTGCAAATCACACGCGAATTTTTTGTCTTGGCACCATCAGCCAGCCTAAGAGCAACACCATCAAACATGTGTACTAGTGATTGATGAGTAAATAAATACAGACAGGAATTTCGTGGCCGAGAGCAAGAGTGCTTTGGTGCAGCGATAATGCTTCGAATGGAGCGAAAGAGCCTGCTTCAAGTGATTGTGATAAGGACTCGAGCGTTATAGGTGCAATTGCAGTGAAGAATTGGAGAGATTGAGGCCTCAAGATGATGTTCACAGGTGCTCATGGGCGTCGCAGAGCGGCCAATGGACAAAGCAACAACAGTCAAAGGACGAGGACGTCAAGAAACGCCCATCCTGACGTGAGTTCATACATTAATTTGCAATGAAAATCAATCGCTAATTCTCTCTTTCGCCTCTCCTCAGAGTCGCTACAGAAACGCCATGAGCTCATCATCGTCAGCATCCAGTGGTTATTACACGGACAGCCACAAGTCTGCCGTCTCAAATGCCTTCTATCGTCCGGATCTCGAGTACGGCAGCAACTTTGCTCTCATCCCAAAGTCACGCGCCAGGAACATCTCGAAGCGACGCGGTGCCATCAAGCACCAGCGCACACACGAGACGAATGGTCACAAGTTCGTGGCGAAGTTCTTCAGACAGCCAACATTCTGCGCCTTCTGCAAGGAATTCCTCTGGGGATTCGGCAAGCAAGGCTACCAATGCGTCAGTGAGTTGCAACTCTAACAAGCTCTTTTTGCGCAAATCACTGCGTTTTTCCTCCCTCTTTCAGCATGTCAAACGGCGGTGCATAAAAAGTGCCATGACAAATTGTTGGGAACATGTTCAGAGTCTAGTTTTAATTCCGAGAGTACAATTGTGAGTGGAATCACTTGTTTTGCCTAATTTGATATCTTATGGGTGTTATTGTCCTTCATTTCAGTACCTTCGCGAGAGGTTTAAAATTGATCTTCCACATCGTTTTAAGTCCTACACTTTTATGTCGCCCACGTTTTGCGATCACTGCGGATCACTTCTGTATGGATTATTTAGGCAAGGTTTAAAATGTGAAGGTAAGTTGAACCGGCAATCTCTTATCTATAAACACGATGAAAACGCAGAGAGTGAGACAATATTCACCACACTTTTCCACCGCGGAAAATGTGGTGAAAATCAATGGGGTTTGTGTATTGGATTGAGAGACAGTTCAATTTTGGCGCGAGTCGTTTAATCCATAAACATTCGCCAAAAAAGTGTGATAAAATTAATAGAAAAATTCCTCGTCACATTTGCTAAATGCCTTTGTGTAGTTTATTCCTTTAGGGATTTCGCAAGCCAATTATCGGGCGCTTTTTTTGGGCTGTCGCGATGTCGAATAGTGCAAGTCGTAAATAAGTCTTGTGATTGTTCGGTCGAGACGCAATGGCGAGGGAATAACGAACTTTAGAATTTATTGCAAATTACCACTCAAACAGTGATTATCTTTGAGCACTTCGCATCACTCTTGCTTTTCTTCATCACCAAATTCACTCCTGTTCTAATGATGTCCACACCGAGGCTTCTTCACTAAATTACTCACTTCTCATTTCATCTCGATGTCCTGGGACAGTGCCAAGAGGCATCACTTTAGAGCCCATATTCACACACAAATAGTCCCACGGGAGGAATTATGCATTACACTGTACTTAAGTCAATAAATTGAGGTAATAATTTTTCCGCACTCATAAATTCTCCCACCAATTCTTCATCTCATCGTTTTTTGGGCGGTTTTCCCTAAATATTGCACTTCTCATCGCATTTAATTGCTCATTTGGTCAATGCCATAAATCAGGAGTACTTTTTTTTCGGCGGCTGATATTTATTAGTGCGACTCCACCGGTCGTTAATTGAGTAAATATTTATTGTTGCACATCCAAATGGCTCTCCTAATTGGTTTGGGCTGCTTTTATTAATTAAAATTCCTCCCACATTTTGCCAGAGCAGAAACGTGGTGATAATTGCAGTCCTTTTTTCATATTTCTGCACTGACTAATTTGTCTATGATTAATTTAAATTGTGTGAAAATGCCTAAAGATAGAAAATCATATGATTTCTTTATTAATAACCATCGCTAATTGCGAATGTTCTGGTGAAATAATTCATTTCGAATGTCCTTCCTTTTCATATTGGCGTTTTTATATCATCTTCCGTGTAATGTCAAGTTTATTCTTTCTCCACCCACAATTCCTATACACCCAAAACACACTCCGCGACTTTATTTTATTCCCACAGATGAATGCTTTGGAGTTTTAGACACAATTCTGACGTCAGGAGTGAATGTTTAAAAATACAAATCCACCATTCACATAAACATTCACTGGCTATTAACTCCTGCAAAATTGTTCTTTTCGCTCTATGTAAATATTTTCCCATTGCGAACTGACCAGAAGATAATTTAGCCGCGATTTTCACTTGATCCACTTTCCATTTTCCCAATGGAATTCCAACTCACGCGGCAGGTAATCTAGAAGATTTATCAATTTACATCCTCGAAATAGCATCAATTATTCTGCTTCTTTCTTCGCAATATTTTTAGTCGGTCACCTTGTAAACAATGCGTCGTTTCTGGATTATCTTCTATCATTTCTATTATAGACAAATTAATTGCCCAGATTTGAGAGTGTGCTTAAAGTGTTTACGAAATTGTACTGAAACTTGAGGGAATTTTAAAAGCATTTCTTCCTTTCTTTTCCGCATATTTCGCGTGACCCAAAGAAAGCCAAGAAAGCGCGCTTTTCTTCCCCAGCGACCCACTTTACGTGTTAAGAGACTTAACAAAGCGCGAATTTGTGTGACCGTAGCAGAATTTTTGGCATATTTCACGACATTTTCAATTGTCTTCTTCCCACAATTTTCCCCCACAGCGTGTTTTTTCTTCCTCTCTCGAGAGCTGGTTCGACAATATGTGTGAAAGATGAAGAGGAAAATTCATAACCAGTCAAGAGAGAATTGTGGGATTTCTCACCGCGCGACGACCGAGAAAAAAGAAGAAGACACACATTTTGCGTCTCACAAATTAGCCAAAACTCCTCAATATAATTCGATATTTGAGGGATGTTCCGCGAGGTGGACAAATGGCGTGATCTTGACAAATCAGTTATTAATAAATGTGAATTTGCGAGGTGATAAATTACAGCGTATCCTGGGCTGTGTCTGGATCATGTTTTAGTCGATGCTAATGGATCTCGGAATTATATATTTAAAACTTTACGATCGGTCATTTGGATAAAAACTACCGGGCATCGTGAAAGTCTCTTTTTTTTCATTACACCGCGCGCGCTTTTCTTCTTTTTCCCCCCAATTTTCCCCGCGCGAGCGAACGAACGCGCGATATTTCACTGACAAAAGCACTTGGACACACACGAAATGGCAAAAGATCAGTCACACTTGTGTGTGTTGTGCGCTCTTCATCTCTTTCCTGGTCATGCCGAATGGGCTCAAGAGGCATACAAGATGAGAAGGCGAATATTTTCTTGAGCAGACACTCTAGACTTTTCACAGCATTTTCCTCCTTTTCAATTTCCTATTGGCCTCAGTCTGTGAAAATACGCGAAAAGTGCCGGTTCTGAATTTTCACACTAATTTTATTCTCGGCTGTGAAGAGGTGGAATTTCTCTCCACCATTTCGAGATCTCTCTTCACGCACCAAATCGCTGGTCGTCCTTTGAAGTTGTCCTCGTTCTCGCTTCCAGACAGATCAAAGGATTAATTTGAGTGCGCGGAGAAAGTGAAATAAATATCCTTGCAGTGTCGCGTTAATAGGCAGAGCAGGAAAGCTAATCGCGAGCTATTATCGAATCAGCTGTTGCAATAATTCATATGGACATAATGATCTAAAATTGTCCTATAATTTTCAACTAAAGTACGTTATATTTTGATCGGGTGCCAATAAGTCGCGATCTGTAAGCGTCAATTGGATGTATTTTGAGCAAAAGAGAAGCGCGAGAGAGAAGCAGAACGGGAGATAAAAAAGAGGAAAAGTATTTTGCAAAAATAAACTTATTATATACATACTTCTGAGGCGCTTCTCTTTTTTTGTGAAAAAGCGGCGCAAACCTGTGTTGGGCTTTTGGGTGACGATTGGGGAAGAATCTCTCTGTTTTGGACCTTGAACTATAGCGTCATGAAGTGATTCATTGCGTAAGGCGAAGTGAAAAAGACGGAAGCACGCGCTGAATTGCAACAATGCCGTACTATTCGGACTTGTCGTTCTACTACGGCGCGGGGCCGCCGCTCATCAACCCCTACATCAACCCGCCGCCCTATGCCAGCTTCGCGGGCTACACGCGCGCTCTCACGGGCGGCTACGCGCCCATCCTGCCGCCGCGCACCACCTACTCGTCCAGCAGGTACACGCCGATTCTCTCCACCATCTCCGAAGCGCCCTACGCGTCCTCGCGCCGCCCCACGGGGCTTTCCTCCCTAACCAGGATCAATTCTCCGAAGCTCTCGATGCACATCTCGCCCAAGTACACCGCGCCGCGCCCGATTCCCATCAATACGGCTGATATCGACGTCTCGGCGTCACGGTACAATCGCAATTCGATCAAGAAGAACATCATTTATGGCTCTGATTCAGCCTCTTCCGCCGCCAAGGATCGTGCAGAAGCCGCGCAAAATACCGACCAATCGCCCTTTATGCCGCGCTGCGATCAAGATGATAATTCCGAGATCAAGAAGCCAATTAAGAGGGATCGCACAGTTGTTCGGATATCAACGATGCGTGCCAAAAGTGGGCGAAAATCGCCAAAGATCGCTAAAGAGGAGACCCAAAAGCCAAGGCTAGCTGAAGTGCCACCGGCTACACCCACGGACCCACCAATCAAGAAGACGTGGCGCGATAATTTTGGCGATGAACTCTCGCCGAAGCCTAAAGAGCCGCCCAAGAAGTCCCCCGGCGAGCGGCTGCTCGAGCGTCATCTGATCAAGCACGAGCGCCAGGACAAGTCGCCGCCGCGACTGCCCGCCGCCCAGGCGGCGGATTTCTTCACCTTCGACTGCATCCCGCAGGGTGCGAGGCTTGAGGAGAGACGCCCGAGCTTCCACGACATTTGCCAGGACATCTCGTCGGACAAGCTGGAGTCGGTGGACGATTTGAATGCTGGGGAGTTGAGGCGGAAGGCCTCCCTAATCAGGGAGCAGGAGGAGGTCATAGCCGTGAATAAGGTGACCAAGTCAGCTTCCGGAACTCTGCACTGCATTCTCGAGAGGCATTTAGACGACAACCATGAGTCCAAACACAAGAACAAGAAAATCAAGCACAAGATCACCTGCTCTGTGGGTGTTGATGAACCCAAACTCACAGACAGCGTGAAACCGAGGATCGTGCAGGCGGAGGAGGAGGCACAGGAAGTGGAGAACTCCACCCCGATCAAGGTGAAGAAGAAACTCACCGCCGTGGTGGAGCACATTGAGGATCACGTGGTGAAACTGCCCAAGAAAAAGACAAAGAAGCCAGTGGAGAAGAAGGCGGAACCGCAGGAGGACATTTGGAGTGGCATGAGGGAGACGGTGTACTGCAACAAGAGGCAGCAGGAGATCAAGGAGCGTCGCGTTGAGATGCTGAAAGCATTCCAGGAGGAAGCTGAGCAGAGCCAGATGGCTGAGATAATTCCCAGAGAGGCACCGCAGCCGGTGATTGTGGAGAAGCGCTCGCTCACGATTGAGAGTGAAGAGAAGAGTGCATCTATTTTAGCACCTGTTGACCGCGGTGAAAATTCGGTGAAGGTTTCTAAACCAAGTCAAAGTGAATCCTCAACTGACGCAAAAGTACACTCATCGCCCAACAATGGGGCCGTCGATGCGGGGTGGGAGAGTGAGATTGAGGCTGCGGCGAAGGCGCGAGGCGCAAGTGCGTCAAAGAAAGGAAAAACATTGCCGAAGAATCGTGATAATGCCCAAACAGTGACATCTGTGGATACTGTAAAAATAAAGCAAGAAAAAGAATGTGAAAAATTAACGATGCGGGCACCACTAAAAATACCAAATGGGCCAGCGGCCAAGTCACCTGAGCCATCATCGCAGCCATCTCGCGATCACACCAAGAGCACTGATCGCGCGGAGAGGAACTCCACGCGGGACGTGCCAGGAGGCGCGAGTCCTGGGCAGCGGCCGGCAGCCAAGGCGGAGAGACGCGCGAGTGCCAAGAGCGCCGGCGAGAGTGCCGCGGCGGGCAATGAGGAAGTTCCACGGGAAAATTGTGCCGCGTCGCCTGCCGCAGAGGCCAATACCTCAGAAGACGTGACGCCAACGGGGGAGGCGCGCTGTGCCTCAATGGCAAATGCAGCGAGCGCCCGCGAGAGCACATTGAATGATCACGAAGAGATCACCACATGTAAAGACAAGGAGGTGAATATTTTTAAATCGCATTCTGGCAAGATCTCAAAGTTCCCAACATTCAGCAATTTAAATGAATTATCACTCGACCACGATCAGTCGGAGAAATCGATGGCGATTGAAGTTGATGGTGCTCGAAATTGCCTGGGAGCCGCAAAGCCAGTCGAAGTGCCATCCGTGAGTGCGAAGGAAAGTGATACGGGCCCCAAAAGTGATGAGAAAGGCGAGAAGGCAGCCGACATGCCGCCAGAGTCGCCCCAAGTGAATGGCAGTGAGAAGCCACCCGTGAAGGTGGTGAAGAAAAAGATAATTATAGTGAAGAAGGTGGTGAAGAAGAATGGTGTGGTCGTGACTAAGAGAATCGGTGAGCACGATGATAATCCAGAACCAGAACCCCAAGCAATCGAACCCCAAACGATTGAGCCCCAATCAAATGACCCCCAAACAAGCGTCTCATCGTCGAATTCACTCTCAGAGGGCAAGAAGGAGCCAGAGGTGGAGCCGGAGGCTGAGCCGGTGGAAGAGGTGAAGCCGCAAGAGAAGAAGGGTCACAGGAAGAAGACCGCGGAAAAGAAGGGCGGCTTCAATCCGCAGAAATGCATGAAGTTCAGTCCGGAGCACAACAAGAAGAAGCTGTTCACGGTGGACGAGAAGGCCACGAAGGTGCTGTACGCCACCCCCAGACCGCTGCAGAAGAAGAAGAAGCAGCTGGACTACTACTCCAGCGACGAATCCGATCTGTCTAGCGGCAGCGACAGCGACGACAGCTCGCCCAGCTCCAGCTCGGGCGATGAGTTCTTCGACTGCCCGTCGCCGCCGGACCACAAGCTCAATCTCTACGCCAGCAAGGACGTGCGGATGAGTACCTGCAGCAATGACTCGGGCTTCGAGGGCGGAACAGCGCCGTCCAGCCCAAAGCAGATGCTCGGTAAGAGCCTCACAATCGCCCATGCTTTCGCCATCGAATCATTTCTTTTGTATATGTATTGAAAAGCTCAATTGTTGTCTCTTCATTGAACTACGCAATATTGCAAGTGTTTCCATCATGAGATCTGTTATCTCACTGAATTCCACACTGAGTTAAAATTACTCTTTTTCTGGTCTTGTGCATATCAATCGCCAGAGGTTCACACATGCCAAGCTCTTGAGATTCTTCCAAGCTCTCCTTCTTCTCTCCCCGCGCAGTGGGAAAAACATGTTGACAGTATATGCCAATTCCTACCACCCTCGCCGACGTGTCATCAATTTAATTTAGACCCAATTTCACCTCCAGCGCATTTGACATGCCAATTAAATTGCACTCTGTGGCATAAACAAGCGCAAATGCGTTCTTCATATCATCGTCATGACACATTGAGAAGCGCGTCTCGGCAATGATGATTGAAGGAGCGAAATTAAATGGCGTTATTTACACACAAAATATTGCGATTTGGCAATTGATCGATGTGTGATTGCTGAGTAGTTGACCTTAGTTCTTGCGCAGCGAGTTGAGTCAAGCAAAGGCACTTCCACACTTGAGGAATTCGCGCTAAAAAAAGTACCTTTTATTTTGGGAGATGCAATTTTAAAATACCTCAAATCACTTTCATTCTTGTTGGGCAATTTCTGAGACATAGTATTCAATTCAGAGTAAATAAGTACCATTTAAGAGCGAGGAATTTAGGGAGAGATTAAACTCTTTAGGGCTGATCAGAATTTTATGAATACTTGAAGAACTCTTCAAAAAGTTCTCCTTCGCAGCATTTTCTAATCGCCAGAAATTACGAGGATGTTTTTCTATTTTGGATATCTATCGAATTTCCGCGAATGTTCACATTTTCACTCATGCAAATCACTGCACACAATGTAGAATTACTGTCATTTTATATATATTATGCAACAAAATTGTGCAGTCGATCTGCATGTTTTTGCACATGTCATATCTTTTCAATGTCTTTAATTAAGCCATAAATTAACCCATCTTCATTCACGTAATCCGAACTTCAATGAAATTCACTCTTGCAATTTCATGCTTATTTAATTATTGCTGACATATTTATCGCTATTTACTTTATCCAAATTCGCCTTTTGGGCGACGGAAAAGCTCGCGCGCATTTTGTCGTGCGGCAGAAAAAGGAGGAAAAACATTCAGAGGAGTTTATATGGAATAAGCCAAAGCGTCTCTTGAGGAGTTAATCAAATACTGTCTCTCACTCTCTGCGTTATCTCAATCTGACAATGTTTTTTATGATCTCGAATATCCTCTCGTAAAAATAAACCGTCTTTTTTTCTTTCTCTCTTTTCATCATGGTGTTTGCGCACATTACGCGCCAAATGGCACAGACTGTGATGTGAATTGTCACAAAAAGTGTGAAAAATTAACTGCGAATTTGTGTGGCGTTAATCAAAAATTAATTGTGGAAGCTCTAGCATCAGTTCGACGAGGTATTATTGTGTACATTAAGCATTTATAGTGTCTTCGATGGGAAGAACACACAATTTTCCATGTCAATTAACACAGCAAAACATCCCAATCAATGATTTTCAATGATTTGAGGAGGAAATATTGCCTCTCGGTCCACTATTTCACTCCACAAGGAAATTCATATTGCTGGGCTGAGTGAAATTTATTTAATATCGTGGGTGGTTTTGACCGGTGGCACAAATCTATTTATAACATCAGACAAAGTTTACATTTTAATGTGAAAATACCGTCAGCTTTTACATACATCAGCACTCAATCATATCACGGGAAAGTCCATCAAGTGATTTTCGCCCCAGCGCAACTCACGACGGAGTTGCGGATGAGCTTTTCGGGGGGAAAAAGTTGTTTTGGCAGGAAAAAAGGGGGAAAATGTCTGTGGTTATCTTTTCACCTGTTGTATCTCTTCGTCAGGCGCTCACGAAGCACGAGATTCACCCAGCACGCCTCCGAGTCACAATCCAGCATTTAAAATTGATTCAACTCATGATTCCGAAGACTTAGGTGAATACCAAAAAGAATGATTTCTCACTTGTTTTTATTATAATTCCTCACCCCAAAAGCAACAAGCGAAATCTATTGATTCGTCCTTCTTGAGCTTTTACACTTCTCAAATTTCTTCTCTTTATCGCTTCATAATTTCTATTTTTACTTATCCACAAGAAAAAAAATCAAATGTGTTCTTCTTTTTCTACTGGTTTTTATCTCTCTCTTTCTCTTTATCTGTTATTTTCTTTCATGAGAATGCAAAAAGACATATGGAAATTATACTTATTGAGTAGAGAAAATGGGTGCTATTGAAAGTAAAAGCGTCGAACGCGCGAGAGTGGGAGACAAATTTAAATAAATCCTTGATAAAATGAATATCTTGCATGTGGCTTTTCTTTTGTTTATTAGCCTTGCTATTTCAACAGTCTTTCACATAAATTTTTCAATTCCCGAAAAGAATTTACCTCCTCTTCAACCAAACTAAAAAACGCCTTTTCTTCTGTGTGGCGATGGTGGAAAAAAGTGCCAAAATATGTGCATTTTATTTCACACCGCAATTCTTTATTTCTTTCTTTTTCTCTCTCTCTCTCTCTCTCACTCAACATTCACACGGTGAGTGAATTGAACTGCGCCGCTCAGCTGATCATTATGCTGAACAGTTCAGTTTCCTCACAGCGACAAAGTTACCTTGCATTTCACCTCGAAATAGAAGTGAATTTGATTGAAAACTATTTGCTTTGTAGTCTTCTTTCTCGAAGATGTAACAGAAATTTCTAACCGATCATGAGTTCAATGATTAACTTGGTTGTATTTTGGGTTATGTAAAATTTGGCAAATTTCACTAAATTATAACTGCCTTGTTATTCTTCTTTTGGGCCAAACAAACAACACAGAAACATCCTACACATATGCACAGTTTCAACGCTCTGGACGAATTACGGCTCCTGCCACGTCAATTCCGCGCTTCCGGAAGTACGCCGTGGAGGACTTTCACTTTCTGGCTGTGCTGGGCAAAGGGAGCTTCGGCAAGGTAAAGCAAGATCAGCTCAAAGTGAGTCATTTCTCATCCACTTTTTGCCAATCTCCGGCAGGTGTTGCTGGCCGAGCTGCGGAACACAGAGTTCTACTACGCGGTGAAGTGTCTGAAGAAGGACGTGGTGCTGGAGGACGATGACGTGGAGTGCACACTGATCGAGCGGAAGGTCCTCGCGCTGGGCACAAAGCATCCCTACTTGTGTCACCTCTTCTGCACATTTCAAACCGAGGTAATATCTCAATTCCGGCACAGTGTTTCTCTACGCCAGACACACGCGAAGCTCAAATGTCGTGTGTCGGACAGGAAATACAAATGAATTATTGAGATATTTTTGGCCGGTGCTGCGCAGCGAATCATTTAATTGTTTGATGAGTATAATTAGTTATTTAATGATTGAACTGAGAGTGAGTGTGTGACCGTGGTCTAGATCGTCTAGATCCAACCAGATTGCATGATTTTCTCTCTCTCGCGCGCGCCATGAATCTCCTCGAAGTGAGGAAACCCCATCGCAAAAGACTGGGTCTTTTTTACACACAAAACAGAGGAAAAGAATTGCGACATTGCCCTAAAGTCAAACGTTGTAACTTCAATTAATTGAATTGTGTGCAATCTATCAACTTGCCTAACTCATGGCGATTCTCCGTCTCTGCTTCAGAGTCACTTATTCTTCGTGATGGAGTACCTGAATGGAGGTGATCTGATGTTTCACATTCAGCAAAGTGGAAGATTTCCCGAAGTGAGGGCGCGATTTTACGCCGCGGAAATCATTTCCGGACTGAAATTTCTCCACAAGAAAGGCATCATCTACAGGTAAGTGAATCACAATCATCCCTTAAAGATAAAGCATCTCGCTAAACTTCTATCTTCCAATTTGAAGAGACTTGAAGTTGGACAACGTTCTCTTGGATTTCGATGGACATGTCCGGATCGCGGATTTTGGCATGTGCAAATTGCAGATTTATCTGGATCGAACGGCTGATAGTTTCTGCGGCACACCAGATTACATGGCACCCGAAATCATAAAGGTAAATACACCCTTTCACCCTTTATTGAGCAGCCTCAAGAAGATGAATGCTTTACTCTGAATCTACTGTAGTTTTTGTGGGAAAATGTTCATTCATTTTTCCATCACTTCATATTCTCAGAACTCTCAGAACTTTAAGAAAATTCACACCAATGAGCATCTTGAAGGGCGATCACAGCCATATTCATTATGCCACTGATTGATAACACTTTAACGATCAACAGTATTAATTATCCCCTGATCTATGACATTCTCTCTCTCTCTCTCTCTCTCTCTTACGCTCTATTCAGGGTCAGAAGTACAATCAAGCTGTCGATTGGTGGTCTTTCGGCGTTCTCCTGTATGAGATGCTCATAGGCCAGTCACCATTCAGCGGTTGCGATGAAGATGAGCTCTTCTGGTCAATTTGCAACGAAGTTCCATGGATTCCGGGTTACATATCCAAAGAAGCCAACAACATTCTCAAAGCTGTAAGAGACAAAGTGGCTTGAGAATTTAATCTCATTATCTCCACTAATGCGCATGCCTTTGCCTTTGACAGCTGTTAGAGAAAGATGCCAGTATCAGATTAGGATCAAATTTCTGTCCCATGGGTGACATCACGTATCATCAGTTCTTCTTTCAAATCAACTGGGATAGACTGGAGAAGCGCGAACTGGAGCCACCATTTAAGCCTCAAGTGGTAAATCCCTGCCTTTCCATTGACACCTCAATTGTGTGATTAATTTCTTACCCGATCTTATCACACAGCGGCATCCACTGGACACACAATACTTCGATAAGACTTTCACCAAGGAACGCGTGAGGCTGACACCGATCGACAAGGAGATTCTGCAATCGATGGCCCAAGATCAATTCCAGGGATTCTCGTACACTAATCCAAATGCAACACTCAATTAGTCATTTAGCGAGCTATCCAAGAATACTTTATCAACAAAACATTAATTGCTAAGGTGGAGAAGGAAATACAGTGGAAACTATACTTCATTTGTGATCAGTAATTTTAGACTTTATGATCCGGCGAGCTTCTTTTCTCGCTTCACATTTTATTGAATAGCCACAGAGCGCCAATCATCCGGAATAAGAAGGTTCTCGCTGTGGAGAGAAACCATTTAAAATAGACAAATTTTCTATTATTCCCACAATTAAACTTTTTTTCTCAACTGCTTGTATCATGTAGTGATTATATTCTTTCTTATTCTCCCCTCTTTGGTGCGCGGAGAAGTGAATTATGATGATGGCTTTTTGAAAATGCACAAAACAACACCATTTTTTTCTCTCTCTTCGCACTTGTGAATGTATTTGCCGATGGTTGAAACATCTCGCGAGAGAGGGAAGAAGAAGAGGTGAATTTGAAATCTATTAAAGAGGCGATGGAACATGCAGAAGAAGAAGATGAAAAAAAAGATGGAATAATTATAACCATAAAAACCTTTTTGTACAATTTCAAGCTCAAGTCTTGTAAGAAAACTTTTGGAACAAAATGGAAAACACAAGCGAAGAGATAAAGTAAATAAAGTACATTTTAAGTGAAATAAAAGGTAATGAATTGTAATTAGGCATTAAGAGGCAATATGTGAAATTAATTGCTCTATCGAATTTCTTTTCATTTTTCTTTTTTTTTTCGAGACTCTCAATAACACTTTGCACACTCTTCTCAATCTCTTTTGATATACCTGTGGCGAAGACGATGGGGAAAATTGACCGTGAAAAGACAGTTAGGAATACATAAAGACGTGCTCTTATTTCCAGCGCAATAACTTCACCAACGCGGGCATTCGCAGTGTGTCTTGAAGTTCTTGCCAAAATCGCACAATTTCCAGAGAGTCAGAACATTTGTGAGAAAAATATCATTTACACAGCGAGTAGCACTATTAATTCCACACTCTTCTGTACACTTCCTCGATTCACACGACAATCTCTCTCTCTCGCTCTCTCTCACTGTGATTTTACAAGCCCCCCTTTCTTTGGATCGCAGTACCGGTCTGAAAAATGTGTCTCTGAGAAGCAAAAATATCCACATTAAATCGTTCGTGCCTCATAAATTTTTCGTCTCACACGAAATTAATCACATTATTGTCATGCAGAGGAACTGCATTGTATATATCCTCAATGTATTAATCCGCTGTATGCGAACAAATGTGATCAAATTCACAATTCCCGGCAACATTTCACAACTTCTCTCTCTCCCTCTTTCTCTGGTGGTTAATTCCCCCATTCAAGAGCACACATATCTTGTTTGAGTTTCGCTATCAAATTGCATTGTAAATAATTTAATTGGAGAGCAGAATTTATTTATCAGCGCCTGATAACGCGCGTTCACCTTTGCTGCGGATCAATTTGTTGCGGAGCGTTTGTGAATTACGAAAGTGAAGCGCCTCAATCGCGTGCAAATTGATGGGCGAAAAAGAGCCACGATGATCTTCAACGTCAGGGCAAAGAAGGCCAAGAGATGAAGATGAACACTTTTGGCCAATTCCTATGCACAGATCTCCTCAACAGATAATATGCAGAGTGATTCTGGCGCGTGTTCGCTGAGTAGGTCTTCTAAACAAAGTCGTAACTTTCTTCCACTTAATCTGCATAATTTGCATATGCGCAAAATGAAAGAAAAACAAGTATTGTAAGATAAACTAAATTACCGAAATTGTCTGTATTTTTTCTATGCTTTGTAAGTTATCAGTAAGGCTAGAATGTTAACCCCTTTAAGAATTAGTGGGACGAATATATTGAACAATTCTCTGTCCCTGTTCCCCATTTCCAATCTTTTCCTCTCCTCTGGAAAGATATTTCATTGGGTTTATTCAAGACTTTCTGCACTTCTCAAACTCTTCTAGAATTTAAAAATATTCTCGATCGTCTTACGAAATTGTGACACAAAAACTGCTTTAAATAATTTTTCTGGAATTTTTTCTTTTAAGCTGAAAACTAAAGATTTCAACTCAAAATTTGGTGAGAAGGCTCTTAAAATGGATATTATTTAAATTTGAACAACATTTTATTTTGATCGTTAGTATTGATGTTTTTGGTAGTTATTTTTCTTCTAAGTCTTCCATTAATTAGTCACATAACCTAGAAAATAACTTTGATTACTTTTTTTAATATAAATTGAGAGAAATTCATTTTTTATCAAAAAAATATATAAATTGGTTTATAAATGGCTTTCTGAACAGAAATTTTGAAACACCTCCACTTCTGAAGTACTCCTTCTGAGTTGTACAGCACTTCAGACAATAATATCTCCCCCTTGGTCAATCTTAAACTGAAAAGAATTGTGAAAATTCCATTTCTTTATGATTTCTGTGAAGCTAAAGACACTTTATATGAAAGAAGAACGTGAATTAAGCAGCTCTCAGAGTCGCTTTCGATTCTCTTTACTCAAAAAGAGCCTTGTCGAGGGTTAAATCCAGCATTACGCCAATATCTGCGCCTTCGCGCAAGGTTTCTTCTTCTTCGCGAAAGGCCTGCGTGTGCGAGTGTGTGTGTGTGTGTGCTTTTGAATCCTCTCCTTCTAATATTAATTGCTTCAATTGTGAATTTTGTGATGTTATAAAGTGCGGTGACACGATTCTTCGACTGGACAAAAAATGTGAGATCCACGATAAGATCGGGCACAGAGAGACAGAAAGCAATTGATATCCACAGGCATTGAGAGTGTGTGCAGCGGAGGAAGTGCGAGGAGAAAAGACATTCCGTTGGAGTGTTGGAGGCATAAAAGAGTGTATTGTTCCTTTTGATATTCCATAGCGAAAAGCGAAGAGAGAAAGAGAGATGAACTCCAGCCGCCACCCAAAAGTGAAACACAGCACAAGAGGCCCCCAATATAATTTTTATGATGACTCTCATGAACACAAAATAATCTCTTGCGGACTCAAAATAATTCCTCTGCCGCACACACGCTCGGCCGGGGCGCACACAGTGCAAGTGGATACACACTGGAAGGCACTTTGTGGGCCCCGAGCGCGATCAGTTGCCTCCCATCCGCCAAGTGCACAAGGTCTTCTCTTCTCCCGGAGAGTTTTGGCGCTCTATCGCTTCTGGCCACGAATTTGCCGGTGCGCTCCATACATTCACCCCGCCGCGTTCTCGAGTGTGCAGAGCTGATATTTTCGCGAAAGCTGTGGCCGCGCAGTGTGTGACTCAAATTGGATATATCGCACCATATCGACCCGAAAAAATAATGTCTGACGTGATGGAAATTGAGCAAATTGTGGAGACAAAGCCAAAAAAGGTAAATATTTGAATCCACTGAAATACAATATATTCCGATGCCACAACGAGAGGCACCATATGGTAGGATTAATCACCTTGAGATCGCGCGGTTTTCTCAACCCCACAGAAAACGCGCTGTTGCTGCAGGTGAAAAAGTGTGTGGAATTTCATAATTTCCTACAGATTCCCAGATGGGAATTACCAAGAGAACTTCATGATAGACATCAAGTGTGGTTCTGTCTTTGCTTTGTCAGGAAATGGCGAGAGAGAGAGAGAGAGAGAGAGGGAGAGATTGTCCAAAAGTCAGGCTTTACTGTTGTATTATTTTCTCTCTCCCTCTCTTGACAATGTTAATTAAACCTCTGCGGGATTTCTTGCTTCTTTCACATTTTTTCGGATGTACAAATCATGGATCAAGGCGCTCAGACTAGACACAATCTGCCTCACAGATCGATATATCTATTGCAAAGTCTCCCTTCATCAGTTGTAGGCCCTTAAAAGAATCCCAGGATTAGATTCTGAGTCATTTTAGCTCTTTAATCTAATTCTAGACATAAGATCGCACACTTAACTGACCTATATTCCATTTTAAGATATGATCTCAAATTTAGTAATTCTAACTTAACTATAAATTAAAATCATTTATGCTACGCATCTTGTTTGATTTTATCAATTAAATACTCATTTTCTAGAGATTATTCTATCAAATTCTGAAGGCATTAGAACAATTATGACCTCAGCTCTTCATGTCTTGTCGTGAAAGAAGAGAAAACATTGCGTGTGCCTCCGAAGCACCTTGCGCAGTGTCTCTACCTTGTCCAATTAAAGTCTACGGTAAAATTACATTTCAAGAGCAAAATTGAAAAAATTGCCAAGTCGAAAACTGGGATGGAACATTTTTTCACGATCTAGCGAACTCCTGAGCAAGAGTCTCTCACGAACTTCTGCACACAATGAGCCACCTCTTCCCCGGGATGATTGAGAACTCTATTGCCGGGTCCCTAAATCAACTCCGGCCATTCACTGGCTTTCCCAAAAACAAGACACATTGCCAAAAATAATTCACGTGAAGTTAATTTCCTCCCAGGCGCGTTTTCTCCGCCATCAACCATTGATCTCACCTTCCTTCATCATCGCGCACTTCAACCGGTTTTGGCGCTGCAGATTTTTTCGAGCTCTCCTCTTTGCCACCATTCTTAAATTTCATTGCGATATTTATGGTGTGAGTTTGCACGGGGGATTTTTTCCAGTATCATCTGCATTTGACCTCCGCAACGCCGCAGAGTTGTGTTGCATCTCTCGATATTGTAGCTTCATTAATGCCAAAAGCAAATCAATGGGAAAACTCTCCGACAATTCTCAAGTTCAGTTACCTCGACAAAAGGCGGACAGCAAAAAAAAACTGACTTGTGCGCTTCTTTTGCACTAATGAAGATACACTTTTGATGATCTCGTAACCTCTGCGGCTATTTCAACATCTCGACTTTCCACATTTTCACCGCCAGGTGCAAGAAATATGGACAAAAAATTCTTCACATTCCCACAATTTCCGCGCGTTCTGAGGCGGAGGGAAAAATGAGTGGAGTTGTATTTTATCGTCTCTGCGTAAAGCTTTTATCTGGGCATTAAAAAAATTAGACTCTATAGACAGACGCTCACACTCTTAGTCACTCTTTTTTCGCAATAAAACACTCGTGACTCATATAAAAGACTTGTATGGATGTCAGTTGAAATTTCACACTCACACTGCATCAGCCGAATATAATCGCACACTTCCTAAATAAGGAAATGTTAATGACTTTAAGCTCAGAGCAGAACATCTCTAAAAATACACACAAAGTCAGAAAAAGTCGCCGGAGAAAGGATGAAAAAAAAACCTTATCTTTCACTCATTTTCTCCTCTCTTGATAATGCAGTACCAATATTTCTCTTTCTCTCTCTCTCTCTCTCTCTCTCTTTGGATAACACTTCAAATCCAAGTGTTACGCGGCTTATTAATTCTCTATCTCGACAAAGAGAGGAAAGCCAACCACCAGATAAACTCTCTAATCAAGTCCGCTAGAATTGGGTGAAGAGGAAAAAAACCTCCCAACTGAAAAGCGTTCTAATTCAATTAGAGATATTATCGCAAAGTGTTCATTCTCCAACAGTTGACTCAATAAATTATTCACGAGTCTGTTGGAAAGTCACAAAAAACAGAGGTTTTATCTCCCATTTCTTGTGTGCCACATGAGGTGAAAATTCGCCCATATTTTGCTTGAACTAATGAAACTCATTTAACAGATACGAAGGGAAGATAGCCATCAAGTTTAGGGATCCGTGCGATAAACACTTAATGACCCTCTGGGAAAGTTTGATTTATTCAAGTGATTTGCATAATATTCCAAAGGGCATTTTGTACACAATGAAGAGCATGAAGTTTTCTTCTTGACACACTCGCTTCTGTGGAAACTAGCCAAGGTCGTTGGTTTGTGCAGAAAACAACTTCTCAATTCAAGGGGGAGATATAATAATGTTGAATTTCAACCTTCAATGAAATCTTATGGACAATATGAGACAATATTCTAGGTTATGTTATGAATTTAAAACTAATTTCGTTACTAAATAAACACAAAATTCATTCATTATTGCGCCTAAGCTGGTATAATTTGCAATTCCTGGCACAAGAATGAATGAAATGTGATGAAGACCACAAACTTTCAATGGCAAACTGTGTTAATTATGCTAAGATTCACCATAATCATTTCCCCCTTGACACATTCCTCTGCGATAAATTTATACGAATAAATGTTCAGAGGCTAAGTCAATTATTTCTCCCTTAAGTCCAAACAACAACTCTTCAACCCTTCGCCAGTGTCACGGTGAATCAGGGAGGATTTATTCACCTCTGCGAGCATTAATCGTGAGAGGGGTGAAAGTCAATTGTCGGGTTGAAGGTTGACGCAATTAAATTTAAAGGACTCTCAGGGATCACAAGTGTTTTATTGGCACGCTACAAAGTTTCATTTTATTGCACTGAATGCAAGAAAATCTCAAGAGAACTTCCGGAAGACGAGTCAATTAATGTTATTCCGCGAGGAAATCTAACTGAATAGTAAATGCCGTGCTTTGAGCGTGTAAAACCTGTAAAATGTAAACTATAACTAATGACTTGCGGAGTGGCCAATAGAGCACGTGTGGCCATTCATCTATATCTGGTTTCACCTCAAAACGCGGCAATAAAGTGCGTCTGAATGGGAAGTGGCTGCAGAAATCTCAATAGGGCGATAAAAATCGTTCCGATATTGCATTTCTTCATGCACAAACAGCCACACAATGTCGAGAGAGTCTCGCCAATAAAACACTTCACGCGACGTCGCGAAGTTGTCCTCAATGAGAGAAGAACTGTTTGCTGACAATTCCACCAAATCATTGCCGATGGATTTATCGCTCTCGCATGGCGGAACATTGACCAAATGGCTTGTCTTTGCTGTGGAGTTCAACGGTTCGTGGGAAGTTTTTCTTTGTCTTTGGCATTGCAAATTAGATGGGGATTTTGCACCCTCCTTTCGGGGTTTAATTTTAGCCTGAAACTCTTCATCGTGTTGCTCACTTTTCACTTTTCCTACCAACATTTCTCACTCATCGCGCGTGCAAAAGCCATTGAAAATGAGCTGGAAATAATTGTGATACAACGTCTTGAATTATTGGGGAAGCGATGAAGTAATATGGTTATCGATTTGCACTGCGAGGAGTGTTTCTTCGTCAACACTGCTCTCTCATGGCTTTATCTCGGCCACAAGACATTCACTCCACAAGACTCTGTTTCTGGGGAAATTTGCTGGCGAAAATAATCTTATCAGAGAGATTTTTTTTATTGTTTCTGCGCCGGCAATTAAGAAGTAAAAACACCGCATATTCACCCATCGAGGGAAAGACTTTTTGAGTGAATTGAGGGATTATCTTGGTGCGGAAAAGCATATGAGTTTCTCCCAAATTTCACCGAGAATCTCCTCATCAAATCAATTATGATTTCTTTTATCTGCTGCCGCGTCAATTTGACCGGAATTACTCTCGTGCGCGCGCGAAGGGAAAGTCCCGGCAATTGCCGATAAGGTGTTTTATGATGATTGCAATAATACGAAGTGAATTCCCGCAATTTGCATCAACTATTGCCGTATCCAAGGGAGAGACAATCACAAACTGTAGACCACTTAAAATACCTAAAATAATCTATTTATAGGGAAGAATATTCGTCACATTTGTTAAGAAAGAAACTTTCTTCCACTTCCTAAGACTCCACTTCTGATCTGTACATCTCTTCAGCCCGTAATATCTCTCCCTTGGCTGCACCTTCGCTTCCGATTCTTTGTTGTCTGATCATCAATCTTTAAATAGAACCAGAAGCTGGAGAGAGTTCAGCTGAGATCGTTCACCGGCAGCCAGATTCTGAAGATTCTCTCTGTGTTTAATTGTAGATGCCAATGTCAACATCCCTGGACAAGGAATCCATTCGCGAGGCCTACGAAGACGTGCGGTCAGATCTGTCGGACAGCGACTGGTGTGTCTTCAAATACGACGGCGTGCGCATCATGCACACGGCGTCTGGCACGGACTTCGATGAGTTCAAGGGACAATTCACGGACGGCGAGCGTGCCTTCGGCTACCTGCGCGTGCAGATGGGCGACGAGATGTCCAAGAGGCGCAAATTCCTCCTGCTCACCTGGATCGGGCCGAACGTGGGCGTCCTGCAGCGTGCCAAAATGTCCACAGACAAGGCAGTCATCAAAGATGTGATCAACGTAAGACACTTTCTCGCTTTCTCAGCTGCCAAATTCACAACATTTCTTCTTTCTCGTGTTTTGCAGAACTTCGCTGTGGAACTCCAGGCGGAATCGCAGTCCGACCTGGATCTCGACGCCTTCCGGGATGCCCTGAACAAGGCCGGCGGCGCCAATTACGGCACAGGCATTCGCAACTGAGCCGTCGAGTCATTTTCCGCCTCTATCTTAATGCTTTGTGTAGTATTAATTTGTATAATTCTGAAGCCGCGAAATCGTGAATGTTCAATAAAGTGTAATTTGTAATTGAGAAAATCGTGTCCTTTTCTCTCAATCAATTTTATTGCTCACTTATTCCTGAATCTTATCAAATATACGACAACATCGATCAGGCACACTAAATGTGTGTCTTTTGCAGAAATCTTCAATGCAAACGCGCCTCAATTCAAGGAGTGTTTGTCCTTTGATTACTTCGGGCTCCTTGAATTCATCAAAAGTCACTTGATTTTTCCCACTCCCACTTCCGCGCCCCTCAAAGCCCCAATCAAAATCACTCCTTTCGGCTTCTAATCAACTACCTTACAAAATATACACTTCCTTACGAACTACAGTCATTAATATGAGAAACAGGTGACAGAGTTTTAACCACTTGAATGGCATCGACTTCTTGAGCCTCACACTTCCCCTCCGCCGCTATCGGCCGGCCGCATAGGAAGGCCCCATCACGATCAGCTGATGCTACCCTTCCGTCGACGAGCCCGCCGTCGCCGTCGTCGCGCTGGCGTTGATGAACATCGGCGACGCCGACACTTGCGGCTGCGACACGGGCTGTCCCAACTGGAGGATCTGCGGCTGGCCCGCCTGCTGCTGCGGCGACGCCGTCTGGATGATGATGGGCTGCTGCTGCGCGCCACTCTGCATCCGGATCAGGTTCAGTTGCGACGGAGACAGCGGAATCTGCGGAAGAGTGAATGCATTAGTCAATTTATCCCGAAAGATTTCCAACGCTTTGAGGCTTTCTGTGTCAATTGAAGGACTATTAAGCAACAAGTAGTTGAAGAAATTCCTTCAAAATCTCTTTCACGATTGATTTTATCCAAATAACTTGGACTTAATATTTTTTATGCTTTGTGGCGTTGATTATTGAAAGGTTTTAAGGTAAATTTTTCAATTTCTTCTACTTAAAAAGGACGATTTTGACTTCTTACAGCGTCAAGAAGTCCCATAAACTAGGAAAAAGCAAAAATTCATTTTTGATCCTGTTCTTGACCAATAAACAGAGCATTATGTGTCCTTATTTTCTGCTTCGGAGTCAAATATTGATATTAATATTGATTTGGTTAAATAACACTTAAGAAAAGCAATGAAAGGGAGAGAAAATTGGACGGTTAAAGACAGATTCTCTGCTCTTAAGCAATAAGGAATAGAATGAGGGCAACTCGTGCGCATCAGCGGCGAGGAAAACTCACCTGGATGTGCTGAATCTCGCCCGTGGGCGTCACGATCTGCTGCAGCACCTGCAGCGGCTGATTCTGCTGCGGCACGTTGTTCACGATCATGGCGTTGGTGGCGGGCGCCTGTGCGCCCTGCGGCGCCGCCGTGGGCGACGTGACGATGATGTTGTTGGGCATGCCACCCAGCGTCACGGGCGTCGACGTCTGCACCTGAATCTGCGCCGGCGCAGGCGCCTGGCCCTGCAGCGCCTGCTGATGTTGCTGCGCCAGTTGGAAGTAGTACTGAATCTGGTTGCCTTGATCACAGTTGCTCGTGGTCTTGAACTCGCTGTCCTTCTTGATCAGCTTGATCTCCTCGCGCGGCACGATGTCGATGAGGAAGTCGAACTGATCGTAGCGCGAGATCGCCATCGCGATGTCGCTGCGCTGCAGCGTGCGTCGCTTGTTGTCCTCCGTGTAAACCCACGCGCGCAGCGTCAGCTCGTGGATGAAGATCTCCGACGCCTTGGCGAACAGCAGCGGCGCCTCGGCCGAGATCATCTTCACGTCCTCGTCCAGCTTCATGATCTTCTTTATCCTGGCCAGCGGCAGATTCTGATTCTTCGCGTCCACCGTCTTGATGCGCTTCACCTCCTCATTGATGATGGGCCAGAAGCTGTTCAGCGTCGTCAGCGCCTCGCTCTCTGCGCCGCTCGCCGCGTTGTTCTCATCCCCAGAGCCGCTGCCCGCCGCGCCACTCGCGCCGGCCTCCTGAGCGTCTTGGCTCATGTCTTCGCTGCAATGCGGATAAAAATTAATTGGATAAGCGGGATAACTACAACCAGGACGCCAACCCAGGAAAAAATCTCTTTGCCGGAAGAAAAAATGTTTGTTTGCCCACAAAAATGCATGTTTTGGACAATTATGAGCACACAATGAAGATGCAGAATGACTCAATTGCACCCTTTTCATCTTTTAGCCAATTTTTTGAATGCCACAAATAATCACAACTATTGGAATTGAGCGAGAAACTTTCCAAATCTCAAATTGAAAAGAATTTTTCATTTCTTGTGAACAAAATGTTTTCTGCAAAAATGACTGAATTGAAAGTCAAATTAATAATTCCTTTTCCCTCAGGAAATTTAGACAGTCTTTGAACACTGAGACATTCGAAGAAACACACGCTTTCCTCCGCGGAGAATCTCAAATCTTCTGCCGCGACTCAGTCTAAGCGCGCGGAGTTTCTTATTCGAGACACCTTCGCGTGTCTCGGTTGAGTGGATCCCCTCTTAAGGAGTGACGACACCCGCAAAAAAGATGCGTAAACACGCCGTGGCTGCCTTCTTTGGGCCCTTGCTCACCTCTTCAGCAGCACGTATGACATCCTCTGCCTTGCTCGTGGGCCTGGAAGTCCTCCTGGGCGCCGCACAGGCACCGGCAGAGCAGCCAAAGGCACGCCAAGCCGCCTCCGCGCGGCGTGAAAGAGCGCGCGAGGAAGGCAAAGAAGTTGGCTGGCGGATGGGAAACACTGAGAATTCACTTGCAATGCGATGCTGCGTGAGAAATGAATGAGTGCATGTGTAAACAGTCTGAGTGCAGCGTACGTGAAGCACGTGGTAAAATCGTGAGTTTTTGGGGTTTCAAAAACCAATGGGGATGATCGGCACAGTTATAAACCAATAGAAAAATTGTCAGTTGTCCGAAGCTCCAATGAAATTTGCCATAAGCGCCGCCATTGGATTTGATTGGTTGTTTTTGACGTCCATTGAAACTCACTGACCAGTTTGGCGGCAAATTCGAACGCTTATCAGCCCACAACACCCACAATCACCACAGCAATGCCGGCAATAACACTTTCACCGCGGATTTGGATTTGCACGGGGTCGATTGAGTGGGAAATTCACGCGAAAATTGGTCTTTTAACACAGCGACGGCACCAAAATCGAATGACGTGCTGTCAACTTTGACAAAACAACATTCGCCGCTGGCAACACTGGAAAATCCACGATTTTGCCCTCTGCGATGCCAGCGCCATCTGCGTGGTTTCACCTCTAGCGCCCAGGTGGCGCCTGAAGTGAGATGAGCGAATTGAGTCTTCTAAAGTAAGAGAAAATGCTTCAATTGTCTACATTTGTAGAAAAGGAAGAAAAACTGCCTTTCAAGCAAATTGATTTAGCAAAGAATCGATGGAGAGAAGTGCAAAATTAACTTAACAAGAAGTTGAATTAATCTTCTCAATGAAACGATTAATTTTTGACCTCTTTCAGCTGGGCTGATCAGAAATCACGCTGATCTGTGCATTGAGAAGTCGGAGCGGCGAAACTCTCGAGACCGTGCAGCCGAAATGACTTATAATTATTCTCCACAGAAGGCGAAATGCATCACTGACTGTCGCCATCGATGCTAATAACATTTCTCCATCGGATGAGAGCCCAGTAATTTCATCGGCAATTGATGCCTCTCTTCTCGAGCCTCGCAATTCCAGCTTGACATCAATTGCACCAGTGATTTCGCCATGGACATGCAGACGAGAGAAGGTCGCTCTCGATTTGCCCCGAGACGCGTTTCACCGGCTTTTCTGCACATGATGTTGGAAATCGACCGACTCGCCTTCATTTTGTTGCCTCATCCGGGGATGACAATCTTGGTCGTCCGATTGGAAACATTCCAACTTGCTCGGCTTCATTTATCGCTCAGACTCCGCCCAGTCATCTCGGATTCTCTCTCCATCGCCAGAGTTGCGCTGTGACGCCGCCGTCAACAATTCGAGATTCGTCCAAAGACGCCCGCGAACAAGGGAGAGACAGTGGGCGGAAATCTGTACGCCACTTTGGCAATTGAAGCGTTTTCAGGGAATTGTGACGTCATGAATCGAAAGCGCTGCTTGAAAAGTATTTTTTGAGCATTGAACAAGTCTTGTTGTATCAATTAATCTCGTCATTTATATTTATATTTTTTGCTCAAAAATATTCTTCAAAAAAGCAAAGTCAGACAAAGTGATGCGTTTCGCCTTGATATTGAGCTCAAAAGGAAGAAAGAGGATCCCCAAGAGATCCTCAACATTCTCGGGGCCCTTGTGGCGGAGCGCGAGAGATCTGCGCCCGGAGGAGGCGACAGTAGCCAAGACCAGCAGCCGCGGAGAGAGAGCGAGGGAGCCTCCAACGACTGGCGAGAGATCATTCGCCGTGAATATCAATGAAGCGATGGAGCAGGGAGTGAATTGGAATCACGATCTTCTGGTTTTCTCCTCTTTTGCATCACCAAAAGCTTGACAATAAGTCCACATAAAGTATCTTGAAATTTATTATGTGATGGAATTCACGATTTCGTATGCTCATCACTCCGATGTAACAAAATTGGATGGAAAATGGCTGGTGACGATCGGTCGCGGTGGACGCGTTGGGTTTCTTCACATGAGATGCAAAGAGAGGGACAAATAAAATGGATTGAGAGATAATCAAATCAATTCATTGGACTCTTGTTTAATGCAAATGACTCTCTTTTCCACCTCATCTTTTTACTGCCTCATTGTGCGCCCGATTGAGGAACACGAGAAACGACTTTTGCCCATTAAACACTCTCAATTCCACTTAGACCTTCGCCTGGCGAGATGGAGACTGTCAAATATGGCCTGAAGTGGTGTACAGCGCAGCGGAAGTGTTGAGAATTGAGAAGTATTTACAACACTTGCTTCTTAAATGATCTTTCTTTCAACAAATTGGGCAGAAAATTTCGAGTTTCCTCCAATGATTTGGTTAGAAAATGCACTAAAATGAAACATAACCTCAAAAATAGATTTTGAAGATTTAAGCGTCTCCACTAGCTTTTAAGTTTTAACACAATTAAAGAGGGAAAATGGTTAAAATCAACAATTTAAGAACTAATTAGTCCATATGGGTTAATATAAATCCTATTTTTCCTCCTAAAATTGTGTTAAAAAGTAAATTTCAGGCATTTTGAGTCGATAAGTGTCGATAAGTTAACCAACTTACCAACATTTCCACGTCATAATTTGATTAATATAAACAAATTAAATATGCTTTGTTCAAATTTTATCAAATTTTATATAAAATTGGAACGCATTGATGAAGAATACACCAACAATAAATGGGTAAACCAACGCAACTCTGGATGTTGACGTCGAAGAGAGCGAGCGTTGCGCCAATGTTGGATCTCTCAGCGAAATGGTGGGACATTGATGACCTCCTCCGACTGATTACCAATTCCTCAGGTGACATTTCCCAATCATAAATCGAAGAAGAGACAAGCGCGCTCTTGGTAGGGAGAGTCGCTCGAGGAAGTCTCTGCGTGCTGCTGGAGAAATTTCAATTGATTGGATCTCCGCGGACTAACGGTGCCCGCGAGAATGTTAATGGCGTTCCAGTCTTTCGTATTTATTATAACTTTTCTGTATGATTTTTGCCTCCATTGACAACTTCTCATACGAGAGGAGAAATTTTAATCAATACAAACTCTCCAATAATGGAATTCGTCCCATTAAATATGAAGAATATGAAGTGACGACTTATGGATTTTCTCCTCTGTCAGCAAAATGACAAAGAGCTGCACTTTGCCATTTTCGGATGGCTTTCCGCAAAGATTTTCGCCACGATATCCTCCGCAGTGCGCTCAATGTGACGAATACGCCAAGAGTGATGTGCATGATTTATTAATTCATGGCGAGAAGCGCGCGAGAGAATAAAAGCCTCCCACGCGAACGGCGCGGAATTAAATATATCAGGATATTTTCAACTCCGGCGAAGGAATATTTTTGTAATCCATCCAATCAGATTGATTCATTACAGTGTCAGGAAATAATTACGGGGCTTTATTAAAATTTACAGGCAGACAAAGGACGAGAGAGTCGATGAACTTGGCCACAGAAATTTGGTCACTGAGTGTCTGGACAGCCGTCAATGGCGGAGGTGAAATTATGTTTGGGGCGAGAGGAACAGATGATCCGAACCAAATGGCGCAAAACAAAGGCAGGGAAAAATCGATACGCAATCCGAAGAATTAATAGAGGTTGGAAATCTCACGATGCTTTGTTGTGTCTGGCCACGGAGTGCAATCAAATGGCAGTTTCAGGCGCTGTGGTGGAAATGATCCAGAGAGGGAAAAAGTGTGGCTGTAAAATGCCTTAACCTTCACCTCGATCGCCGCACTTGCATAACTCCGCGACTCGCGAACAATAAGCCTCCCTCGCGCGCTTCCCACAGAAGTCACAGACGGAATTGAGAAAAAATCATAATTTATGCAAATTATGTTTTCTTCCATTGAAAATGGAATAGCATCTCGCCATTCCTTCCTCATGTTTGTTTTAGATTATTTCGTCTGTCCATGACAATGAAAGTTTTTCCCAGAAGAAGTCGCGCATTTATTATTTCGACTCTAGATCTTTATAAGCGTTTAACTGTGACTTATTTTCCGAAAGTAGGCGAATTCTGATATAATTCACTCTCATTTTCTTCCCCAAAAAGTTCACATATTTAACTGAAATTAGACTGTAAAGTAGTGTTTTCATTATAAAGAAGGTGTTATAAAGACTTTTAAATGAAATAACTGAAGAGCAATTATGACAGAACAAACATTTTAGTCAAGATTTTAGAATAAACGATGACTTTGGCCTCTGTTCCTGATCAAACTACAATTTTCAAATTTGCATAATTTACCTCCAAACACCTTCTAATCGATCGTTAAAGTGCTAAATTCGTTGGTAAATTTACTGACCAAAAAATGCAGTCATTTATTTCTAAGCAGTTGTCTTGGCTTGAGTGATTCTGATGGTTTTAATACAGCGCTGAACATCATGAATGATCTCTGTGGATTGAAATCACTTTGCGCGCAATTTGTTGGGATATTTTCTGTGCTGTTTCCATTGTTCAGCTGCGATACAGTGTCGTTGTTAAGTGTGATTGTTGGCTGTGTAAAAACGCACCCGCTGATCGTCAGCCACATGCAAAATTCACGGGGAAAACATTGATCAAGCGAAGGGTGACATATGCGCCAGGGTAATTCATCCCTTTGGCCAACGAGATACGAGGGTAAAAAAGACTCATGATTACTCTCTCGTGTGTAATTTAATTTTGATTTTATCATTGCTGTTCTCCCCACAAATCCGCCGATGTGACATATTTGTGTGAGGTTGATTATTTGAGGTTGCTCACGGTCTCGTCTCCGATATACCTGTATTTACACACTGGAGGTGATTCATTTCACTCCGGCCGGGCGGAGGAGGAGGAGGGGCGGGGAATGTGGAAAAGGTGACACTCAGAGAAAATAGGGGACTCGCAGCCGTAAAAAATCGATTTCCTCCGCTTCAAACTGCGGAGAGAATGTGTCGTTCTCAATTTCATAATAATCACACTCCTTTATAGATTCCGCAAATGCTCTTGTCGCGCATATTTTGCCGTCTTTGGGGGTTGAATGCAAGATCGCGGCGGGCGTGAACTGATAAAATGTGTAGTCTGCAGAGAATGCCGCGAGTTTTCACTGGCGGATAATGTACCATTCGGCGGGAACAATTATTATTATTTCACACATTGGTGAGCACAATAGTGTAATTTCTAACACGGCGGGCGTGCGCTCGCGCTCGCGCCTGCAATTGTTGAAAAGTGTTTTTTACTACAGCAGCGAACTTGCAAGAGTTTTGAAAAGCAAGAGTTTCTTGGGCGAAAAGAGTGTTTTCATCAACGGTCAAGACATCAAAAAAAGAAGCAAATGAGGAAATTGGAAAATGATCT